ATCCCAAAGACGGATAGAGTTATCATAACTACCAGAAGCTAATTTATTTCCATCATTTAAATTGTTAATTGTTAACTAGAAAAGTTAAGATAATAATTATAGCATATGCATTTGAAATAATTAATAATTTCAACATTCATCTAATATTAGTTTAAAATAAACTACAACTTTTCAATCCGCCCATTGTTATTAACAATGTTAAAAAAGGAATATTGTAAAGGACCGAATTACCTATACTAAAATATGATATAAAATTCTCAAATTATCATGGTATGAAAAATATTTAAGAAAACCTCAGCCAAAAAAAATTTTTCTAATCAAGCAATTTAGTCGATTTTCGATAAAGGCTCAAATGATAAGGAATTAATAGTTCAGAGCCAAAACGAAAAGTCTTAAGAAGAATGATGAAGTTAGTAAATGGATTGAAATAAATTTTAATTTGTTCTCAGAAATAATGTTTTTTATGTTTTATAATGCTTTATATCAAAATCTACTACAATTAAATGGCTTTTTTTGTAAACATTAAACTTTATAATAATTCAATTTAATTTATCATTTACTTATACTAAGCAACATTAAATTATCAGATAAAGATGTCAACATCTAAGAATTTTTTGACTAAAATTCAAATATAATGTGATAAGTAATGCATTTAGATAATAAATAGAAAAGGATAAATCTTTGAAGTCATTTATTAATACATTGAAATTAATTAATAAAATTAAATACCTTTCTCAATCTTTATAATAAATGTAGCTCTAAATATAAAAATAAACAATTCATTAATATTCTAAGAAGGATAATATGGCAACTTTCCAGCAAAAGAAGTCATATTTGCTAACGTTGATTGAAAGCGTCTCAATTTTCTTTAGTTTGCAAATCCATCTGTTTCTAAAATACCGTGCTTGACAATCTTTTTAATTAATATAACTATCATTTATTTAGTGTTATAAAGGTCTTAAATTTCTAATCTGTTTCAGTTTCCATTGATTGTAACTAACATCCTAAATGTTACTTCCAAATTGCAATCATAGGTGTACTATTGTTTCCTAAACCTAACTGATCCAAAATTGCTATCATAGCTGCTGTTCCTTTTTACATAGCTTAAAAATAAGGATTAGAAGAATCTAAACCAACTTCTTTTTTGGCAAAATCTAAGTAGCTTCTTCTAACCATAGAGCATACATATAGAGTAAATATTTCATATGAGGATGATAATTATAGTAATATGTAGCTATTTTATTTACTAATTCTTACGGAACTCTATCCCAATATGCCAATTCTGGGTTAGTAAAGGAGCATCTATCACTATTGCAATAGGCTTGGACGATAGCTCTTTAGTTCTTTAAATTTTCAAAAGCCTTTGCCGTCTCTCGACTCCCTCCAAAATTGAATGATTCCACCATAGTTTTAACTACCTAATTCTTTACATACAAATCATTGTATTCTTTTGTTTTTTACATAGCTCTTTAAGGTACACCAACAAAATTGTCTAAATTTACGGAAAAAAATACCTAATTCAAATAAAAAATCCATGTATTGGTAACTTGGTTCAAAATCATCACTATAATTAATATTGGCTAACCCACTTAGCATGAAGGCAAATGCAACATCTTCACTTACAAATTCAGATGTAAAATAATGGCCTTGTATCGTTCTAATATGAAGTTTTCGCTATGCTCTTGTAAGCGCATAATATTTCGTATGAATTAGCTCATAAGGTCCTCCACCTCTTTCTGGGGTAATACCTTGACCCATATAGATATTTTTTTCTGGATTTCTTTTGTACTCTCTCATATTTTTAAGCTCTGTCAAAATCAAACCATCTCTTTATCTCTTATCACTGCTTGCTATCATAGTTATTCTGGAATCGGTATTATTTTTTGATGAAAATGATTCTAATAAAGGTACTATTTCCATATTTTAAACTTTATATTGATTAATTAATTCATTTACTAAATCATATTAAGATTAAGTTTAAAAGTTGGCAATAATTACCATATCTGCTGCTTGCCCGCTTGCATTAAGAAGAGATATTTCTTTAAAAATGTTTTTAATCATTTTGTTTATCTTTAAAATTTATAAATAAATACATCTGTTAACTCTTCCCCAGTTATTCTGATTTAACCCAGCACACCAGTTAGCCTAAAAATCTTATATAATTTTCTAATTTCAAAGCTATAAAATAATCTTTGGAGTTGTCATTTTGTAGTAAAATTAGCTCTAAAACTTATTCAATTTAATCTTCTATTTTTTTGATATTGTAAATTGGTTACTATTGAAAAAATTCCTTCACCGATATTTCATTTTTCACTCTAAACTTATCACTCAATTCTCTTATTTATCTGCTATACCCTAAACCCTATTCATATAACTCTAACATTGGTTTAAAATAAATTTGGTCTTCGAATTTTGCTTCAGCAATATATTCTTAAAATTATTGTAAAGTTAGTTCGATAGTTAAATTGTGTGTATATGTCATTATTCCAATTTCCTAAATATCAATTAATATAAAATAACCCTTCCAGGATGATTTTCAAAATCAAATGTTAACCAAGTTTCAGAGGTTTCAATAAATTCCTCTGAATTCTTAAGCCTAATTCATAAGCTTAGGCTACAGCTTTAATGAGATTAGGTAAGTATTAAGAATGATAGATTAGAGATCCTGAATATAAGAAACTTTCTGAAGAATACATAAAATCAATTACATTAAATACACGCTGTTTGTTTGATTGGATAAATAGTTTTGCAGCATACTTGAGATATTGGTAATCATTTTATTATATTCCCTAAAGCATTCGACTTATAGCTATCAATTAAGTAAGAGAATTAGGTTAAGTAGGATGAGATGTAAAAACATACTTTACTGGATTAATTTTTTCCTATAAATAAATAATAATCAAAAATTACTTTATCCTTTTTATCAAAATATTCAATGATTCTAAATTAATCTAAATACTCATATCTAGCATATTGGCTACTTATTCTATCAAATATCATTAAACTATAAAGGTGCCACAAAATTTATTCTGGCAAATCTTTTTCTTCATTGTTCAATTCATCTAAATCTTTCCCTTCATATGAATTATCAAAATAAATGAATTAGGCATTTTAGAAATCTTTGATCTCTGTCTCAGATAAGTTTAACATAAGCATCTAATAATTGAAGCATAGTCTTTTTCTTTTTAGGATTTATATGTTAAAATAATTATTTCCTAAATACATAAGTCTAATTGGAGATTATTCAAGTAAGGGTTCTTCTTTAATGAATTTTTGAATCTCATTTATTGAACATCTTTTATCACTAAAATTATTCATAAGACTAATACTCAGCATTTGCTGCAATCCATAACATATCATTTTCTTTTAATTGTTTTTCCTTAACTTTCTCTGACAATAGAAATTGAGGCAAACTTAGAGATGTTAAAGGTAATTTAAAAATTTTTTGTAATAGGTTTGAAATTGACCTTATTATTTATTTAGATATTTGTATTCGTTTTTACATAATTTTGTTAATGAGCATAGAATGATGAGAAATAAATTACAAAAATATCAAAATAAATCTCAATCACTTATGTATTATATATTTTCATCAAAAATTTCATTCATTAATTCTTAAATACACAACAATTCTTAAGGTAAATAACTAGCGACAAGTCTGGATAAATAAACAGCTTTTGTGTCTGCATCTAATATTCTATACGAAATCCAATAGCTTTCTTTAAGTTCTTTATTATTTAATGCCTATTCAATTATATAAAAGTAGTACTTAATCTAGCTTTTGGATAATACTTAAATAGTATTAAGTCTCTCCTGATTCAGAGAGATTTATTCTATAATTGAGTAATGCTTAAATATTTATCCAATTCTCTTTTAAATCATTAAGGTTCTTTATTGGATCATTTAAATCCACATTTTTAGAAAACCTCTTGAAATATTAAATCTAGAATTACTTAAAATTTTTCCTTTGAAAATATATTATTTTCTAAAGAAAAAGTAACGAATCTATTGAAAGACATAGCTTTTTCGCCACTTTCATTCGAAACTGTATCACATCTTTCCATAAATTAACTCCTGATAATCTTCTAATTTAAGTTTGTACCTTGGTTGATTTCAAAATGCAAAAATAGTTTTTAAAACTCTTGAAATTCTATCATTCCATCCATATCCATATCAGCAGAATAGAATACTTCTTCAAAGTGAGCCTAATGCATCATTTTTAATTATTAATATCCAGTAAGAATTTTGCTAATGAAAAAGTCTAAATCAACACAAATCTTGTTTTTTCTTTCATAAGTGTGAGTTTTTATTTCTTTTTATATTCTATCCTTGCTCTCTAATGGGAGACAAGAATGCTATGTTTCTAGGCAGGCTAAAGCCCGATCAAGAGATATAAGAACACCTTTCTCATTTACAACTTGAGCAAGCTATATTGGCATTTCATTTTCATCAAGATTTTTTAATGATTGAATATATATTTCTAGATCATCTAATGTTAGAGGACTAAAAAGTTCAGCAAATCTATTTTTAGTTAATAATTACCTTCCAAATAAATTAATTCTAAAATTTTCTCGATAGGCAAAAATAGATTAATAAAAGTTTGTGAGTTTTTATTCAGCCATACTCTTAAATCCATAAGTATTAACAAAATGTTCATAACAAATTTAATGTAAAGGCATGTTTTTGTTTGAAAACTATCTAATTTTCTCACAATAAAATTAAGATATGAACTTTAGAACATTTATTTTTTACATTTTAGCATTTGAGCTTTTAGGATTTCGAGAAAATTTTTCTGAAAGTTACGAAACCAAGTTTTATGATTTCTAAAGATTTATTTGTGAAGTTGATTCAGCATTGTTGCGATTCTAAAATTCTATATGACAAATACACAAGTATACTTGGAGCCTAAGGTAATGTTACATTTTTTCTTCTTTATGATCCTTCAAGTTTTCTCTTGTTTAGGTCTTCTAATTTACTAGAAAAAGAAGAATCAACACTTGATGTATCACTATTTTCCAACTCTTCATTTATGAATTATCTCAAAGTTTCTGATATCATTTTTATACTTTCAAGAGGTAAATGATTTTGGTAACCTGAATTTGGATTTTTATCTTTTTTCACCTTTGCAGATTTAGATACTTGATGATTATTATTTGGAACTAATTACTATTCATTATTTTAGAGAGATTACATAATTTGATATTGGTTTATTAGAAATCTTTACTTATGAAATATTTGACCGATTTGTGGCTAAGCTTCTTTATGATATTGAATCTTAGAAATCCTATGACTTAATTTAATTATTACATCTTAAACTGAGTAAGTGCTTCGTTATACTGATTATTGTGACTGTGAATAATCACTTTCATTATCTGAAATTTGCTTTTGTTCATCTGCGTTTGTAATATGAATATTCCATTTCTTTTTAGTAAATCCTTCTTGTGATATTGCAAGTTGATTTGAAGTCATGGACCCCACAGAAATTCTAGAATTTTCTAATTGTTAATTAGTTAAACTATTATTGTGTAGTTACTCTTAGTTGATTTTTTTTTAATTTTACTATTATTTTTAATTTATTTTTTGTTAGCTTATTTGATTTTGATATTATTGTTCTTCCTAATGCTAATCAGTTTAAGATGGGATTTAGCTTGTAGTTAGAGAAGAAATTTTTCTTGCCTCTGGTTATCCTCCTTTTTTTTCTTATATTTTTTTTTTCATTATATTTGTAAACTTTTAAGTTTTTGTAAATGAGTTGACAAGATTTCGAGTTTTTTCAATGATTTATTATTTCCTTTCTTTAATTTTGTTATATCTTTTTTCTAACCTTGTATTAATCTAAAATTATTGATAATTTTTACTTTCTCTTATAAGTCTAGCTAAGCTTCAAGCTCTTAAATCTCATTTGTTGCTTCATCAATATTTTTAGATAAGCTGTCATTTATTGATTTCTAAATAATTATTTATATAATACTAAAACTATAATTTAATCTTATTTTCGATTATTTTCATCTTTTTATGCGCTGTTGACCAGCAATAAGCTTGTTCTAATTTCCCTTTACATATATACAGTTTATTTCATTTTACTAGATGCCTCTCCTAAACTCTGAAAGAATTAAGAAATTCTTCTGGATCTGGGGCTTTCATCATTTGAAGATTCTCCTTAGATAGATTTATAATTAGCAGAAACTTTCATCAGTTAATCTTAAATTAACATCAGTTATTCTTCTTCAGTTTTTATCACTTCAACCATATCAGTTTGTAATTCTGTTTAAGTCTCTTTGAAGGATATGTTATAAAGACTTGAATCAGTTTACATGATTTAATGACGAGTATCGGGCAATAATAAGGCTCTTTATTGATAATATAACTTACTTATAATTAAATTAAGAAACTGGTGCATATGCTTAAGTTGATTATTCTTTTTGGATTTCCATTAAAGAATTTAAATCATCAGTTTCTGTGAATTAATTTTTTAACATATTTTCAATATCAGATGCAATTGAAGAATCAGTATCACTTTTTAATGCTCTTTGAACTTTTTCTTCAGGCTTTGGATCATGAAAGAGAGTCTTATGTTTGCCTGCTCTTATTATTTTAAGTTATTCTGGAGGCCTTGATGAAAGAAAAACAGTTCCAGATCTATTCATAGGTATTTTTCTAGGGGAACTTGGAGATTAAATTCTCTGTTAAATTAAGTGATTTTTGAATTATTATTAGTAATTCTGCATGTCTTTTTCTGCTTCCTCAATGTATTATTTGAGATTTTCAACTTCATTCAGTAAATACTTATTTGTAGTTGTTACATCGTTTAGTTAAAATCTTAATTCTCTTGAAATATTTTATAAGTGTTTATTTGTCTTTTTTAAATATTTTCCATTATCTTTAAGTTTAATTAATCTTTCAGTTAATTATTATTAATCCTCTTTAAAATTTTTAATTATCAACTAAAAAGTATCTATCTCTACTTGATAGAGCTAATGCGTTTTCATAATTTGTTTAAGATGCGATTTCTCAATTTCCCTTTTTTCATCTAAAGTTTATTTAATAACTGAAGAATTAATTTCTACATATTAAGCCCAAATCTTTTCTAAAAGCACACTTAATTAGTAAATGAAGTTCATACCTTCGTTCAATGCAATCTATACTTATTTATCTAATCAATTCTTTTAAACAAAGTGTTAGGACATTTTAGACTTCCTCATAAAATTCATTTTGCCTTTGATCTCCATATTTATCTATTATTTATAGTACCATCAAATCAACCCAACTGGCTAGTTACTTAATATCATGCCTAATTAAGTTTACAACACTCACTTTTAAGGAATACCTCTATGAAGTTTATCTCTTGCATTATGTCTTGATAGATTGTCACTTAGACGTCCTAAAGTTATAGGTGGTTCTTTAAGCTCGGAAGGGATTATTACTTCAACAGTAGCTTTGAAATTTTCTTAATTAAATACGTTCTCTAGGAGATTTTGGGGAGAGTTACAATTCTTATAATCGAGTAGGATATTAATATGGATCACAACTCTTTAATTATCCATAAAAATCATTACGCTGCTAGGATTTCATTTTATCAATTGCCTCTAATTAATTTTATCCTAATAATGGAGATCCATAATAGGTCTACAATTAAAGATGATATACCCCTTAGGAAAGAGCCTTATGCTTATGATTTTTACGATATGATATATTTGAAAAGGGTTTTGGACTATTAATAATATTTATGCTTTAGAGGGAATCCTGCTTTATTCTTTTATTAGATAAATCTGTGCTTTTTCTTTAAGAAAGTATTGGTTTTAACATTCTAAATTTCAACTATTCCATCTTAATAGATAATAATGATTTATTTTATAAAAATTAGTTAAACAAATGTTTTGTTTTTAATAAACTCATATAAAATCAGGTTTAATGTGTTACTTTATTTTGGTAATGAATAAATATTGACTATATTTTATCTACATTTATAAATCTTCATAAATTAAATAAATAAATGGCAATCAATTTATTTTAAAGTACAAGCAACAACAGCAATTGGAATCCATAAAAAAAGTATGTGTTTATTGGAATTTATTAGTACAAAAGTGGAAGGATCATACAGAGCTTAATTTTAACAAATTAAACTGGAGTATATTCCAAGTGACGGATAAAGTACCGGCCATCCTTATTCCACAACAATTATTGTACAATAAGAATATAAAGGAATGGTAGCATTGTTAATAAATCAATTAAGTCTTTAATGATGGTTCGATTGGAAGATTATTATTTAATCCGGTCTTAGCAAATTCAACGTTCACATCAAGTTATAATTCAAAATGCTTGTAGTTAAGGTCTTTTCAATTCAAAATTGATAACTAATGTTAATATTCAGAGTAAATTTATGGACTAAATATTAGCACTGTAGCCTCCTTAATTTTAGAATTTTAGAAATTCATGGAACAATAATAATTCTAATAATAATTATTAAAGTAACACATTCAGTTCAAATAATATCTTTAATCAAAATAATACAAAAAATGTATTCCAGCCATCATAAACAAATGATAATATATTTAATAATCCTATGAGCTCATCAAATTAATTATTTTAGTAATAATCAAATCAAAGTACAAATATTTTCTAACAGCCAAATAATTAAAACAATATTTTTAACTCTTCTAATAATAACAATAATACAAACAATAACAATATTTTTAAATAATCAACAACTCCAACAAATGTAAGTAATAACTTATTTGCATAAACACCTAACAATAATATTTTTGCCTAGAATAATCAACCTAATATTTTTTAATAACCCCAATAACAAGGTTTTAATTTATTTAATTAGCCTTCTTTGTTCCCTCAAAATACTTTGTATCCTCAAAATAATATCTTCACCTAACCTAATTTATATGGACTCAATAATGGATTTGGATAGCCTGTGATGTATGGTCAACCAAGTATGTATCCTAATCCTATGAACTATCAACAATTTCCATTTTATTAACCTATTATTTAACCATAAGGATAATAATAAATTACTTATCCTTAACTTTAACAATTTGAAAAAGTTAAAGATGCTGCTGATATCCTCTAAACTTATGCAGATGTCTTGAAATAAAAATATTAATAATTTTAGGAGCTTCAAAAAAATGAAGAACAGCATTTTGAATAACAAGAATTGATTATACAAGAACATGAACGTCAAAATTAACAAATCAGATAATAGAGAGAAAGAATTTTGAATCAATCATTATCAGTAAGATCAAATAAAAGCAAATCGCCTTCACCATTTTCTATTTCAAGAGCTGGAAAATCATCAACTAATTATCATAGAATGAATTCTAGTTTACAGAGATCACATATTGTGGAATATAATACTAGTTAAATTTCAAACTATGAAGAAAATAAATTCGATATAATTGTAAAATTCTTAGAAAGCGAAAAATTCTTTCCAATTATCACGCAATCCTTCAAATCAAAAAGTAGAATAGAGCATGTTAAGTTTTTCATTGAAAATATTTTATCTTAATAAAATATATTTGGAAAATAAAGATACTAATATTTTTAAATGGTGAGAATAATGATTGGATAAAATATTATTTTTGATGATGCTTTATATTTAGATGAAATTAAATCAGATTAATATCCAATTTAAATAATATTTAATTACTTTTGCACAATTAAACCCAAACTTACAAAACCAGATTATTAATGTAATGTCAATTTTGATCAAATGACTGAATAAGAACTCTCTAATGTAGAAAATTTTACGATTTCAAATTAATTCGGGTAAGTTAGGTGGCTTACTCCTTGCAATTTACTTTATTTAGATCTTGATAAAATAGTTGATTTAACTCAAGAATGCATTAATCTCTATGATTCTGAAATAGTGAATGATTATCTTAAACCAGAAATTGGAAAAAAGTTAAATAAAGAATGTGAAATTACATTTAACTTGCCTCTTAATCTGAAAATAAATGATGCTTCAAAATTTGAATAAAATTTGAGATATTAAGCTGAAGGAAAAAATATCGAATTTATCAAATTTGATAGTGAAAATCGATCCTATACATTTAAAGTGCAACATTTTTCTGGTTATCAATTTAATTCAGATTACTATTCTTCTGATGATTCAACTCATTTACATTAGGTGGCTATTCAAACTAATGCAAGTATAGTGTTTGGTTAGGTAGATGAAGAACAATCTTCTTCATCATCAGATGATAATTTAATAGAAGATTAATTGGAGAATCTCAAAGAATTTAATATTAGATTTAATAGTTAAATTAGTTAATTAAAAAATTTTAATATTTCGAATAAAAATGAAGAGATTATTAAATTTAATATAAAAAATAACACAAAGGTTCCCATAAATATCCAATACATGAATAATTCATTGTAAAATTAAAAATTTTTGTCCATTTTATTTCTTGATTCTTAAAAAATACATTACTAATCATTAAAAATGAAACTTTCAACTAAACTTATCTAATTATTTTAAATAACGGAAGATAAAAGCATTAAATTCCAATTAAAACTATTTAATGCTCTTTTTGGAGATACATCAATAAATCTAGGAAAATATGCCAAAAATATAAAAAATAATATATTCGATATAATTGATCTTTAATCAATAACTAAACATAAATAAGACAGAGGTTTAGCTTTAAGTTTAATTTTTGAAAATTAAAAAAAAAAGTAAAATAATGATTTTAGAGAAGTCATCTTAGATCAAAGAGAATTAAATCCAATCTAAAAAATATTATTAACTGTAAACTCCAAATCAGGAAATAACCTAGCTTTAGGCCATGGAGATGTGATTGATGAATTTATTAATTGGAGAATAAACTGTGAACAACCAAAACCATTATATTAAAAAGAATGGTGGTAAAGTCTTAAAGAGTACATTTAAGGAAAGCCATTAAAGTCTATTGATTAAGCTGCCTTATACTATTATTTAATAAAAAAAAAAAAAAAGACTGAAGAACCTTCAGAATCATTCGACAAGTTATTAAATTATTTATAATCAAGTCATGATACTCTTGCTTATTTACTCTTTGCTATTATAATTAGGAAAAATAATATAAAAATTAAAAAATTAAAAATTCTATCTAGATCTTTACTATCTAAGCTAATTGATAATAAATGTAATTATGAGATAGTTAAGGAATTTTTATTAATATTGCATCCTTCAATATTCTAGAAAGAAGAAATTTCAAGGTTGTAAAATTTAATAAATAAGCATCCAAATTATTAAGAATTTGCTGATGATGAACAAGAGATCACTAAGCATATTACTAATTACGATTATAAAAATGCAATAATTAAGATACTTAAGTAACAGAAAATATCAGAATATAAATAAATAATTAATGATTATATTATCCCTTGTCTTGTTATTGAAAATTAAAGATAATTAAATGATTCAACAACAGAATTAATCAACTAAATATTAGATAATTGCTCTTATAATTCCGATGTTATCACATTAGCATAAGTAATTATATAAGTTAAAATAATTAGATTTATATAGGAAGATTAGAGTTTGATACAACCCAAGTTGAGAGTATTATTGTATAAAACGAATATTAATATTTCATGAAGCAGAAGATTATTTAGTAATTTATTGAATTATGAAATTAATTATATTAGAATCTAAAATTTATTAATATAATCATTATTTTGCTTTTTTATTCATTTTAAGTTTATCTACACTATTAAATGGATCCATATATTATCTTATTGATCCACTATTTAAACTGTTTTACATCTAAACTCTCCTTTACATCTCTTCTATTTTTTATTTATATGCAATTCCCTTTTCTAACTAATCTGTTATAGCAGAATTTCCTCTTCTACCTTGAGAATTATTTGAATTATAATTTCTATCATTCATATTGAAATCTTATGATTACGTAGTTGGCCTACTTGGTATTCGCAGTCTTTTCAATCTAATACTATAGTATTTAAATTACTTCAAAGTTTCACTTATGAAATAAAAGTTTTCAAACATTGGTGTAAATTTATTTTCATCATCACTTTATAAAGATTTTTATAATTCTAATTTAAAAGACACCTCTCCTTTCTTAAATTCGCTAGGATCAAAGTTAAAGGATGTTAAATTAGGCTTAAAAGGTGGATCAATTTTTCTTCTAATTACATCCCTTAAATCTATAGATGCAAAAAGTGGATGCTATAAGATTGCATCAGCATCTCCTCTTATACCTAATCTTTACTCAGGATTTTTGTTCAATAATCGTCTAATTAAATCTCTAGCTTCTGGACTGCCAATGTTAGGAGGAAAGGAAAGAGGATCACTTAAAATACTCTTAAATATTTAATTTGTATCTCTTGAATAATAAGGAGGCAATCCTGTAATTAATTCATAAAATAATGCTCCTAAGCAGTAATAATCCACTGCATAAGTGTGCCCTTATTGTTATAACATTTCAGGAGCCATATATTCTGGTGAACCACAGAAAGAGTATGCTTCATCATCAGATGCCATATTTGGTCTTGCTAGCCCAAAATCTGCCACTTTCAAATGTCCTTCACTATCTATTAGTATATTTTCTGGTTTCAAGTCTCTATATAATATATTTTGGCAATGTATAAATCCTATAGCAATACAAACTTCAATAAAATAGAGCTTAGCTTATTCTTCTGTCATTCTCTTTACTTTTCTTAACTAATTAAATAATTCTCCACCTGGGCAATATTCCATTCCAAAACACACCCAGTTTCTAGATTCGAAAGCGCATTCCAATTAACAGATAAATTATTTTGATAAATGTTAATCACTTAAATTTAATTACACCATAACATCTCTTTCATTTTGAACAATAGTTTATTTTTAATTTTCTATTATGAATTATTTAGAAATTAATTTCAAAGCAAGAAATCTACCATTACTTTTTGATCTAACTAAATACACTCTAGAAAATCCTCCCATTCCAATACATTGTAACAATTAAAATGACTTTAAACTTAGTTTGTTTGAATCACAGGTGCAATGCAATGGTGATAATTTTATAGTTTTTCTATTTAAAAATTATAAATCTTTTCCAACCAAACTTAAATAATGATCTAAAGCTATGTTTTAATCAGTTGTTTGAAAACCAATTATGTTTTTATCTTTAAATAATACACTAAATAATTACTATCGATGCATTGCGTCATTAAAAAATTTACCAAATTGTCAGTGGTTCCATAAGCACAATCAAACCTTAGCTCAGTCATCTTATTATTTGTATCATACAAATGTATTATAATATAAGATCCTGAAGATAAAGGTCTTTCAGTGATAAATCCAGAAATTTGATTTACTTCTTTGGCTTAGTCATTACTTTTGGCTCTAGTTTATCCATTTGAAAGTGTTTTTTAATATTATTGCAGTAATTATTTAAAGTTAAAGTCAACAGATGAAGTAATGGGGCTTTTGGCTCTATTTTGATCATCTTTTGGCTGTTAAATTTTATTCAACAAATTCATAATATTTTAAGATGACATACTCTTATGATTTTAAGATGGTTCAGTTGATAATTTAGGATTTTTGTTTTATTGCTCAGTTGATTTAGGTTTTGATGGCTTAACACTATGTCTCTCTTCAAAGGTATTTTTCCTTTATTCTTCTTTTTACTGCAATTCTTTAGAGTTCTAAGTTTTAGAATTAAGCTTGGATGCATTTGATAAGTAGTTTTAATAATAACTAGACACATAATTGTTATTAACAGCATTATTAAACTTGGTTATAGGTAGTTATTTTTTTTAAGGTTAAGTTAAATCACTTTGTTTAACTTTGTCTTCCCTTTGAGTGAGACTTCCACTTTTTACCACGTTCAAAGTTACATGATTTTTAAGTTGAATGTTAATGGATGGGACAACTACTTTTGTTTGGAATTGCTTAAATAACTTTATTTATTACTTATGGTTATATAAATCCTTATCCTAAATACAATTGTTTTTAACTTGTATATGGAGATCCATTTAGAAATGGTTTCTGATTTTAAGACATAATTTGAAAATAATATAAAATTCTCAAAAATTCAAAAATTATAATAGAAAAAGTATTATGAGCCTATTCTATAAGGGTTGGTTTGCTAAAATAATTGAGATCAAAGAAGATACCGATTCACAAGAAGGAATACTGGGGCATGGAGGTTATGGGATTGTCTATAGAGGGAAGATGAAGATTGAAAACATAAATAATTCAATGGAAACAAAAGAAGTTCCTATAGCTATAAAAAGAATTTAAATTTCAACTGATTAGTAAAAAAAATGATATTTTAGAAATCAAAAAACACAGATAGAATATATAAAAAGAGAACTTTCAGTATATGAGTAAATTAAATCAAAAAATATAGTTTAATTGTACGGGAGTGAATAAAAGGATAATTATTACTATTTATATTTAGAATTATGCGATGGAAATCTTTTGAATTATATAACTGATGAGAATGGAGATGCACCACTTAAGGAAGAGGAAGCACTTAGATATTTCATAAAAATTTATGATACTCTTTAATTGTTGAAGAACTCTGAATATGAAAGAACTGGAGATAAATTAATGACATCTTTGTATCATAGAGATATTAACGTTAAAAATATTCTTTACAAAAAGAGTAAAACAGGAAATCGGATAAAATTATGTGATTTTGGTATATCTCAATATTTAGCTGATTCAGATCATAAAAATTAAAAAAGGCTTGTGACCTTAAATATGGGAACTCAAGTAAAAATATACGATTTCAAATCTAGTATTTTATGAGTCCAGAGAATAATCAGCGAAAATTGTATGACTTAGAAAAAAATGAAACTTGGAGTTTAGGAATATTACTATTTTGCCTACTATTTGGTTATTAATTATTCCGTAATAATTGCAAAAAATTTTAACCTGATTCTAGTGAGGATCATTTTAAACTTATAAATCAACTTACAGATTCTATTGAGGTAAAGTAATTATTATTCGGATTATTACAAAAAGACCCATCAAACAGAATTTGCTATCAATAAATTAGGGATTCTTAATGTTATAAATTGTATGGAAATACTTCATTCAAAAAATCTTACATTCCTCAAAGTATTTATCATCTAATAGAAAGATCAATTTGAATATTTAACCTAATTATTTATAACTATGGATCGAAATCTATTCAATTAAATTCCTTAAGATCTACTATTTATGATATTCTATCATTATAAAAATTGGGTCTATAAACAATGTGATAATTATAGTGGATTTTATAAGATGATAGACTAAAAAGATCTGTTCCTATCTGCCCCAAAAAATTTAATTGTTTATGGTATGATACCAATATATTTATCAAAATTATATTAGTTTTTTCAAAATATACAATTTGAAACAGAAACACAGAATGATGACTAAGTCATCTCATTTTGGAGAAAAGTCACTTAATTAAATAAAAGGTTTATGTATTAAGATAAGCAAAAGTATTATTTAATTAATATTCTTTCTGAAATTCTTGATAAATTATAGCTTGAATTATGTAGACTTTAAGAGTAAAATGTAGAATTGAACAAAAAAGTAACTTAAAAAAAAGAAAATAAAAAATAAGAAAAATTAAATATAAAAATATAAACTATAAAATAATAGGAGAATCAAAAACAAAATTAATTTAATCAATTGAATGAATTGATTTTAAATTTAACACAATATTTTGAATGGAAAATGTAAAATCCTTATGATTCTTAATTTAAATAATTGAAAAAATATAATTGATATTTTATTAAATAACGATTAATAATGGATTTCGATAGAAAGCATATATTGCTTAATGAATTTCGCAAAATCAATATTGATCTTGATCAGCCTATATCAGAGAATGTGATCTTTCAATTCCTTAATGAGAAATCACATGGCACTTTTGATAACTCGATTGCTTTATAATTACATTAATAAGTAATACAACATTACCAAAAATTAACAATCAATAATTTTATTAATGTATATTTGTAAGCTGAAACTATACTTAACAACAAGATCGATAAAGCAAGAATAGAAATTTAAAATTTAACAATGACAAAGTAATAATCATCGTAGGCGCTGTTAAATATTAAAAAATAGGAGTAATTAAATAAGTATGGAATAATGGAAGACAGTATACTTATGATTAATCATGTGCATGCAGTTGTTAATAAATTAAGTTTATCAATGAAAGTGTTTATTTTAATGTCTAGTTCGACAACAAGCTTTTAAACACCATCACAAAATGAATTAGACTGGAATGATTCTTATGAATTGTAAAATACTATATTAGAATAGTCCTATCGAAAATGGATCCGAAGTCATTAATGTCCATGTTAAGGCTTATTAAGGAAACACAACAATAGATATTGGATAAGCTACATATGCAGTTCAATAATTCAATAGTTAAGCCTAAACTAATGTTGAAGCTAAATTATAATGCGTCAAACCATATTCCGGAGTTGTAATTTTATCAGGTTTATGGGTCTTTTCAAAAGTATATATTTCTTTTTAAAGCAGACAAAATATTTTAGTGATCTTATATCGGAATTAGACACATAAATTTAATAATTAAAGAGTGATCTGACGGATTTTGAAAATGATTTGTAAACTCTTCAAGCAGTTTTCCCGAATACTTTAATTTCGAATTCAGATGCAAATCATAATATTTATTAATCTAGTCCAGAGAAGTAAATAGATAATATTGGGAATATTGAATAAAAAACACTAAATAAATATCTCGTTGCTATAATGGCTTTGCTGATTACACTATCATCTCTTGATAGATGTTGCTATTTAGATGTAATCACATATCTTATTTAGATTTTAATAATACTAGTTTATTCAATAAATTTTAAAAATCAGACTTTAGATGCAAAATTGTTAAAACAAATTTCAGTGGCAACATTTGTTTCTTTTACATTAGATATTGTATGGGTTGTGATATACGTTGTGGTATATTAAAGATTATATAAAAAGCAAATTACAGCCTCTTTGGTCTGAAATAGACACACCTGATATGGGAATATAAAAAATAATTGTAGTAACTGGAGTCCTTTTGTTTATTACAAAGTTACCATTTTCATTTCTATGTGCTTATTTATCAAAGTAAGCTCAGGAAATCATTCCTGAATTTTAGGTCAAAGCTGATGAAAATGATCTATCAGGTTTACAACCATTAGAATATTAAAATATCAGTAGAAATGAGAGCTTATCTTCCTATTAACAATACAAATGAATAATTATTATTAAATAAAAATCATTATCATTTTTTTCCTTTTGATCTGAAAGATTTATTATTACTTTTGAATGACTAATTTCCTTTTTTATTAAATTTACCTCCAAATGATTTGCCACCATTTGGCTTACCACCTTATTATCTTCCTCCAAATGATTTACCACCTTAAGGTTTTCCTCCAAATGACCTACCACCTTGTTGTCCACCAAATTTGCTTCCTCGTCCTCTTCCTCCGAAAGACTTTCCTTCAGATCTATTTTCACTTCCAAATGACTTTCCTCTCCCTCCAAATGGCCTTCCACCTTATTATCCACCGAATTAGCCTCCTCGTCCTCTTCCTCCAAAAGATTTTCCTTGAGCATTATCACTTCCAAATGATTTTCCTCTGCCACCAAATTAGCCTCCTCGCCCTCTTCCTCTAAAAGAATTTCTTTCTGAATTATTATCACTTCCAAAAGATTTTCCTCTCCCTCCGAATGACTTTCCACCAAATTAACCTCCTCGCCCTCTTCCTCTAAAAGAATTTCCTTCAGAATTGTTTTCACTTCCAAATGATTTTCCTCTCCCTCCGAATGACTTTCCACCAAATTAGCCTCCTCGCCCTCTTCCTCTGAAGGAATTTCCTTCAGATTTATTTTCACCTCCGAATGACTTTCCTCTCCCTCCAAATGATTTTCTTTCTTAATTATTACTATCACCACCATTGTTTCTTTGACCTCCTTAACCTGAGAAACTTCTACTTCTTTATGGCTTTCCTTCAAATTTATTATTTCTGAATCCATTAGCATCAGAGCTTTATGATCTTTATCCAAAATTTCTATTTCCCCCATTTTAGAATGAATTTTCTTATGTTCTCATTTTTCCTGTCTTCTTAAAATTACCATTCTTTTATTTAAACATTCCATTTTTTTTAACTCCATCTTATTATTAATTTTTATCCTTCCTAAATTTTTTTGGCTTTTAATTATTTTCTTTGATAATTTCATCTAAATCCCTTGCTTTTTCACTACCTTTTTCTTTTATCTCTTTTTTCCATTATTCTATAGCAACCTTGTTTGATCTTTTTTCTTTATGTTCTTCTCTCATTTTTTTGATTCTCATTTGTTTATTTAATTTTTTACTATGTTTTTTCATTTTTTCTTCTTCTTTTTTATTTTTATCATCCCTCTTTTTTTCAATTTTTAACTTGATTTTATCCATTTATTTAGGACTTTTAAACATTTCAACTTCAAAATCATCAGGCCTTTATACAGGAATCTAAAATAATTTAATAATATTATTTTACTCCTTCTTAAGTTAAATATCCTATGGATCTCTACACATTTGCAAATGTAATTTGATAAATTTACACTTCTCTTTATGCTTCCTCATTTCCTAAAGATGGATCGATTAAAATTTTATCATCTGATGTAGCTGTCATATGTTCATTCCATGGTACTTTCTTCATTAATTTCTTCTTTTATGACTCCTCTGCATTTTAAATTGGAACATATGTTTAAAAAAACTCTTCTCTTATCTCTATTGCTTTCTTTTTCAATAGATCTTATTTCTCTTATTCTGTGAATAATTACTTTACCATAAATAATAAATAATAAATTATTTAATATTTTTATATATATGTCCTATATATCTTCAAACCTCTGATTAAATTGTGTAGCTCACTGTTATTAAGAAGAACTTATATCACTACTCATACCCGTTTTGGGTATGTCTACCCAAAACTTTTTCAGTTTTTAAAATGCTACACAACATTAAGGATGAGAATTCTTATCCGGATGTACCGATTTTGCATAAGTTTTATATTCCTATTTCAAGATGGCCTTTTATTGGCTCTAAGCATATTTCTTCAAAGCTCCTTCAGGGAGCAGCAGCATTTTATAAACAACCATAATTTATTAGAGCTATTCAGATGAAATGATTCCTTATTTAGCGCAATAGCGGTTAGCATGATTCATTGCAGCTTTATCCACTTCCACTTCAGTTTCTCTAAAAGCTCTAATAATTTTTTATTTTTCAGCGGTATTACCTTATGATAATAATCTGACAGCTTTCATGTATAATTCATTTTAAAGTTTCTCATACCTTTAATTTTAGAATGAATTCTTACATATCATTCGTTTATCTAATATTTTCTTATTTTTATTTTTTCAACTATTGTTTTAATAACTATTTGCATTCTTTACATCTAGTAGATCCTGGATGTTATGGATTTAGTATACATTTACCATGTTTTTTAGGTTATTAATTTTATGACTATTAATTAAACTTCGATTTTTATTGAGATTATTTACTTTGATAAATAATTATTTTACATATCATGGCATTATTTACATTCATAGTCATGAGTTAGATCATCAAATTTTGCTTCCCATTGATGACCTTCCTAACACTATAATTTTAAAGGTCCAATAGAAAGAACTTTAAATTTTAAACTTTCTATTATATTTTTTAAATGTTCTGGAATTCTCTCTATTTTCACTGTCTCTTCCATTTGTTTTAAAAGGTAAAAGTAGTTATTTTCTTTTAGTTTTCTTTCCTCCTCTTCTTCATTTACTTTCTATTCATAGATAAAACTATGAATGGATTCTTCTTACCATTTTTCACAAATGTTTGCATTTTCAGAGATATGACTTAAGTTATCACATTCATTAAAAAGAACTTCATCCAAATTGAAAGATTCTTCGTCAATACATAAAGATTCCATTTTTTAGTGTATTTAAGGTGTATTTTCACATTTTATAAAGTTTGTTTCGTGTGAGGAGTTGCCCTAAACACTTGAGTCACACTAAATTTAAATTATATATTTACAGTTGACTAAACTTTTTTATTCATTTCACAATCGAACTCAGTATCCATTTAACATGACTTCTCAGTTGACGAAGTTTAATTAGAAACCTATTTTTCAATGTAACTTTTTAGTCTATTTATTGATATACCTTTTATTATAGAATTCGTTTCTTTACAAACTAGCATGGATGATTTAATTCATTTTTTTAGTATTACTAATTTAATTAATTAAAGTCTTCTCTTGATTTGAAGTAATTATATACATCAAATGACTATCAAACCTTATTAAGTATAATTTAAAAATATCATAATCATAAATCTTGTTTCCTTTCATAATCATTATTTGATTGAAGGTTCAAATCTTAATAAGTAATTTTGTATTCATTCAGCATCGATTCTATTTATCTAACTTCAGTTTGAACAACTGCTTTGATTTCATTAGCTTTCTCTATCAAATTGGATTATTTTTGAACAAAATTATCATATATTTTTTTTTACTTAATACATTCTTTAACTTATTTATAAAGTTCCTAATGTTTTTCATTAATTGATAAATTTCTATCAACTTATAAAGTTTCTACTCTTTTCTTTTTATCATTGACTTTTTCAAATTCTGCATCTATCTAATGTTATTAATCATTTGCTTAATTGAGTAATTTTTCAACTTCTTCTTAAAGTTAATTTTTTTCTTATTCCAATTAATTTATTTTTATAGTTAATTTTGATAGTTCTTCTGATTGATTTTTAGTTTTATTAAGTAAATTTTAATTTTCAATAAGTTTATTTAATTTTTATTTATTGATCATGTAAGCTGAATTTTCATTATCTAATTGTTACATTAATTGCTACAAACTAAATTCCATAGATTATTTTTCTGTGTAGATTTGATTATAATAGGCTATAATTAGATATAGAATTACTTTATTTTTTTTAGATTTCTTCTTTTAAATCAGATAATTTTAGATTTTCTAATGTTGTTCCAATGGTGCAATCATCTTAATTACATTCAAGTTTAATCTCAAGCAAACTATTATACATTTAGGATGAAATCTATAATGCCTTCTATATCTCAGTTAAAGCCTCAAGATTTTTTTGTCTTTAAATTGGATCCTTTTCTTTTTAAGCTAAGATTTTCAAGTTTTCTGCTCTGTCCTTTAATGTATTAGAGTATTCAGAAAAGACTTAGACAATAGGTACATCTTCTTTTATGTAGAGATCATCTTAACGAAAATATTATTCTAACTGAAAAATTAGTAACAATTTTTACAGATTTAAGATCTTGAAGTTAATTATTCACAACCTCAAATCGTTTAGTAATTTTATAAACTTTGCTTTCCTACTCTTCAATCCTTGATTTGAAAATTGAGATATTAAGTTCTTATTATGTCATTATATCACTGATTTTATTGATATCATATTCTAATTCTTTTTAATAATCCTTTAATTCTTTTTCATTCTTATAACTTCTACGAAGCCTTTCTTTTTGATCTATCAAGCCTTTCAAGGTTTCTATTACAATATTCAATTGAATTCTCTTCTCACTATGTAAATTATTCAAGTCTTTTAACTAATGATAAATATTTTTATTACTCCATTTTAGTGTACAGATATGTTTTCATTTATTTTCTTAATTTCAGAGTTTTCTTATTCCAAAATTTGATTGGTTTTATTTTTTATCTCTTCCAACTCCAATTTAGAAATTTTAGTTCGATTTACACACTCTTTTAGATTTTTTTAGTAATACTAAAATTATTAGCCCTCACCTATATTTAAGTACTTATATATCAACCTTAAGATTAAGTATATATTTATTGGTTCTTTTTTAGTTATTCAATAACAAAGGCGGCTTTTTTCAATAATTCTGTAGAATATCTCTCGTTCAATTAAAGAGCCTATTCATTTATTTTCTTCCACCCCTAAAATAACTCTGTGTTTTTGACACGTTGGCAGACACTTTATGAAAAAAATGATAAATCATTATCAACCTAGGGTGGAAAAATATTAGAGACATCTAATTTAGTGTATAAATTACAATCTTCAGAATTATTCCAGTAATAATAAGCTGTTAGCACAAAAATGATTAGCAGAGAAACAGTCAATGCAAGTTTCATAATATTATTGAGCCTCATTATTTTGTTAATTTAAATAATTTGAAATAAAAAATAGCTCAAATATAAAATTGATTTATTCATAAATACTTAAAATTTTTATCTGCATCGTGTTTACTCTACTTATAAACAATTTTTGCCCTCAAATGTATTACAAATCATACCAGTAATTACAACTATCAATTCTAGGAGTTAGATCAAGTTTATTAAGAAAAACTTGATTTGAATATCTACTTTTTGAAATAGAATGATCTCTATTAGAATTTAAACTTTTTGCATCTTTATGTCTATTGAATTCGTAGGATTGACTAACATTAGTAAAATTTTCAATATCCATAAAGCTTATTTAAAGCATCTTATTGACTCTTTAAGTCTATTTGGCATCAATAGCCTTCTTCTCTTTTGCTAACTTGCTAAAAATTGCTTATTGGCGTCTAGTATATAAATCTTCTCGATTTTTTAATATTAGTATATTGTTTACTTTCATTTATTGCAATTTAAACAATATAAAATATTATATATAAAACATGCAAACTAAATTCAATCCGTTGATTTAAAAAGGGCTTATCTACTTGCTTCATATTTCTTAATCATTTCATCTTATTTAGACTTTACTTATTCTTCATTCATATATCTATTATTAATAACTAATTTTACCTTCTAAACATAGCATTATTATTGTTTTCATTAATTTTTGGTAATTCAATACCCAAGTTCTTTAATTTAAATTTTCTATATCCTCCTTTTATAGAAATAACATTATCTTCAAATTCTTTAGCAAGTTAACCCTGTTATGGACCTACATATATTAATTTTTAAACAAAATTATGACTAATTTATTGAAGTTGAGCAAATTCTTTTTATTTTTTTTAATAGTCCTCTATTCTATTTTAAATTTATAATTTCCTTTGTTATTCATACCTATTTTTCATTTCCTAAATATTATAGATAGAAATTTACCTCTTAACTTTCTTTTAGATATTATAAATTATGGAAATATTCTTCAATTTTAACATGTTACTTTTTGGTTCTCTCTTCTTTTTCCTTTCTTTTTTGGTTCATTTTTCTGATTAAATCTTTTGCTTTATAAAGTGCTTCATTATCATCAGATATTTCTGCCATTTTCTTATAATTAGGTTTGAATGTACTTTTAATTAAAATACTAATCTACCATATAATATTTACTTTTTTTTTGGCAACAATTATTATTTTTCTTACTGTAATTATTAAATCTCTAAATTAATTTCTTCATATTATTATCTTAATTCATCTTATTTAAATAATTTACTAGTTAATTAGTTTGATTAATTATCTTATATAGTAATTTTACTTTTCTAATTTTAACTTTAAGTTTCTTAAGACTTTTATTGCATAATATCAAACATTTGACTGGCATCAAAACTATCTTAATGAAATGATTTTTTTTCAATGTGTGTAATTTCTTAAGGGAGTTTATCATTAGAATATAATTCTCCTCTACTGTTTACTTAAGAATCATTGATTTAATTTGAATTTTCATCTTAATAATTAAATTAATTATGTTTTCCTATCGTATTTGAAGATTTTTTTGAAATTTTTAATTCTTCTTCTGAATAAGGTTCAACTTAATATTCATATTCATCTGGATCAGAAATTTGCTTTTAATGTTGAATTTCTTCTTTAACTAATTTATTATTGGTTTGTTCTATTTAAAAATTTTGATTTAATTGAACACTATCATTGTTATAATTTTCAACATCATTTTTTTATTATTTTTTAACATTAACTTTTTATCCTTCCTATAATTTAATCTTGTTTTCTATTTACTAAAACATTTCCATAGTTTTTTTTTTCATTAAAGTACCACTATTTGATATAAAATTAACAACACTTTTTTAATGTATTTTTTATTAATTCTAAATATTATTTTCTTTTTTATTTTAAATATTATTTTCATTTTTATCATTAATATTATACTTTAATTATTATGATTCCTCATTTTATAATACTAACTCTTGTTATTGAAAATTCTCAGTTTTATTTTCATCATGTTATAAACTCTGTTCTATTTTAATTTCCTTTTATTAGTCATATTACTATTCATTTTCAATCTTATTGGATTCTATTAATTGTATTTCATCATTTTAAGAAACTTATTTTTGATTTTCTAATATTAATGAAGGCTTATTTAATAGTTTTTCTTCCAATCTTTATTGAGTTTTTTTTGTTTTCAAAGCAATTTTTTGTGGAGCATCCGAAAAAAATCTGAAAAATTTATTTTTATTTCTAAATGTTTCTGTAACAGCATTATAAGCCTAAGCCTTATTTTTAACTTATTCCCATTTATTTTAACCATCTTTTTCTTCATTATATTCTTATAATTTTATCATTTCATTTTAATTTTATTCTAATATTATATTTTCTTATGATTCTGATTTCTCTAATATTGCATTTGATATTGCATCGAAGTTTAGTTCTCTATTGGATTAATTAGTCTCTTTAGAGGGTAGAGCTATTTATTATAATACATTTGTATTCATTGATAATTCAAGAGTCATATTTGCAAAGGATGCGGCATTTCTATCAATTAATTAATCTTCTAATTAAGATATAGCTAAACTAGAATTACAATTATTTTCAATTCTACTCTAAGGAGTCATACATCTTTTAAGATGATCATCTTTAAATGAATTTTTAACCTCAATTTATCCAGATTCTTTTTTGGGCAGAACTTTAAATTTTCCAAGAGATGAAACTTTAGAATAATTAGGGATATTATCATCAATTTAATTTTGTAATTTATTCTTAAATCCCTCCTTTTTCTTATTAGTTTTTTCTTTTAGAATTGCATAAGATTAAGGAAAAAATCGTTTCAGTTTTGTGACTGAGGTTAGAGGCTAAGTAATACGAAAAGCAAAGGCTTGGCTTTAAGTTTTAGCTCTTTAGAAGGTTTTTGATGGAGCTTCTGTAAAGAATGTCTTAAACTTTTGAAGGTGAGGCTTTTAATTTTCTTCAGTCATTTTAAAATAAAAATTAGTATTGTTTTTCAATAAAATACATATCAAATATCAAGTTAAGATATTAGTGAATATTTAATCCAAGATATTTTACAATTATTTAGGATCTTAATCTAATGATTCTTAATCTAAATTAAATAAATTATAGTCTAATTTTTCATATTCCTAGGTTTGTTTTTTAAAAAACATTTCTAATTGAACTAAAGTAATTAATAAGTATTGTTATTTATCATTTTTAATTTCATTTCTTAAATTCTCTATTAATTGTAAATTTAATTATCTTATTTCATTTAACTAACTTTCTAATGATTATTTTTATGGAGTTCCAAATATTGACTACTTTATAAAGCCTAAGATTGATTCTTATTTATAATCTTAAACAATTTCTTGTGTATTAAATAAATGATAATCTTCATTTGAAATTAATTCTTTTAAATATTAACATGCCTATACATGATGGTATTATTCTTCATTCAATTAAGATTTTAAATGAGAATACAATTATTAAGCACACTCTTAATATTAATCATAATTATAAAATTGATCAACAATATCCTATTCATAAATTTATTAATGTGCTTTAGCCAACAATAAATATTATTTTCTTTGATTGTATAATTCTTCAATAATTTTATCATCATCATTTTTATCTATAGTTAATATTTCGAATTATTCATCATTTTCTTATTATTATTCTACTTCATATTTTTCAGTTCCTTCTTCAATATCCTATTCTGATTAGTTTTCTTAATCTTAATCTTAATCATCATCAAATTCAAATATAATTTTATTTTCTTTTAATAAATTAGTTAATTCTTATTTTAATTCATTAAGTTATATTCTTTAATTAGGATCATACTTTAACATAGATTAAATGATAGTTTTCATAGAATTTGAAATCTAAATTTATGAATCTTAAAAGGATATAGTTTGCTTTTTTATTTCACTTATGTGATCCTTCTCATTTTTAAAAGGGAATCTCCCAAATAACATTTAAAACATGATGACTCCTAAAGAGAAAATATCTGCTTATCTTCCATATGATTTATTTTCAAGTATTTCAGGTGCTATATTTAAATAATATAATACCCATAGTCATTGGTGATCCTGCATAAGTTTATGCTAGATCTGTTTAACTTGCAAGTTATTTAGATAATCCCATATCAGCTATCTTAAACTTTGCTGAAAACAGAACATCAAATTATCTTTGTCTCAATTATTCCAATTAATAATCTGTCATTTATACCATAATATTTTCAAGTTTTATATCTCTATGAATTATGAATTATTAGTGTAGTTATTTAAAACCTTCGATCAATTATAGAATTATAAATATCACATATTTCTCTGGCATTTCACAATCAAAATATTCTTCAAATAAAACACCTAGATCCTTCTTACATTCTTCTAACACAATATAAACAGTATTCATTGTTTCATATTTTTCATAAAATTTAATGATGTTTTCATGATTACATCTTTTCAAAATTTCTATTTCTTAATTTAAATAGTGTAAAATTTGAACTTATAATCCTTATTTACTAATCATCTATTTTAATAATAAATAAATACTTTAATTGCAACATTTTTTTTTGTGGTTAGGCATTCTGCATGAAACACTGTAGCGAAAGAACCAAAACCAATTTCTTGGAAATTGCAGTATTTATTCCCTAAATCATTTTCTAATGTTTCAAAATCACTCATATCCTAACACTTGATTTCAGAATTTTTGTTTATTATTATTTTAAATAAAAAATACAATATGCAGTCTAAAATTTAAACTCATTATAATATGTTCAAATACTATACTTTTTAAATTAATCATTCTATTACAATTTATTTATTTATATTATTGTAATCATAAACATTTTATATCTAAAATATTTATAATCTGCTTTATTAAATACACATATTATTGTAATAAATTACTTCATAAAGTTCCATATCATACTATATTCATAACTATTATTCTCAATTTATTTTAAATATAATCATATTATTATATTAATCTTTTCTTATTTTTAAATCATAAACCTTCAAATATTAAAAAGGTTTGTTAATATTTTTCTTGAATTCTTTCTTTTAAAAATATCTAAATTTTAAATTAAATTATTTAAAATGTTTTGGGGAACTCAAATATCACAAGGAAAGACACATAAACTAACAGCATAAGAAGCAGATGTTATCCATGTTTCTAATGTTGCTATTTCAGAAGGAGAAAATAAAATTTAAGTTTATGCAAAAGTATAAGGAAAAGAATTTATCCTTGCCAATCTAGAGAAAAATAAGGTATTTAATTATTCATATAAATAGTTGGAATAAGCATCTTTAGACTTGTATTTTAGAGCTGATCAATAAGTAGAATTTGGAGTTAAAGGAAAAGGTACCATTCATATTTCTGGATATATTGAACCTGAATTAGATAATGAAGTATTAATTTAATTTATTCTAAGGATGGATTATCTGATGAAGATTAAGAAAGTCTAGACCAAGAGGAGGAAGTTAGTGAAGAATCACCAGAGCCTGTTCAATAAGCAAAGAAAAAAGAATAATCTAAATAATAACCATAATAATAATAAACTTAAAAATAAACAAAAGAAAAATAAGATTAACCATAATCAAAACCTTAATAAGGATAATAATAGTAAAAACAAGTATAATAATAACAACCCAAAAAGGCTGATGAAGAATGGGATGATGATGAAGATGATGATGAAGGTCTTGATGATTTTGATGAAAATGATTTGGATGATGAAGATTTAGATGATGAAGATGAAGATGAATCTGAAGAATAAAAACGTATACAATTAATATTATATAATAGCCTAATAAAAGTTTGTGAAAAACAATGAAGGTCAAAAGAATAAACCTTAGTAAGAGTAAAATAAACCTTAATAAAAAGGATAACAATAATAATAATAAAAATAATAATAAAACTAGAACTAATAATAATAAAAATAATAAAATTAGAATCAATAATAATAAAAATAATAAAATTAAAACTAATAATAAAATAAAGGAAATCAATAATAAGGTCAAAAACCAGCCTAAAATTAATAATAAGGTCAAAAACCAGCTTAAAATCAATAATAAAATTAAGGAAAGCAATAATAATAAAATAAGGACAATTAAAATAAGAATTTCAACAAGAATGCCAATAAAAATTAAGGTGGCTCCAAATAAAAATAATAATGAGTGTTAATAGATAACATAATATAAATAAAAAAAATCAATATCAAAAATTATGTATATTTTTTTTAATTATTAACATTAAATGGTTTTTGCTTACTTGAAAAAAAGATGTATTGAATATTAATATAATCCTAACCTCAAAAAGCATATTGCTATTAATTTAATTTTAATCGTTCTAACAATAATTATTAGGACCCTATTTGAAATCTATTTGAGGTAGTAATTAACATCATTGAATGAATTTAATTAGATTTAATCTGAAAAATAGTCTTAAGAAAATAATGAAATATAAATTAATAATCCAACATTGTAGAAACAAAATAATCATCTAAAATTATCATACATGATCTTAGATTAATTGCTTCATCTTATGTTGTCACTAGAAATAATAGCATTAATTTTTTAGATAACATTAATTATAAATAAAGAAAAATAAGAATTACCAATATTGGATCCGCTGTTAAAAGAATAAAAGGATATGAGTTGCTCTTTATAATTTGTAAAAAGTTCCAATTATGGTATCTCGAGTATTTAAAACAACCAACCAACTTATAATTCAATTGAGATGTTAACGTTATCCAGAAATAAAGGTACACCAAATTAAATTAAAAATTAATTTGAAGAACGATCTCCTCTTAATGTTAAATAATATCAATTAGAAAAAAATGTCAATTTATAAAAATAAGAAATTCCTTATATATAAGAAGAAAACAATACTCATTCTAACATTTAAATATAATCAGACAATTAAATTCTTGAAATACCTTCAAACAAATCTATACAAAATATACCATCAAACAAAAAAATAAATTAAGTTGAATAAAGTAATACAAAAAATTAAACTTAATAAATAATATATTCAAAAATATTAGGCAGAGCTTAGAAATGTATAAATGGTAACTATCAGAATATTTATATTATTTAAAAGTGTGAAAAATAAGAAAATTGTAATTTTTTTTGGATTTCATAAATAAAAAGTACAAATTATTTCTGTTTAAATTGTGATTAGAAGAATATAATAGTTTAAAATAATGAATAATTTGAAATTAAGAATAATTAAAATATTAAGATTAATAAGTTTTTTTAATCTAATAAATTTGAATAATAATTAGATGAGATGATATAAATTTATAAAGATACCTAATTAAAATTTTGTCATAGTTTTTAATTTTGTGGATTTTTTTGGATAAAAAATAAATAAGATAATTAAAATGAATATTATTGTCCAATATGCTAAGAAACATATATAACATAAAATGGAGAAAATAAAGAAACTATTTATAAAGATATAATTAGTTAATGTTCTTATTGTTGTGTTAATACATCTTAATATTTCTAAGCAACTTGTTTTCATACATATCATTTTGAATGTTTAAAAGAATTAGGAAAAAATTAAATGTAAACAAAAATACTTTGCATTATTTGCAATATGAATATGATGAGTTGTCTAAAAAGAAATAAAATGTTACCATAAGAAACATTTGAAAAAATTTTTACTAATTAAATATAGAGAATTAGAGAGGAAACAATGCATGAAGGAGTTGAGGATTTAGAATGATTTATTTATCATTATCACAATTAATTCTATTAAAATATAGTTTTTAGTAAACAATACTTAAAAAATTTTGAACTAAAAATTCATTTGGAATTATAGAATAATTTTTAATTATAATAAATAGGATAAATTTATAGTCTATATACAAATTATGAATAAATTAAGTAAATTTTGATATTTAAAAATTAACATCACAATATTAAACAAATCATTATATATGCATTGAATATGATGATTATTTTTATTCTTCAGAATAGTTTACTGCTTTAATAAACTATTTGAAATGAAATTTATTTTATAGAAATTTATTAGTGTTATAAAGTTCCACTAGTTAATTTTTAAATAATTTTGACAATATAAGTTTAAACGAATCGCCCTTAAATTATCTAAGCAATTAAGTACTAACTTAAGCTCCACAAAAACAAATTAAATATGTTTTATCTAAATCTATTTATTTAGTACAATATTCTTTAAGACAATATTTGTGAATACTGTGTTTACATTTGAGTTAAATTTTCTAACTTATTATCAATTTTTTGCAATAAAAACAGCATTCTCTTTAGTTAATTTCATTCTTTGAGAAATGTAATAAATCTTAATGTTTCTATTATAATGTTCCAAGTTGATTGGAGAAAAACTTTGAAATTAAGTTTTCATCAGTTATTAATGATCTTAAATGTTTAGTATGAATCTTTTCTTGACATACACAAAGTAAAGTACAATTCCCATTTGTAATTTAATTTTTAATATATGAGATTAAACAGGGTTAATGAAATAAATCTAAACATTCTAATGTATAATTCTACATTGATTCATTTACTTAATGACAATGAGAACAGTATTATTATCTTATTTCTGGTGGTGCATAGCTTTATTGATTTAACAAATTGTTTCCCATTGAATCTAACACTTTAATAGAGGGCATTTAATATTAAATATGATCAGCCCTTCCAAGTTGTGATATTTTTTTATCAAATTCAGTTTCTTTTGAATTTAAGATTGACTTTTAAGATTTGTACAACTAAATCGTTCTAGCTTCTTAAGGGATACACTCAGAAGATTCAACTATAGCATTTATAGTAATAGAATTGAGAATTGAACCAGCATGGATCTCTTTTTCTTAGCATTATTACATTTACTTGCAACTACTTGATGATCCCATTTTTTTTTAATTTATAATAACTTTATTTATTTTTAATCACATATCTATATATATTAATAATGATATTCAACTCTGAAGATTTCAATTTCAAATTGAAGCGGTCAAAATAAAAGAATTTTTAAAGCTTAAAATGTAATCAAATTCAAATTATAATCTGTATCATTAATAAATAAAATAAAGGAGTGTTCAATTATCTACAGGTTAGATTAATTCTTCCTGAAGATTTGAATACCCTTCTTAAAATTCAACATTATTAACTTAGAGTTTCCAAATTTTATTTTCTATATAAATCATTGCTTTATTATAGAATTCATCAATTATCCATTAAAATATGAATTTATCTTTTCTAAAATTAATATAATTATTTACAAAACATCCTAATACATTCTATTTCCATTATGAATTAAAGTAATTTTATTTTTAAGTTTAGAATGAATTAGAATTACTTTATGAGTTTCAATTTCTTTTTCAGATCTAAAGCAAAAATCCCATTCATAATGTATTTTAGAATCCTTGATGATATTACCTAATCCTTTTTATTCAAAACACATTGGAATGAACATCATGATAGTTAAAATTGTTATATAAATATATATATATATAATTCATTAATAAGTTCAATAAAATAAAGAAATTTATGAGAGCATTTTCTTATATTCTTAAATATATTATCTTTAAACTTCATCTAATAAATGAACATTTTCTATTGCCCAATAAATACTCACATCTTAATCATTAAATTTGATTCTATCTGAAATATAATATATTTTTTTTGTTTTTTAACAAATAAATTCGATTGGTTATTCTTAATTTTGATAATATTCTTCAAATCTAAAGCTTCTTTAAAATATTACTTTTTAAGTACTTATTAAACCTAATTCTTAAATATTTTGTTTATAAATTCTTCTGTTAATTCAATTTAAACAGATATATTTGTAATTCCATTATAATACTCAAATTCTAAATCTCCTATTGAAATATCATAATATTCCCCTCTTCTATAATATTCTTTAACTTAAGATGCTAAAAAATAATAACCATCATGATATATAATATCATCCTTATTATTTTCATTAAAGTAATTTCCAGAGAGAGCACAATATTTTGATGTGAAATATTCAATTTATAGTTAATATTTCATATTAGATAATTGCTAGATATGAGTAATTACATCTGGTATTTTTTCTATAGCAGGATTATTAATGAATTCTACTATTTCTTCTACTTTTTAATTTATTCCATTTAATATCGATGGCTATTGTTGCTGAACCTTGGACATTTTAATTTCTATTAAAGAATGAATATTATTATAATTATGTAAGTAAAATAAATTCATCTAACTTATCAATTGAAAGAAGTTATGAGATTTAATTAGCCAACAAGAATACTATTTAATTTATAATAATAGTAAGCTATATTGATTAAAGATGGAAAATGGATTATAGAGTATGATTATGGATTATTATGTGAAATGGGAAGAATAGAAATAAAATTTAAAGAATCAAAACCAGGAATAAATGTAACATATTGCGATAAATTTGAGGTATATTATTTATATTATTTATTTGGATAGATTTACTTTATTCTCTATGAAGGTTTGCAATTATATATTTTAAAAAGGAAAATGATTTTATTGAATTCAATAAAATTTGATTCAAAATATACTGTAGGACTTCATTATTTTAGTGGTCATTTATTGTTATTAGGATTAGAAGGTAAATAGTTATTTGAATTTAGAGATTGATTTATTAAAGTTTGAATTTATTATCAAAAAAAAAGATCCTAAAATAGAAGGAGAAGTAAAGAATTCTAAATCATTTAAATAAAATTCAAAATATACTAAATTAGATCATAAAAATAGAAAGATTGAATAGGATAAATTACCTGATATTAAATAGTAATAACATGAGATTGATTATAAAAAAGAATAAAAGAAAAACAAACCTTCTAATTAAACAAATAATAAAATATAAGAAGAAGATAAATGCAAATATTTAGCTAAGGATAATTTTGATATAGCTTATGTAAGTAAAAAGTCTATTTACACAAGCAAAAAAAAAAATAGTAAAGAAAAATTAGGGAAAGAAGAGAATTACAAAGTAAATAATAGTAGAGAAGAAAATTGTAAGGAAGAAAATATTAAAGAAAAGAATAGCAAAGAAAAAAATAGTGAGGAATGGATTTTAAGTTTTTATATAAATGAAGATTTTTTATTTTTTTGGAGTGATAAAGATTTAACTATAATGAAGTAGGTAATGATTGCTCAAATTTAAAAAGAATGGGATAATGATAATATTTAGGGATTTTCCAATTGGTTTAATAGAGTTAAATTGTAAATTGATGATTAATCAGAAGGAACATATAATACTATTTAAACAGTAACTTTTTAATTAGTGTAAAAATATCATGATCTTACAAAACATGAAAATTTAATAACTTAAGTTTTACATTTTATAGAATTTAGATATTTTGTAACAGGATTTGAAACAGGATAATTAAAATTATGGAAAATTAATACAGCAGTAAAACAAAGTGAATTATTAGTACATTCTTATGAAGGACATTCAAAACTAATTGAATCTTTAGTTAGAAGTAAAAATGAAAAGATGTTTTGGAGTTAAGGTCAAGACTTTTCTATAAAATTATGGGATATTTAGGTATTTTTAACAAATTTAATAGTTTTCTTAAAGTAATTTACAAATATATACGCAGTTAATATAATTGGAATTTATTCAAATTTATAATTGTTGACTAGAAGTAGATTTTTATTAAGAAATGATTACGAAATGTATATTGGATACTTAAATAATAATTTAAAAATATATAGAACAATAAATTCTAAAATAGTATCATATTATAAACATGATGACAGTATATTATTAGCACTTGATAATACACCAGGATTATCAGTAAAAGAGAACTGTGAACCTATTATTTTATATCCACCTCCTAAATCTATGGAGGTAAGATAAATAGTTACTGATGGTTATTTATATTTCATGCTATTAGAAACAGGAATGTTATTCATAAATTCTAATTAAACATAAATTTAATGTATTTAAAGTGAAGAAATAATGGATTTTGACAGTTATCATATGGTTTAAGTAATAGTTTCAGTATATCTTCCTTAAAAAATTAAACTTCCATGTTATGATGCTGATTTTGGTTAATCTAGAGATTTGTAATGTTAAGAATAATTAATATTTGGTATGTCGAAAGGTTCAGTAATAGCAGTATAGAAGAATAATCCTAAAAAAATATTTGCTAGAATGAGTTATCATAGAGAAAAGGTTATTAACATAGCTGAAATAGATAATTATTTATTTACATATTGTTCTGAAGGATTATTAAAATTAATTTCTATTACAGAAAAATAAATTAAATGTATAAGATCTTTTAATTCAAATTAATAAATTGCATATTTTACTACATTTCATAATAAGGCTTTATTTTTTACTTATAAAGGTCCTTTTCAAATATTTAAATTCAAAAATGAATAATTATATTTGCATTGTGATGATAAAGGAAATGATCATGAATAATAAGTTTTGTCTGTTGATTATTAATAAAAAAATAAAACATATTTGACAGCAGCTTCAGATGGTAAGATTAAATTATGGTCTTCTAGAAAAATTCTATTAATTTAATTGATAATGGAAGATAATTTAGAGGGAGCTTGGGTTTTAAAATAAAATCTATTAATTGCTCATTGTGGAAAAGTATTATTGTTATTATATTCTTAAGCTCTCTTTAATATCATTAGAAGATTGCAAATTTAATACTATTAATTATAATTAACCTAAATAGAAAAATGAATAACAAATAAAATTTGAAGATTATTATCAATTAATAAAGATTTAATAACAATAATAAAAATAATAGGCTGATACAAAAATTGTTTAATAATAAGAAGTATTAAATAAATAATAATATAAATTAAAAAATAAAGCATCTGTATCTTATGTAGCTGGTAAAATATATTATGAAGAAAATAATAAACCTATAATTTTATATAAGGGAAAAGATTCAGATTTAGATTCTTCAAAACATTCTTCTTAATCTAGCATTTCAATTTAAGAATAAATTATTTCTTAATAATAAACTTAATAATAAATGATTAGACCAAAAAAATAAAAAGATTTACTACATGATTGGGAAGGTTTGTAAGAATATGAAGAAAATAGAATTAATAGATTTTAACCTGTTTAAGCTTTACCTAAATTACTTTTAAATTCTGTTGATAGAAAACAACCCTCAAGATAAAGAATAATAAGTCGTAGAGATTTAACTCTTTAAAGAATTATATTACAGAGTATCAACTAATGATTAATAATAACAATTAAATATAAATTAAATATTATATTTTTATCATGATTATTATTTAACAACACCAACTTTTGCTGGTCTCAAAACTCTCTCTCCAATAACATATCCTTCTTATGCTACATAACATATTGTTCCTGGTTCTTTTTCAGGATCTTCTACTTAGAATAAGGATTCATGAAAATTTGGATCAAACTTCTATCCAGTCACATTCATCTTTTGAACTCCAAACTTCTTATACACTTTCTCTAAAATTGAATGTGTCATAACAACACCTAAATTTAATTGATTATATAATTACCTTCTAATAATGGATTCTCTTCTGGCTTATCAGTAGTACTTGCAATAGCTCTCTCTAAGTTATCTTATACTTCTAATAATTCTTTAGCAAAATTTGAAATAGCAAATACTTTTAATTATTCTTTCTCTCTATTTATTATATATATAATATATACTTAGAAATTCTTTTTTATTACAATTCTTATTCTTCTAATTCAGCTTTTAAAGCATCTCTTAATTCTTTAATTTTTGAGTTGTGATCCTTATTGGATGCTTCTAATTAATTAATCAATTTAATTTGATCATGAATTTTTTCTTTATGATCTTTTATTTGAGTCTCTAATTTTTCAATTTATTTTGAATAAAATGATTCTACTCTATGTAATTTATCTTCATGAGATTCATCAAGGGATTCAACTTTTTCTTCTTATTTTGTAGAAGCTTCTTTTTTTTCTTATTCAACTTTTTATTCTTTTTATTAGGCTTTCTCTTATTTTTAATCATTCTTTGGTGTATCTTGCTTCTTGGTCTTTTCAGAAAATAAATAAATTGGAGTTTAATGTAAACCTTATCTGAAAAATACTTATTATGGAGATGATATGAGACTGAAAACTCTTGCTCCTATTCTCAAACCTTTCATTTAATAACACCGCAAATTAAATTTTATTAATAAATAATGAAAATACTAATATATGAATTCTATATAAATAAAATTTATTATTTTATGTTATTATATATCATTATACAGAAATGGATTATTATCTATCTGGAAGTTTTTGATCAAGAATAAAATATTTGACCATCCAATAAGCTTCTTTTCTACGATCAGTTGGTACCATATGTCCAGCATTTCTAACTGTAACAAATTATAATCCTTCTATAGAAAATACATTTCCTGCATTTTATTATGTATCCATTGTTCTATCTCCTGGAACATACCATGCTCTCCAATTTTCAGTAGTAGATAATTCTAATTATTAAATTATACTTTACATAATTCATTTTATAACAATTAAATCCAAAATAAAGTACCAGTTATAGGAACAACTGAATCTATATCTCCACTAAAATGCATAATTCTAATTTTCTTGGATTTAATTAAAGATTCATAAATGTAATATGACTATTATTCAAATTTTTCATAAATGAATTCATCATCATCAGTACAAACATCCCATTCAGGACTTTCAGGTTTTATATGAGTTATTTATTTCCATTTAGGATCTCTAAAAACAACATACATTCCCTTATCATCTGTGCATGAACCAAATTCTTCATCATTTTTATTATTTTTTGGTATAAATCTTTTTAACATAGGATCATTTTTTCTTAATTAATATTAATCAGGTTTATAATTATAACAATAACCATATATGTTATAAGGATTCATGAGAAATACTCTAATGTTTAATAATAAATAATTACGATGGTGATTCATAATATTAATTAACAACTTAATCCAAAAAGTCAAAACACTCTTAATGTAAATTATGTAAATCAGAACATTTTCCACTATTTTATAAATGTTAAGCCACTTTATATTATTCCTCACTCAAAAACCCTTATCTAGCAAAATATTCAATAGTATGAATAGGATATATATCAGCAACATCACTACATTCAGTTGGATGAGTACAACCATTACCAATCATAATTCCTTTTAAATTGATTGTATTATTAGGATATTCTATATTATGCTTTAATATTTAATTAGCTAATAAAGGAATATAGATTCCAGCATAACTTTCTCCAGCAATAAAAAAGTCTTTCGTTTAATATTCCGGAAATCTTTCAAAAAAATCTACAAGTGCTCTCAAATTTTATATTGCTACTGTATCATCATTTACATCAGCATCACCATATGAATAACCTACTTTAGCAGGGGATTCTAAATATAACATATGAGCCTATATATAAATTAGAGAATATTACAAATTTAGTCCAACTCCATTAGTTCTCTTAGAATTCTGCTGTTCCTTCCTTAAATACAAATGGTCCATTTTCATTTACTGCTCCTTATAGTGATGAACAACCTGGTCCTCCATTCAACCATAACATAACTGGAGTATTTTGTTGAGTAAATACATCTTCAAAGGTTGATGTCATAAAATAATAATGAAAATAGGTTTTATCATCATCTATAGCTTTCAAATACCCTGAATACATTTAGCCTTTGAAATCAAATACGCCATTTGTGTATTCTTTTAGATCATCTGATTTAACTAGATCATCTTAAGCTGTAGATGCTAGAGATAAGCAAATCAATAAATGAATTGCTAATAATTATTTCATTTAATTAATTAATTTAATTAATTAATTAATTGATAATGTCCTATTTTAGCAAACTTTTGCCATTTCCACCAAATATTGAAAAATAAGAAATTCCAAACGATGTAAATGAAATCATTCAAACTTTGATTACTAAAGAGGCTTCACTTTAACAATGGGAAAGCATATCTGTAATCTAATGATTTTATATATATTATATAGTATGCACTTTTCAATCATAAAAGATATGATGACTTTCTTGAATTAATGAAATATTTGACTAATAACTTAATTAATAGATTCAACGATGATTAAAGTAAAAAAATCAAAATTAGAATCTATAATTCATTATCTTTATATTATTTGATATAAGCAACAAGATAGGATGGTTTTGATAAGGCATCAGACTATTTTGACAATGTTGTTAAAAATTTTAACTTATCAGATCGTTATGATTTTGTCAGTCATACATTTAGTATTAAAGGATTATTCTCATTTTACAAAGGAGACAAAGATTAAACATTTAATTATTATACAACTAAAATTGATGAAACAAACTCTTCAAAGTATTAATTCTATTAAATTATCTTAGAGACACTCTTTCTGTTACTCCATGTATAGGTACTGCATAAGCCTATTTTGCAGTTGGTAATTATAAGGATTCTTTATAATATTTAAAAAGGGCTCTTAAAAACAAACCAAATATTGCTGGCAAAGCAAGATTGGGAATAGCTTATTGCTATTATAATTTGGAATAATATTCATTGGCTTTTTATGCATTCAAAAGAGTATTACAATTAGTAAATAAATCATAATAATATTTTAGGAACCTTAAAATGTTGAAGCTCATATTGGTTTGGCAGTTTTAGCATTTGATAAAGGAGATTATGATGAATATTTCAATAGATTGTGCAAAGCCTTTACTATTAATTAGAATCACCCAATTACATTATATCATTTAAGTGAACATTATCTATTTAAATTAGATTATCAAAGGGTATTATATTCATTTTTAATTTATAGGCTATGATTTGCATATAAAATGGATTAAAAGCTTTGGATAATGTATCAAGATTTTAATTTAAAGAGAAATCTTAAGAAGATTAATTCAGAAATGATTGGTCATAATTGAAATGTAGATATCTCTATTTAATTGGTTTAATTAAATAAATAGAGGGTGAATATGAATAATCTCTGAAATATTATAATCAAGCCAAATAATACAATAGAAATAATGTTTTAGTTCTTTTAGGATTGTCTTAATTATATTTGAATCCTTAATCTCAAAATTACACAGAATCATATAAATTAGCAGAGAAGATAGCTAAACAATATGAGAATACTGATTTCATTTGGGAATTGTATAAATAATTAGCTTATATCTAATCAAAGAATTTACAAATTCGTAAACCAGTTATTGAAACTTATAGAAAAGCATTATAATATAATGATAAGGATTTTGAAACATTAATAGAATTTGCTTAATAAATAGAAAATGAGGATGCATCAATTTATTATTAAACTGCTGAAGATCTACTTTTATCAAAATTTAATAATCAAAAGTATACTATGATTTTATAAAAAATAACTGAATAAATCATATTTCCAGAATTATATATTAATATGGGTGTTCATTTAGCAAATAGTGATTTATAAAAAGCATTAAAGAGTTATGAAAAATGTTAATAATTAATAGAAGAATTTTAGATTCCTGATTATGTTGTAGATACTTCAGAAGAGGCTTCAAAATAAGAAGTTTAACTTAAGAAAAATATGTATCAAATTGTTCTTTCATTTAATAAAGGGATTTTGATGGAATAATTAGGAGATTATGTAACAGCTATGGAATTACATTAATAATGCATTAAAATAAATCCTTATTTTATTGATAGTTATGTAAGATTGAGTTATTTATAATTCCATCTTGGAGATTATAAAGATGCTTTAAGAACTATATCAGATTCTAAAATTTATTATGAATAATATGTTAATCATAATAGAAATTATAAAGGATAGAATCCAGTTCCAATGATTCATGGATATATAGCTTATTAATTATAAGATTAAGGAGGAGCAGTTGATTAATTCAAAAGATATGGAGAAGATTGTTATTCAAAAATATTCTTAATGGCTCATGATTATTAATTAGCAGCTGACAAAACTAAAAATGATGATTAATAATTTAAAAAAAAAGTTTTAAGATAAATTGCAAGTACAGGTATGAAATTATTATAACATGAACCAAAAAATATATAAGCAGCTATTACTTTAATATTAGTTATTGCTGAATTAGGAAAATATACAGAGGCACTTAATTTATTAGGTGATCTATAAGAATATGCTAATCAATAACCAAGAATTCTTAGTAATTTAGCTATTTTAGATTGTTTAATTATGCCTAATAATAATTAATCAGCTAAAACATATTTTAAAAAATATTATGAAAAAACTAATTATAAACCAGATGAACATACTGATCTTGCTGTTGCTAAAATGTATTTAAACAATAAGAAATATTAAGAGAGTGCAAATGTTATTAAAAGATAAATTCTTAATAATCCAGGAGATTTGAAACATAGACTTAATCTCAATATGGTTATTCATTAATAATGTTATGAAATATAAGAAGAAAAATCTTCATATAAACTTTTGAAAACAGCAGTAACTTATTTTAAATGTTTATTAAAAAGTTATGAATATATGTCATAAGGTTTATGTTGGTAAAATAGAGAATAATAACATGAAACTGAAAATAGACATATAATTAGATAGAATCATTAATTAATGAGATAGAAGAGTGAAGATAAATTTAATTTTATTCATAGTTTTTAAACTAATTTTGATAAATTATTGAAAGAAGCAGAATAAAAGGAAAAAATTAAAGAAGAAGAATAATTATTATTAGAATAATAAAGAAGAGAAAAACTTGAAAAAGCAGCAACATAATAACAATAGAAATAAGAATAAATAGATTCTACATAAATGGAAAAGTTAGCTAAAATTGCTGCAGATTTAATAAGTAATCTTAATATGGATTAAGAATTTGAAACATAAAATTAAGGTGGTAAAACTAAATAAGGTAAATTAAGTAAAAAAGAGAAAAAAAGAAGATAAAAAGAATAAGCAAAAGCAAAAAAAGAAGATGATGAATTTATTAATGAATCTGATGATGAAGATTACAATTCTCAATAAGCTGAAATGGATGAATAATTTGCAAAAGATGAAATAGGTGAAGATTCTGAAGAATAATTAAATGAATAAGAAGCTTATGAAAAGAGAAATCTTAATAAATAATCAAAGAAAAAGAAAAAAATTAAATAAAAAGAAGTGAAATAAAAATCTAGATTATAAGTAATAATTTTTATATATATTTATTAGAAATAAGTTGATATAAGTGATGAAGAAGGTGTATATGAATCCTAAGATGACTCTAATAAATATGAAGATTTATTTTGAATTACAATAAAACATAACATAATATTATTTATAAAATAACATAAAATTATTATGGCAGGAGAGTTTACAGGAGTTTGTGGAGCTTGTTGTGGAATCAGCAGTTTCATTCTATTTTTAATGATCATATTATCATTTAGTTCATTAGATTATAATGAAGTTGGTTTAGATTATAGTTCAATTACAAAAACAATATCTCCGAAAATATATTCAGCTGGAATACATTTTCTAGGTATTGGTCATGAATTTATAACATTCCCTAAGACAGTTTAGACTGTTGAATTTTCAGATGATAAGGCTGCTGATAGAAAAATGATACATTCAAGAACAAGTGATGGTTTAGAAGTGGTCTTAGAAATTTCATTTTAATATACGTATTAAATAATTAATAAATTAATACTAGTTACAATTTAACTTAGCTATATTCTTTATATGCAACATATTAGACTAAACATAAACCAATTCTAATTAGATAATCTATAGATATTCTTTCTTATGTTGCTACACAATATTCGGCATATGACTTTTTTATGGATAGATAAAATATTGGAATAGCAATGTAAGCAGCCTTAGATGATTTATTTGAAAAAGAATTATATTCAAATTGTGAGTTTTTTCAACTTAGATCTGTGGATTTACCAAATGATTTTGAAAATGCCATTTGGAGTTCTGAAGTAAAGAAGCAAGAAATTGTTAAAGCCTAAGCTCAAAAGAACAAAACTGAAGTAGAACTAGAAACAAATAAGATGACTGCTTTGTACAATAGAGAAGTAGTATTAAATTAAGCTTATGGTGAAGCCAATTCTACATTATCAAATGGAAAGGCTAAGGCTGATGCATTTTTGACAATTTAAGAAGCAAATTAAAAAGGGTATTTAATTATTAACAATATTTTAAGATTGAAATCTTTAAAAGAGCATTTGAAGTTAGATGGGAAAGGTGTAATTGATTATTTGAAAAATAAAGCATTAAGAGATTATGAAGGTGATGATTTATTAATTTTTATTTGATTTAATAATTTGATAGTTAAAATTTACATTCAATGTCTAAGGAAGAGGATCATAGTGAAGTAGAGGATCATATATTAAGAAGATTTGATTTATAAGAATATAAAGGAAAAGGAGCTTATGGAATAGTATGGAAAGCATACGATACTAAAACGAAATAAATTGTTGCATTAAAAAAGGTTTATATTTTAAAATAAGCTAGGTATTCGATGCCTTTTAAAATTCAACAGATGCTTAAAGAACTTATAGAGAAGTTGTATTTTTGAAATAATTAAATAATCATGATAACATAGTTAAACTGATATCTGTTATAAGAGCAGATAACAACAAAGATTTATACATGGTTTTTGAATATATGGAGACAGATTTACATAGAGTAAGATTTTATTAAATATAAAATAGGTTATTAGAGCAGAATTGTTAAACAATATGCATATATAATATGTGATGTACTAAATTCTTAAATGTCTCAAATATATACATTCTGGATTGTTAGTTCACAGAGATTTAAAACCAGCAAACATTTTAATCAATGCAGATTGCCATATCAAAGTAGCAGATTTTGGATTATCAAGATGTCTATCAGAAACAGAAAATAATTAAGGTTTTAAATTTCTATATTTTAAGAAATACCTATAATGACAGAATATGTTGCTACTAGATGGTATAGAGCACCTGAAATTCTATTTGGATCACATTATTATTCTACAGCTGTAGATATGTGGAGTGTAGGTTGCATTTTAGGAGAAATGATACTTGGTAAAGCTTGTTTTGCAGGTATAGATACAGTATATTAAAGGAACTTCAACTTTGGATTAAATTGACAAAATCATTCAATTGATTGGAAAACCTACTATATCTGATTTGGAATCAATCAATGCTCCTATGGGTTATCAAATTATAGAATAAATGGATAGCAAAAAATAATTCAGTTATCATTAATTTTTTCCAAAAGCTAATGATCTTTAAATAGATTTTATAAAGTAAAATTAAATTATGAATTAGAAAATTGTTAGTTTATAATCCAAAAAAAAGATTAACAGCAGAATAAGCCTTAGATCATCCTTATTTAAAAGATTTTAAACAAACAGAACCTGAAACTCTATTAGATTAATGCATAACAATTCCATTTAATGATAATAAGAAACTTAAACTTTAAGATTATAGGGATGCATTATATAAAGGATTAATTACTAAAAAATCTAATAATTTAGTTAGCTCTAATTATTCAAGTTATTTAACTAATAAATAAAGTCGAAATGAACCAAATCCTAATAGTATAGTAGTTAAATCTGATACAGAACAATATATATATAAATAACCTGTTAATTAATAATAATAATAAGTCAGATGTAAATCTAGATTAGATTAAAGAAGTGAATCAGTATCTAAAAAAATAGCATAAACTTAATATTTCAACAGTCAAGACATTATGAGAATATAAAGATAAACTGATAAATCAAAATCTTTTCACATTGATGAAGAAGTATATATTATATAATAATTAATTTTAGATGCCAACAGTCCATAAATCAATAACCAAATAATAATTATTGGATCAATAGGTTCCTACAACTACTCATCAAAAATAATAAGAAAAATCATATAATAGAATGAAACCTTCTAATGGTAGTAAATTATCAGAAAGCAAAGAAAATTCAAGGATTAATTCAGTAGAAGGAACTATAAATAATCATCTACTTGCTTAAGCATAATTTAATTTTCATAAAAGATTATAGAAGAAAAAACAAGTTAGTGAAATATATGGGTAATTTATAATTAATATTTTTTATTAGATAACCTCATCCAGCATAATAAAATCAGAAATCTAAGTAAGTTCCTAAAAAATCTAAAACTCCAGATCTTAAAAATTATTAAATGGTACACTCAAGAAGTCTATCATAAAATAAAAATATTTCTGTGTCAAGAAGTAGTAGTAAACCTAAAACTCGAGGAAGTCCTTATTATTCTGAAGGAAAAGTATTAAATAGTTAACCAGATATGAATGGCTCTTTTTCAAAGAGTTTCTATAATTTTAATAATTTGGGTAAATATTATCTATATATTATTAGTCAATTCTAATTTACCTTTGTATGCAAAAATATTGTCTAAACACTAAAATATTGTTAAATTCAATTAATAGAAATTACGCTATGAATCATTAAAGAAATGATTATATAATAATTTTTTATATTAATCATTAAAAAGTATTAATGTTGAGATATCACTTTGATTTGACAACTTAAAATATGAAGAAGAAAGGATATAATTATAATAATAGATAATATTGATTTCAAAAATAAATAATTAATATTTATTTCAAAATATGGATATTTTTAAGGATTTATTTGCCACATAAGGCTTTCAATTATGTGTGAAAGCTGTTTAAGATGTTTAACCAACAGGAGATTAGGAAGCTTTATTCAAATAATGTCAATAAAATTATGCAAATGCATATAAAGTAGTAGGATAAGAGTTTCTTAGATTTTTCAATAATCAACCATCCAAAGATAGATATGGTCCTCCAGAAGAAATTTGATAAATAATATATTGAAGTACATAAAATAATATTAAAATTTCTTTAAAGTAATACTTGCAATTTAAATTGGATAATAAATAAGTATTTCTATTCTAATTCAATTCACTATTACCAGTATCTTTAACAGATATAATAAAAGACCATTTTTTTTATTTTCCAAATATCAAATAAATTAATATTTTATTTATATTAGGTTTCCAATTTATATACTATTATTTGTAAAATGATTTGATTCATGAATTTATTAATATACTATCAATCATTATTTTAATATATTTGTCAATACTTATTCTGTTTCTAATGTGTATTAGGTTTCTCTCTTAATTGCTTCTGCCAAATAATAAAGTTTATTCATGGATATTAAATATTCTAATAATTCAGGTTGCTAATTAATTAGATATTATTAATTACTTTATCACCTTCTTTCTTATTTTAAGTAGAAGAATTGATTTTATCTGATAAAGTCACTTATTCTTCAATAGTTTCAATTAATTATCGACCATAATTTTAGATGTTGGATGTGAATTTGGTTTCTTCATTTTTAAATTTCTCTTCAATAGATGCTCTATATTGATACAAAAATGCCTAATTATAATATAATATATACTTATGTCAATGGGGTCTTAAGTAATTCTAATGGAAGTTGTCTATATATCTTATCATTCTTAATATTTAAGACAGGAATTTCATCTTTAGAATATATTTCAGCATATTTCTCATTAATCTATTAATAAGGATAAAAAAATACCACAAATGCTTAAAATGGTTAAGAATGACCAGATTTAGCTAATTACAAAGAGTATACTAAGACAAAGGCATATTTAACATAGAATTGAAGTCTATTTATATCTTCAAATTAATCTAAAGTAAAATGTCTATTTTGATCTGTAATAACATAAAGGCCAAGCTTATGGAAATCCAAATGATGTTTTTTTGCATAATCTAAATATTCATATTATTGATCTTATTCTTCATCAACATCAATAATAGGGAAACAATTTGTGACTTCAATTGTTTCACTTTCAATAATTCCTAATAGATAGCCATACTAATTGGCAGTTGGATTATCATTACCTAGTTTCATAATTTTCATGGCAGCCTAAAATGGATATAAGAATTACAATTGTGTCTAATTTAACATTAGATGCTTTAAGTATAGGCTATTCTCCAGACATATTATTAATTTCAATAAAACAAATATTTTTAATCACATTTATATTTTTTAACGCAACTTTTCATAAGCCCTTCTATCTGCCTCAGATATAGATGGTCTGATTTTGTTCAAAGAGTTAATGAAGTTTTGTTGAGTTATAACATTTTATTAAGAAATAATAGCATCTAAGGCTGCAGTAGTAACCAAGTTAGATAAATCAGCCCCAGTAAAGTTTTCACAACGCATAGCCAATTCTTTGAAATCTACATCATCAATAGGTGATTTTTTGGCTATAGTTCTAAGAATATCTTCTCTTCCTGATTCATCAGGCAATGGAACATATAAGGGTTTATCAATTCTACCAGGTCTTAAAATGGCTGGATCAAGAATATCTGGTCTATTACTGGCAGCTATTATAAATACTTATTTTCCTAATATAATATATTTATTAAGTTAATACTATCTTCAAATCCATCTAATTCTGTTAATAATTAATTTACTACTCTTTCAGTAACTTATCCTCCTCCATCATTTCCTCTAACTGGACAAATTGCATCTATTTCATCAAAAAATATAATGCAAGGTTATGAAGCTCTAGCTCTAGTAAATAACTAATAGATATATTTGAATTTTATACTCCTCGAATAGCTTTTTCAGATTCTCCTACATATTTATTTAATATTTCAGGTCCTTTCACTGCTATAAAATTTGCTCTTGAAGCATTAGCCACTGCTTTTGCCAATAATGTCTTTCCACAACCAGGAGGTCCCCATAATAACACTCCAGCAGGAGGTCTGACTTTGAATTGTTGAAAAACCTCTGGATTTTAGATTGGCAACACTAAACAATTGTCTAATTCTTTTCTAAGTTCTTATAAGGATCCTATATCAGACCAAGTAACATCTGGAATAACTGCAAAACCTTCTCTTTTTGCAGTAGGTTGTACTTTTTTCAATGCCATTTCAAAATCTATTGGTAATATCTCTATGGTTTCTTCACTAGAAATTAAACGTTTAACTGCTTCTACTGCTGCTTCTTTACTTAATGAAAATAAATCAGAAGCAACATAACTATTTTATAATAATTTATATATATATATATACCCAGGTGTCCTTCTAGACAAACTATAAAAATCAATATTATTGACTTTTAATGGTTTAATCAATTTCTTTAATATATCTTCTCTTTATTCATCAGTAGGAACAGTAATCATAATTTCTTTATCAAATCTTCCACTTCTTCTTAGTGCAGGATCTAATTAATCTGGATGAGATGTAGTTGCAATTAAAAATACATTATTAGGTAATTAATCTAAACTACCCATAATTTAAGTTACTACTCTTTTTTCCATTTATCTAATAATATAATTTAATAATATTTACTTATTTGCTTTATCTCTATCTCCTGCTATTACATCTATATCATCTATAAAAACTAAAGATGGTGCTTCTTAAGCTGCTTATTAAAATAATTATCTAATATTCTTTTCTGATTCTCCACTCAAAGATGCTACTATTTCTGCTCCATTCTTCATAAATATATTCAATTTAAATTATTAATATAGATCTCTACATATTGCTTTTGCAAGATAAGTTTTACCACAACCTGTAGTTCCAGTTAATAAAATTCCTTTAGGAGCATTGCTTCCCAATTCTGTAAATATATGTGCATACTATAATGGCATATATATCATTGATTCTATTTATGATTTAATTGATTCAATTCCTCCAACATCATTTAAAGTAGGGAATTACATCAAAGTTTCTTCATCTAAAACTTATGATGAATTATTCTTTGCAATATTATTGTTTTAAGTATTATTGACATTATTTTCAATTTTAACTTTTTTTTAAGGTTATTTATCTTCTATTACCACTACATCTTTGACTTCCTTTTATTCTTTGATAACATTATCTTAAAAATAAATCTTTATCTTAGATTATAATATTGCTTTTGGTAATCGAGGATGTTTTTGGGCTAGAGTATCCTACACCTCTAAAATCGATGGATTTACTTATTTTTATTATTCTATTATTTAATGTTTTAATACTGAGTTCTTTGAATATTTCATGAATTTAAGACATGATCTATTCTTATAAATTTGCCATAATTAGTATATAATTTAAATTTTAATATAAAATTCCAAGGTTATTATGAGAAATAACTAAATTGATAATCAATAAAAATATACAAAGTAATAAAGAAAACAGAATGTAATTACAATTGATAGTTAATATAGTTATTAATCAAAGTAATCCATTTACATAGTTATTAATTAAATCTTCATCTTCTCTTTAATCTAAATCATCATTTTTCCAATAATTATACTCTTAATCTATTATTGAATTATCATTTTCTGTTTAAGTTAATTTAGAATGTTTTACTTTTTCAGATTGAGTTTCTTAAAAAAAAAACCTAGGTTTTCTAGTTTCTTTTTCTTATTTTTGATTAGTTTTTGAATTAGGAGAAAACCCAAACGTTTGTTTATATATTTCAGGTTAAAATGCTCCCATTATATATTTTTTTGCTTTCAAATTGTTTTAAACAAAATATGGTTCTAGTAATAAATTATTAATCTCTTTCTTCTCAATTTATTCATTATATAGATGTTTAGCTGAAAGAGATTTTTATTGTTTGTTTTATACTTCCATTTCTTTTAGTCTACATTTTAATATTCTTTCTGAATTTTATTTTTGTTTATCTGGTAAAGCTTTAATTCCTCTTACTTCAGTAAAATATTCATTGTAATAAATATTGTTTGGAGATTATGATTGAAATTAATTTATTTTTGGTAAGTGAAATCTATTGTTTGATTTGTATATTCTAGAAATAACTAATGCTGGTTTATTTTAGAAGCTTATGTTACAATCTTTCATTTAATTAAAATTAAATAATCATTTGTTCTTGAGACTAACAATATAATCTTCAAATAGATTAATTGTATGATGTCGAACAATGATAATGTTGAATAATATCATTAAAATCAAAAATAGAGAATTTCAATTATTATAATGTGATAATAGTGAAATTAGTGCTTTACTTATTTAAATTCTCTATAATTATAACATTTCATTATGATTCCTATTATTCTTATTCTTTCTTTTTTTCTTCACTTTAGATTTGCTCCTTATATTAATCAATATTCTTTCTTAATCTTTCTTTCTTTTTCTCAAAATCTAATTTTTCTTATTTTTATCTTTATTCTTCATCCTTCTTCTTTCTTTCTTCTATTTCCTTTATTATTTCTAAATTTATTATAGATAAATACATTATTCACGTTCATTATGTTAATTTTTGATTTAAGCCAATTATCTTTTTGTACTAGCCATATTACTATTTTCAAATTATTTCATATCTTTAACAATTGAAGATATTTTTGATATTTCTAATTCTCTACTTTCTGCTTTTCTAGCTTCTTTCATTATTTATATATCTTATTTCATTTATTCTTCTTTTCTTTATCTTTTTTAAATATTTTCAGTTCTTTCAATTTCTCTGATTAGATCTTCTTAAAATCCTATTCTTCTTTCATATTCCACTTTCATTTATCCAAAATTATTAGATGATACATGTTTAGGAAATGAAACTGCTGAAGATGATTTCACTTTCAAACTTTCTGTTTATAATTACTTAAATTTTTCTAATTTTTTATCAAGTTATTATGACTTAATTTCTAAAGATTATTTATACATCTCTTATTAAACTTCTTTACGAGTCTAAAGATTAATAAATAATTACTTTATTTTTTATCACCTAAATTATTCTCCTTTATTCTTCTGTTTAATGTTATTATTTCATATAATTATGATATTCATCTAACATTTCTTATCGAATCTATACTTTTTCTAATTTTAATAATCCTTTTAGTTCTCTTTATAATTCTTAAAATGTTTTCATGTATTTTTCATTATCTACTTTTTATGATAATTCTTATAATTTTTCTAGTCTTTCCATCATATTTTATTCTCTTTTAGCTTATAAATCTTCTAATTCTTTGATTCTTAAATCATTCATGCTTTTAACTTTCTCTATTTTCTCTCTAGGATTTAAATAGTTTCTTTATTATTGGGTTTCCTTTATTTCATTCTTCAAATTTTCTACAATTTACTTAGCTTAATTAAAATTAGATGATTCAGCATCCGATCTATTGTGTAACCATTTCTAAATCTCCTACTATTATAGAGTTTGCATATGTTTTTATTTTATTTTTTATTATCTATGTTTCTCTAATCTTTCTTCAAGTTCTTATTGCTTATGTTAATATTCAATTTATTTTGATAATAATTCTTCCTCTTTCTTAGCTTTATGGACTTCTGCTCTCTCTTTCTTCTTTATTTTATCATACAACTTAAATTCTAATTCTAAAGGTGACAATGATTTTGTCAATATTGATTTACTCATAGATACAATTGATTTATCTAAAATTATAGACTTCTCTGCTATAGAAGACTGCATAATAGATTAGTCTGCTACTGACTACTATTATTTCTATTCTTGAATAGGTATATATTATATTTCTTTTCTGATTTCATTTATTTTTTATTTTCTTGAATGTTCCAAATGATTAGATAAAGCATCTATTAATTCTTAATTTATTTTATTTCCCAATGGATCTACAAATATAAATTAATATATACCTTTCGTTTTTATGATTTAAATGACATCTTTTCTCTATTTTCTTTGTAAATCTTAATATGTATACCCTAACACTTACATTGCCCTCACAAATCTTGGTGTTAAATCAGCTTCATCGATATCATAAGGACCTAATATTGAATAACATAAAAATATAACCTTTCTCTTTTTTCTGCTCCATTAACCCTGATTCATTTTATTATGATTACTCTCCTTTCTATTATTCTTGTTATTCCTCTTTTTTTTCATTTTGATTCTCTTAACTTTGTTGATTTTATTAAGTTTATTCCCCATTTGTATTTTATTATGGATTTTCTTACTTTTACTCATTTTGATTATTCTCTTGTTGATTTTGTGTTTCTGACATTTTGTAATAAAAATTAAATAATAGATTTACTATTTAAGATGTAATATAATTAATCTTTATAGTTCATAATAATTGTGATAAGAAATATAAATTATATTATATATATATATATATATATATATTAGATATCCAAAAATATTAATGAAAATATGAATTAATCAATAATCTCATAATATTATACTTCATTAAGAGATTATTAATCCATTTAATAAGAATTTTTATGAACTGTTAAATTCTTAGAATTATTTGAATGAATAAAAATATATCAATTAATTCTGCTCTTTAAGTATCCTGAAGCACCTTCTAATTTAGTAGCCAAGATTTCTTCAACTTATCTGATGATTCCAATTTCCTTGGTTCTTTATTCACTATCTCTGGCATATTAGGTTCTGAGAGCTTCACAATCATTCTCCTTTTAAGTCTTTCCAGCAGTTGCGGTGGCTAATTCTCTACCAGCATCTTCCTTTCTCTTCTTTTATGCTCCCAAAGCATTTTCAGTTTAGGTTAATTTGGCTTCGTTATCTTTCAAAGCATTTTAGCTAAAATTATAACAATTATACTTACAAGTTCTTTCTTTGATCAGCGAATTAAGCCAACATATTTTAGTAATCAATTTAAGCTTAGACTTCAGCTTCTTAGTCATCAACAGCTGATTATTCAATTGATTATCTAAGTTCAGCAATCTTGTCTTATGTTTATTATAATCTTTCCTTTGAGAAGGCAGAGGCAATTGAAACCAAAGCAGCAATTGGGTTACTCTTACCCATATTGTGTAATTCTAAGAAGACAGCCTTTGGATCTTATTCTGGTTGAATAGCTGATAATTTGGCAGCAACAACATTCAAAGCTTCAACAACATCAGCTGTAGACTTAATTCTTTAAGTAAAAGCTTCAGCATCCTTTGCTCTTTGAGTTCTTAAGGTTTCTTCTTAATCATTAAGAATTCCTAATTGAACTTGGATGTTTTCAATTTCACTTTCTAATTATTGGACTTAAGCAGACAAGGCTGTGATTTCAGTTGTTGATTCACTGATTTCATTGGAAGCATAATCAATTCTTCTATTGTAACCAGCAATTTCAGCAGCACAATCAGCTTCATCAGCGGCATGTTTTAATTCAGCTTATTATTATTGTAATAATAAGTTTTCTCTTAATTCTTAAAGCATTCTAGCAATATCAGCCAATGGAGCTTAGTTTTTCATTTAAAGAGCAATTGTATCAAGTAATTTTCTTCCTAATGCGTGTTCTTCAATCTATTAACTTAAATAAAATGTATTACCTCTTCTAATTCAGCAAAGACTCCTGCATTTGGATCAGATGGCTTTTTAACAAATACTGCATTGAGTGTTACTAATCCCAATAAGAAGCAAATTGTGAATTTCATTAAATTAATATTAATAAAAACGGATTTAAAATTACCTTAAAAATAATTTTTAAATAATATATATTTATAATATGTTTAAAAAACTTTTAATTTTTTATCTTCCTTATAAAATTACTTAAAATAGAGATTTCAATTAAATGAATCTTCAAGAATATTTGAAATTTATGCATTTATATAATATAAACAAAGTTAAAAATAAAATAAAGATAAATAAATTATGGAAAACAATTAATTATTTTATTGGATATCATTATCAATTCTGTTTTGTGAGAATTTCAAAATTAGTATTGAAAAGGATTGTAAGATTATATATATGTATTTAAGTCTTTATTAAATTCATTTAAATATAATTAAATTAACTACATTCATTAAGATATGATAAGATAACATCCAAAAATTCATGAAGAATAGTATTCTAAATATTTTTCTCTATTTATTTTAGTAAACCCACCACCTAATCTTTATTATAATCTTATTTTTTAATCTGGAATATGCTGATAACTAACATCTTATTCTAATGACCATCTACTATAATTGAGATCTGAAAGAACAGATTCAACTGATTCTTTTTTTTCAATTGATAAAACTGGTAGTATGTTTTTACCGCTTTTTCTATGGTTTATAACTTAGACTTTTTAAACTGCCTATCTGTATTTTGAAGTATATTGAGATTCATCTAATTATTTAGGAAATGCCTTTATTTATACTCTTTTATAAATCTTACTATATTCTTTAATGATTTCTATTCTATTTTACTTAGCTATTTTGCCTTCTATATGATGAAATTTCTCAGTAAAATCAAATTTATTAGGGGAATTAGTTTCTTATCTATCAGAATAAGCTTTATTTGCTCTAAGTTTCTACTCTAAAGTTAATATACCATAATTAGCATTCATTTCTTCAGGTGTAGTATTTTACTATATTTTTTTACATCTAATTACAGATCCACTTCTGGTTGGAAATTATAAAGGTTTAAAAATCATTTATTATTCTTCATTTCTTCTTGTTTCTCTATGTTTAGACATCTCTTCATAAGATGAGAAGATCATGTAATTGTTATTTTGATTAGCAATTTTCATAATTTCTTCTTTGGCTTCTTTTAAATAATTTTACATTTTTAGTCTATCTTCTAAAGTTTGTTTATGTTCATCTTAGAAATTATTTAATTCATCTTATTAAGAAGTTAAAATTCCTTTTTTTTAATAACCTTGTATTCTTTTTATAATTTTCTTTGCTGGAGATTATTAAATAACTGTTTCTGACAACATTTAATAATTATTCTTGCTAAATTTAATTTACAAGTTGAGTTGTATAGTATAGCATCTAGAACTTATATTATTGAATATTAATAGTAGAAAGACTTAAATGTTTAAAACAAAAAAATAATGAAACATTGAGTTTAATAATATTTTATTCAAGACTTCATAGAATACGAACTATTTTTTAATCCTAGTTAATCTTAACTTGCTGAATTTGAAATATTTTTTTTAGGTATATCTTCCAATTATACAGGAGTTAGAGGAGTAGAGGTAGTCATATAATTCATTATCTAAATTGAATCATTATTTTTTGGGGAGGAAACGGTAGTTGACTAATCAATCGAATTAGATTATATAACTGATAGATTTAATTGAGCTATTATTCTCTAAAAATGAATTAATATATATCTACTTAATATATTCTTTAGCATAAATCGATAGATTGTTATGAAAATTCATCATCGCAAATTTCAGAGTTTTATAACGAATAAGTATCTAAAAAATGTTACGGCTCTTTAATGTCTTAAATATATTGCTCAATATAATCATTTAATTTCTATTATAAGTCTTCAAACGAACTTGATCTTTTTCTACTTGCTGGAGATTACAGTTATAATTGCTCCTATTATTACATGATCTCTTATGATTTGTCGATTAGTAATTACAGATTTATCTCTTAAATCTTAAACGATTATGTACAAGAACTTTACTAATCATTTATCTAAATGTATTTCGAAATAATTGACCTATTCATCCTTCTCATGTATTTTCCCTTTTAAAACTTATGATGAAGTTATTTCTAATTTATTATAAACTTCGTTCTGATAGTTTAAACATCTCTGTGAATTTTTCATAATGAGATTAATAATTTATTTTTAAGTCTAAGATCAACATCATAGAGAATATTATTATAAATATTTATAAAGAAACAACTAAAACAAATGTAGTCAGCAAGTTCTCAAATCTTTTTGAAAACAATGGTAGATTTTGTGCTAAATTTAATTCAAACATTATTATAAAAAAATAAAGAATTATTTTTAGTCATTTTCAACATTAAAAGCTTAGTAATTATTTATTTATACTTAATGAATACATAATCTAAAGATGATTTAAGTATTCTTTGATTTAACATACTCAATATTTTAGTTTGTACATATATGTAATATCAAAACTTTTAAATTAAAGCAATATCATTTATACTAAATAGATTATTCTAAAAAGATTGAGTATAAGGTCAAATATTTTTATAGAGAATATCTAAATAATATAAATTATTGAATAATTAATTTATAAGAAAAAATTAATTATATGCAATAAGAAATTTAAGGAGAAGAAAAAAACTATGAAGTCTAAATACAATTTGAATAAAATAATTCAGAATTGATTGAATAAGTATTATCAATAGATAATGTAGATGGGATTTTGAAAATGGATAGCAATGGTAAATTGAATGTATACATTAGGAAATTAATTGGTATTAACATTTAAAAGTAATGATGTTAAAAAAGTGGGACAAACTGTTAATCATACAATAGATTAATTATTGCTTGTTCTTGAGACAATAAATTATACAAAGAAATGAGTATATTCAATTTAATAATCATAATTTATATTAGTCAATAGTGAAAATCAAAATATGCTAAAATAGGTAAGTGATCACTTGGAAAATTCCTATTAGGTAAAGCTACTTCTTGTTATAATAAACTTTCTTCTGGTAATCTTAAAATCTTTTCCACATTTGCATTATGATAGAAAATGTAATCAATACAACCTTTAAACTAATTTAATTATTTTATTCAAATTTACATCTTTTGTATAATTAGTAAATTTAGGGAATGGATGATAAGCACTTTGCCAATTCAATTTTGGAGGACCATAGTGTTCGAATATCTCCTTTTATATCTTAATTTAATTTGAAGATTTTTCTATTCTTTCAATTATTGGTTTGTTTTTTTAAATATATTGTATTGGATTAGAATGAGGGAGACTATTTAAATCTCCACAAAATATAAGTATTTGATCATCAGATTCTTTTTCAGCTTCCATCTTTTAAACTAGTTGAACTATCTAAAAGAATTTTAAGTCATCCTAATTTGGATTCCAGAATGTATGTATGTTTCCAATTACTAGCTGTTTTTTTGTTAGTCTTATTATATCTTAAAAAATACATACATATGTTCCAATCTGACAATTTGAAACACATTCTACCTTTGATATTAAAGAGGCAGTCCATAATTTAATGCCATCTTATCAAGAGAATACTCTGAATATTTCAACAGCTTGAATTTTTCAATTTTGAAAGCAATTAAACATCCATCAGGTCTTTAAGGTCTCTAAACATAACAGAATTCATAGTTTAGTTTTTTAATGTGTTCTTGATAAAATTCTATGTTATCCACCTCTTATAGGCAAAATATGTCAACATTGAAAATTTTCAATTATTCTATAATTTTAGTACTTCTATTAGTAAACTTCAAATATTAATTGTGAGCGTAACCAAATTATGACTGTTCGCAATAGATAGCGGCTAATATATTATATGATAATATAGAAATTGCATGTCTAAAATTAATGAATTCTGGCTAATATTCATTTTGCATTGTTAAATTATTACTAGGTTTCTTTTGAATACTATTTATGATTTATCCCATTCTTAATTATTATTAATAAATAATTTTTAAGTAGCATTATCAATAATGTTTGACATTTCAACATCAGAATTTGTTGTTTGTACACATTTTTTTTGAAAATAGAAAGAGTTTTAGATCACTTTAAAATACTTCATAAATATATATATATATATTTATAATACATTTAAGTTGAAATCAATAAACAAAAAAGTGAGTAAATCATATTGAATCAATATAATTGAAAAGTATAAAATAGAATTTTAAGAAGGGATTTCCTTTACTAAATGATAATATGGGATTCTATTGTTTGTAATATATAATTGCATTATAAATTAAATCTTTTTTTAAAATAAAAAATGGTTAAAAACTCAGCATAAGACCCATAAGATAATTCCTTATAAATGAAAGTACATAAGAAGAATATCATCTTTAGATTAGACAATACTTGGTCTCAGGTAGAAGACTTCCATCAAAAGAAGATCCAAATCCCAAAGTTATAAGCATGAGAATTTTTGCAAGAAATACAGTTGCTGCAAAGAGCAGATTCTGGTATTTAGATTATGCAATATTATAGGTGGAATTTAAGAAGATTAAATAAACTTAAACCTTCTCATGGTTAGATTTTAGCAGTTCAAGAATTATTTGAAAGAAGAGACACAAATGTCAAAACCTATGGAATTGTTCTTAAATATTAATCCAGAACAACAATTCACAATATGTATAAGGAATTTAGAGACACTACATTGAATGGTGCTGTCTCTTAATTATGTATTAAAAAATTGTGACTTCTTAGATTAAGAAATGGCTGGTAATCACAGAGCTTAACCATAAACTATACACATTCTTAGAACTTCAGTTTTAACCAAGAGTGCTGATATCAAGAGAGGAAAGACTAATTAATACAGAGTAAATTTAATCATAATTTTATTTAGGGAGATTCAATTAGATTCCCAATTGTTAAGACAGTTCCAAGAGCTAGCCATAAAAAATTCAGAACCGTATTCAAAGCCAAAAGACCAAATCTATATAGATCATGATAATAATGATTATTTAGTACAATAATAATAAATTAAATAATATATATGGTTGTTCTATTAGATCTAAATATTATACTTTATATTAATTTCATATATTTTTATAATTTTATAGTATAATATATTTCTAAAAAATGTATAATGATATTTACAAAATGAATGACTTTTATATAAATAAAAGATAGATTTCAAATGAATCTTTTAAAAATGATTCCCAATATTAATCCATTGACCATAGCCAAAATGTGAGTTGGTCTACATACTTCATTAATGAATCCATTTTAATATTCTTACATTTCATACATGCCATACATAGCAGGAACTAAAAAGAATGGAAGGGGTGGCTAATGTTAATAATTGAATATACTTTATTTAATAATTTTAAGTGAGGTTTTAAAACCATTAAAGATGTCATAAAACTTAAAGGAGTTATTGCAGAAACACATTTTGGAGACATCAAATTAATACCATATTCAGCACTTCTTTTTTTTTCATAATAAACTGTAAATGAGGAACAAATAAGAGAGTTAATGAGATAAAAAGTTAAAAATTAAGTATTACAAAGGATTGTACTCATTTAATAAAATGTATATAACATAGCTGGGCCATAAACTAATAATTATCCCTAATAAATTGATTATTGAAATACATTGGTTTAGAAATTTAAAGGAGCCAAAATTAAGGAATGAAAGTATGATTTCTTAGGTACATATTCTGAAATTGTTAAGTGAGGAAATGCTTATCCATAAGGTAATTTAGACCAAGCAATAAATGAAATCAATGATGTACCAACCAAAGTTAATGGAACATAAGTTGCTTTAAAGTTAGCAGTGCTTTTTGTAAGTCTTGCAATTTATTCGAATTTTTAACTCATATATAATTATATCATGTAAATAATATAAACTCAATGTTTGCTGTTATTTAAATAAAATTGTGAGTAGGATCATGTTTGAATGTTTTAATGCAGACTTTACATAAATCAAAATCTGGACATTCACAACATTAATAACGAAGACCTTAAACAGGTGAAGTATTACAATAATCACAACATATGAATTCATGTATATTTGCTTTGTGTATCTTAAATCTCTTCATCATACTAGATTTTTATTTCATCATTTTCATTTTTGAATCTTATTTAAGTTTATTCCAATCTGTCACATGATTACATTAAATAAAGATATGACTAATAGAATGATCTTTTTCTCTTTTATGGGTATTACACATATCGCAAATTTAAAAATAATAACAAATAATGCATCTAAAATATTTACTATTTTCCAAATTCTAATAACAAAATTAACATTTATGATAATCAACCTATTCATTTTAATGGATTTAAGATATTGAAAGATGCTAAAATTGTTCATCCAACTGTTGGACTTCTTACTACTAAGAGTATATTTAGGAATAACCTTCAGATAATCTATCTTGCCATTCTTCAACATCCTGAATCATTTCTTTAGATACAAATTATTCTTGTTTTAATTGAATGATTTAAAGAATAGGGAAGTTACTAATATTTATGGATAAGATTAAATATACATATTTTTAAGGTTCTGTAATCTTTCTATAAATAAGTTATAATCTATTGGACAAGCTAAATAGATGACTCTATCTTTAATATTTAAACAATAACACATTGTAAATTTTTAAGGTAATTGAAATTTTTCATTCAAAGTGTTCAAGAACTACTTAAAATTAGGTGTAATTTTGATTTATTCTTGCTCTTTAGTTATAGTGTTGTACACAGGAATAGTGGCTGATTATGAAAATCTATAATTATTCATTTAAATATATACACATATTTATTATAATATAAATTCATTCTAATTCGATATCATCTAAACAAATTTTGAAGAGATCAGACATTTATAATGTAGCAATTGGTTCTTAATTTTCATTCAAGCAAACTAAACTACCTCTAGAAGAGAGTAATAGATTTTCAACAACCTAATTATAATGTATTAATACTTCTTTTAATGTTTGTTTCATGTGGAATAGTTCTTTATTGCATATACAAAAACCTGCAAACTTTTTTTTCTCAATTTTAATAAAGTTCAATAAATCTACAGCAGGTCTATTCAACTATTCATATTATTAAATTATACCATATCATATACTTAATATTTGAGAATAAATAAAAAGTCTCTTCTATCTATCAATCCTAAATACTTATTATTATTATCAACAATGGGAATAGCATTACGTTTAAATACATAGATCAATTTATAGAATACACTAATAAATATAAAGATATAATTACTCATATACATTAGTATCAAAAGGAAGTTTATCATTCAATTATAAAATTCTATCACTAAAGTAATTGATTTCTAGTTCATGCTATTCTGATTATTGATTATTTTCATGATGAACTTCAATTCTATGTGATTTTTATGATAATTATAAATGGAAATATTAACTAAACCCTTTTACAAGAAATGCTAATATATCCTTTTATTATAAGATGCCCACAATAATTCTAGATTCAGTATCAATAACTACAATTCTTGTTACACCCTACTTTAATATCTTCTTCATTGCATCATTTAGATTATCAGCCATATCTGCTTAAACTAGACTACTTTGATGAAGACTTTCTCCATAAGAATTGAACCAGTCTCTTACTGAGATTGTCTTTAAATCAATTAGCAATTTGTTTATCTGTTCCTACCCTATTAATTGTTTTTCATTCACAGGAGTATTACGATCTTCATCTTCCTCTTCCATAATTGGCTGAACCTATATTTTACTATTTCCCCACACTGACTAAAATATACAAAATAGATTACCATTAGGAACACCATTCAGAATATTTTGATAGCATTTAAGGATTATTCGTATCAAATCTGTTTAAGTGAATACTCCATCATAATAAGCTACATCTGGATTCCAAAACAATACTTCATCAATATGCGTATCAATAAACACATTAAAAACATCAAACAAAGAGAATGATTAATCAATTACAGTCACTTAATTATTAATGGATAAGCTATCATAAAGAGTACTATCTTGTAAGAAGCAAGTAAGAGTTTTCATATATTAATCTTTGATTATATCTTCTTTGCTTTACATCCTTTTCATTTCTTGTATATATATTTAAAATTGATAATAATTTTTATTCAAAATTCACTTCCTTCCAAAATGATCATCATTATGATAACCATATTAATCTTTCTATTAATAAAATTTCTGAATCTTGTTATTCGAATTCAAAAGTACTTATTACTTTTTATTCCATTCTTCAATAGCCTTATTTCTAGTTATTGGGTTTTCTCTATCATAATCAGTATCAAATCCCTAACTTCCTTCGTCATAGGGTTTACACTAATGAATACATTGAATTTCATACTTATTCATTATTTACCACTGGAAATAGTTTTTCAGATATATCTTCCATAGGTAATGATGCATAAATGATTGCAATCACCATAAGTGTAACATCTATCAAACTAATTTCTTTGAAAAATGCATAAGTCATAATCATTTCCCCAAAGGCACTCCAAACAATTATATATTCTAACATCTCTATCATTTCTAATAATCATTTAATCAAAACTATTACCTGTTGATAATTGAATACTTATTGATTCTTTAACTGTTCTTCTTCTTAAGATATTATAATAGTCAACATAATAGTAAATGAGAATACCAAAAGCACTAAACAAAGTACCTAAAGGTATGGCTGTACCATAGAGAAAGGTAAACCACATAGTTTTCATTATATCTGAATATCTTTTTGCAGATAAGTAATCAGGTTCTTCCATTAATTTATTAGCATCTTATTAAGTTAACAAAGCTTTCTCTCCTTTTCTGATAATATACCATCTCCATATATTTTTACAAAGACTCCAAGGATCAAGACACCAAATAAATGGAGGTAAGAGAGCATTAAGTATAAATATTTGACTTTCATTTTATAAGAATCCTCCTGCACCTTCAACATTCTTTAAAATAACAATATCTACAAGAAAACTGATTATAGCTGCATTTAAAAATAATGCTGAGGCATATTTATATACAAAAGATATTTAAAATTTAGTTTTACTAGAGATCTTTTCATCATCAACAATATAATGAACAATTTTTGCAACAGCAAATTTATTGAATAGTACAATACTTAAAGAGATAGCATAAGATAGTATATTTATCTTTAACATAGTATCATGATCGAGTTTACCTTTGATTTCTTCTTCTCTAGCTTCATCACCATATTTAGCAACTCTATGAGCAATCAAATAGATTGAATAAAATGCTGCACTTTCTACTAAAATATAAATGATCCAAGCTTTAATTCTTTTGCTAATCTTTTCTTCAGTTTTAACATGTATAAATTCCCAATCTACTTCATTTGGTTCAGGAGCTTATTCAATAAATAATTTTTAATTATGCCAAGATAAATCTTTTTCTGTTATTCCAGGTAATTTACCTTTATTCCAATAAGATCTCATTCTTTCTAATTATGTAAATGGATTTTCATTTAATACTTTTGTTTTCATTTCCTCATTATCAAAAGAAATAAAAGCTATTCCAGCAAACTTTTTATTCTCTTTTTCATATTCTTATCCTAAATGATGTACTTCATGTTCTTTTTCTTCTATCTTTTTATCTATCTCTTCAACACTTGGATGATGATAATTATAATTATGTTCTTTTATTAATTCTTTCTTTTTATCTATTAATAAATCTAATTCTTTTTCTATATCTATAATCTCTTCAATATCATATACAAGAACAACTTTCTTAACAATAATTTATTCTCCAGTAACTGCACATGTTTCAAACATATGTTTCAATTCCCATTAATAATCAAGTCCCAAACCTATTGGTATATTTTTTACACAGACTGTATAATCTGCTGGAGTAAGCAATTCTTCATCAATATCTGTATCAATTTACCTTTAACTCTTTCTAAAATATAGTAGGACACCCATCACTATGAAAATATTAATAAAATTTAGTATTTGAACATGCTCTAAGGCTTATCGATTGCTAAATTTGTATTATTGTTTACTCTAATTTATTGGCTAATGATAACTTTAAAAACCAGGAATCTGAGCAAAATGGTAGTTCTACAATATGACCTTCCAATTTTTCTCTCTTGGTTTGACTACAATAATTGCCTTAATAATTAGTATATAAATTGTAGAGTTGTTTTGTCAACAATGTAATGAAGAGGATGAGGATGCAATATTTAAGATAATTATAGAACAAAGTGAATCCTGAGCCAAGAAAAGATAAAGCCATAGGATTAGAACAATAGGGAATTTCTTCTCTATCTACTTCAAATCCACAGCATGGACAAGTATCAACTTAACAATTAATATATGTATATATACCACTAAGTGTTTTGTTAGGATCTTTCTACTTCTCTCGAGTAGTCTTTCTTGATAAAGCATGCTTTCTGGCTATCTCCCAATTACAAGGCATTTACAAAGGATTATAATGTTGTCCTTCATGCTTACCATGCTGTTAATGAATTTGATCAATATTATTTTATGAATGTTCTTAATTATTTGGATGCTAGTTTTATGAGATTCTTGACTATTCGTCCTTATTCTACTATTGTACTTTTTGAGACTAAATTATGGATATTATTAAATAATTACTTAACCAATTGAATTTGAAGGGATTTCATTTGATGATGCTCCAAGAAAATGTTATTAATTGGTGGAATGGTTATTTTAACTGCGCTTATTCATATTTATTTAAATTTAATAAATTTTTATTAAGCGTAAATTATCATAAATATTTTATTATGTAGTCATAAAATTAGTTTGCATTATTTGGTAATGCACAAGTTAATGAACCAGAATAAAACAGTGAAATCAAGAAAAAAAGAGATGATTTTGCAACAGAAATCAGATCCAAGGATAGAAATGCCATAATAAACAATAAAAGATTAGCTTAAAATGTAGTTAATTTACTTATTCCTTTTAGAATTAAAATACCTCAATTTAAGAATAATTATCTTTGATTCCATAAACACTACCCTTTGATATTTAATAAGCTTTGAAAACTTAATAAGAAGTCTTAACAAAAAGAACATTTACTTTTGAAGATTTCTCTGACATTTTATAAAAAATCTATTCCACAGATGTCATTTAACTTCATTATGGAGTTACTGGATTAAGAAAAATGTTATCAGTTGAAGTATATATTAAATATATTTTAAGAGTGGAGCCCCAATATAATAAGTAATAGATGCAAATCTAGTACCAAAGTTAATAGAAATTATTTAAAAAGAATAAATTCCTTAATTGGTACTTGAAGCTGCTTGGGCATTAACAAATGTTGCTAGTGGAACCACATAACAAACATAATCTATCATAGATAAAGGAGGAATATACCTATTTGTTAAATTGCTAAGTTCTCAATACAGAGACATAGCAGAATAAGCTGTATGGGCAATTGGAAATATTGCTGGAGATTGTACACAATACAGAGATCTAATTTTAAGGGTTGGAGGAGTTGATCCTTTGATCACAATTATTTAAAATGCTTAGAACAAAAATACTATCAAACATTGTACATGGTCATTAAGTAATTTATGTAGAGGTAAACCAATACCAGAATTCAAAGTAAATATATAATAAAATTGTAGTATGTAAAAAATGCATTGCCTGTATTCTGTAAAGTCATTATTGATGAAACTGATCCTGAAGTATTGACAGATGCATGTTGGGCTATGTCATATCTTAGTGATGGAGATAATAGTAGATTATAAACTGTTATTGATTCTTAAGTAGTGCCAACTTTAATCAAATTATTAGATCATTCTTCTCTTTAATTAGTCATCCCAACCTTAAGAATTTTAGGTAATGTTGTAACTGGTGATGAATAATAAACTACTTATGTACTCAATTAAGGATTGTTAAATAAGATTCTTAAATTGTTGTCTCATGAAAAAAAAGCTATTAGAAGAGAAGTATTAAATTTTAATTATATCATAGACTTGTTGGACTATATCTAATATAACAGCTGGAAGTAGCAATTAAGTTTCTCAAGTAGTTAGAGATGGTGCAATTCTAGAAAAGTTGTTTACTCTTATGACAACTGATGTTGAAGAAATAGTTAGAGAATCAACTTGGGCTATAGCCAATTCAACTAAGAATGGAAGCAACTCTGATATTTAACTTTTGGTATAAAAAGGATTATTTAATGTTTTTAAACATTTATTAGAAGGAGAAGATACTTAAACTATGACAGTTGTACTTGAAGCTTTATTTAATGTATTAAAAAGAGGTATTATTTTGTTTAATATTCTTTAGGTGATTAAGATTTTTAAGATGATAATTATTATTTAACCAATCTTGAACAAATGGGAGTAATTAGAAGAATTGAAGAATTACAAAAACATCATAATTAAAATGTATATTAGAAATGTTTCAATATCTTGGAATAGTATTATGAAGCTGAATCTGAATTATGATGTTTTTTTATTGTTTTATTCAATTAATTTTAAACATATTATAATCATTTATTTCTTAAAAATAAATGAGATTTTATTAAGAATTTCCAATTAATATTATAATCTATTTTATTACAAACATTAATAAAAATTATATGATAATTTAATATATTTTATCATAAATAAAAGATATTAACTTTTTTATTTATTATTTACAAGATAATTATATATTTATATAAATATCAAATGAATATAATTGAATTTTTAATAAACATAATTTATATGTATATCACTCTACTTTTTATGGTTTTATAATGATTGAAGAATCATTAAGTTTTAATACACTTTAATCAAATGATTTTTGTTTATATTTATCAATTTCTTCATCTAAATTTGACTCTTATATTTTATATTTTCTAAATTAATAAATTACAATTCCACCTAAAATTAATAATAATTATAACAAATACAAGATGTTAATATGATTCCTCCTAATACAAAAAGTAATATTCTAATTAATCTCCATTATTAGGAGAATAAAAATGTTGTTACAACTTGCACAGTGAAATTCTTTGTTGTTCTAATCACTTTATTTGTTGACATTACATTATTTTCAATAACTGATTAATTGAATTATAAAGTATAATATTAATTAAGTTATGCCTTATTATCTAATAATTAAAATATCTTAATTACAATGATCAGCAAAACAAACTACTCTTGAAGGAACAAATTTAAATTTAGTTAGAAAAGCATTATTTGCAGTAACTCCAAAAAAGAAATCATCATATTAATATTCATCTTTAACAGCATCTTTTAATTGATCTTCTTCATAAGAGAACTAAAAAAATTGAAAATCTCTCATTCCTATCTATGTAAAAACAATCTTTTCTTTATGTGGTGCTAAAAAATCATAACCATTATTAAACACAATTTAATGATGATTAACACCACTTATAATAGCAAATTCATCTGTAGCATCAACATCAACTATTCTATAATTACTTTCTTATTTTGTTATTATTGAATAAGATTTCTAATTAAAATTTACTAAATATTCAATATAAAAATATATTCCATTCTATTCAAAAGCTGCAAATACATTTTTACCATTCTTTGTATCTACAGCTATTCCACCTTTTTAACTTTCTACATTTATTACTATTTCAAATTAAAATCCCTATTAATTAATAAACATATGAGCTAAAATTAATCCTTATTTAACATCAAGTAAATATAATTAATATTATCCATCTTTTACTTTGAAAACTGCAAAATCTTTTAATTCCAACTATTCCTTCTTCAATTTAAAATCTGAAAATGTTATTGTCTACTTATAAATGACATCAGTCTCTTATATTTCATAAATATCCATTCCTGCTCTACCAACTGCTGAAAATAAATATCCATCAATTTCTTTAGTCAATCCTCTTTCCTCTCTTTGAATCCAATTAGAAATCTAATTAATGTACATACTTTTCTCATTTTTCTCCATCTCTGACACACTAAAAAATTATGCACTATCTGAATATAATACAAAGGCCAAATTATTTTTTTTTGAATAAACTAATTATGGTAATTCGTCTCTTGATTGAATTGAAGGAATCACTGGTTAAAGATTAGCCTTCCAAATAACACCTGCAAAATCAATAGAATTTCCATAAGTTGTAAATCCTTATTTTGATAGAACATTGTCATAATTAAACTTTATTAAATAAGCAATTGCATCTGAAGTAATTGCTAACATTCCATCATTTATATGTACCATCCCAATAAATTCTCTAAAATTTAATGGGGTATCCAATTCAAACTCATAACTAAAATTGAATTCACATAATTTACTCTTTAAAGTCATCCGATTATATTATTGTAAATTGTTATGTTTCAGTTTAAACTGTTTATTATGTAACTTAACAGAAACTATTCTATTAAAATGGCATTAATGTAGCATCATCAGCCTATGGCATTTAATAAATAATATTTGGCTCCCCAAGATGAATTGTAAAAGTTTCAGAAGATTCCTTAATTTCTAAAATCTCCAAATTTGCTGAACATATATTTATGAGAAATAGTATACTCAATTAAAGCATTTTTAATTTAAATTAATGTCATCAAAATTTTTATAGGTAATATAATTATAAATACTTGATATTATTATTACTTTTTATATAATAAAGATGCAACTTATTAATAATTTATGATTAAGATTAAATATTTCTATTTTTTTTAATGACTCAATATACTCAGATATTTAGAAATTGTGGACAAGGAATATCACTAAATTTTGGACCAGAAATATTATTGCTCATTGCATAAGTCTCTTAATCACTATATTTTCTATTTTATCTTTTTTAGTTTGTCTTAATTTGTTGTTTCAAAATAGTTACAACATTACCATTTAAGACTACTTATAATTCACCATTAGGTTCTCTATCTTTCTTTGCATTATGCCAATTCATATCATTATCTGATTTCCTTTATTTATTATAATTATCAACACAATCATCTAAATAAGGATTGTTATTTTTTTTATAGTCAATTCCATTATTCAATTCAGTCTTCACAAAATATCCTTCTGAATCTATATTTTTATTTCTTTTTTTTGAAAAATCCTTCTATTTCATTTAGTCAAGCTTCCATTACTCGTAATTTTAGCTCACTACATTTTGTATAAAAGAATTACTCTTTTTTATTTTTTTGTTTTTTTGTTTTTTTATATAAATTTATTTCTTTTTATACTTTTATAGTTAATAATTTGATCTTAATTTTTTTTATCAAATTTGATTTCATTAATTTATTTTAGAAAATAATTCATGTTTATACTATTCATATGATAGTTATTAATTAATTTTATTTAAACTCAGAATGGAAATTTGCTCATCTAAACTTAATTGGCTTATTCATATAAAGAAATTATTCCAGAAAAATAGCATTCTAAACATTTCAGATCTAATTAATTAATTAAAAGATGAAATAATTATAGAATGCTCTAATCCATAAGATGAATTATTCTCTTTAGATGAAGTTATTGAAGAAGTTTATAAATTTAATAAAAAGAGATTAACTTATGATGATTTCTTTTAAATTATTGGTAATCTACATTAATAGGATCATTAATTATCCACTTGTGTAAACTCATTAGCTGATTCTATTAATGATTTAACTTTGAGTGACACTAAAGTGTAATAAGCAATCAGAGTATCTTATAATGATCCTACTAAACTAATAAAAACATAATAAAGCTATAAAGTTACAAGACTATCAAAAAGTCCTAGATTGAAAATAGAGAATTTATAAGAAGCTCAGAAAAGATTATTAGCTAAAATCACTGATATAGAAAATGAAATAGAACATGTATTTATACTATATATATCTCAAAGCAGAAATAATAGCATTAATTAAAGAAACATCATTAATTATTAATTAGAGAATTGACCAGATAACTTACATAAAATTCAGATGAAATTGTTTTAAATGGAATAACAAATTTTACTTTATAAGACTTTTATCNATTAGGTTCTCTATCTTTCTTTGCATTATGCCAATTCATATCATTATCTGATTTCCTTTATTTATTATAATTATCAACACAATCATCTAAATAAGGATTGTTATTTTTTTTATAGTCAATTCCATTATTCAATTCAGTCTTCACAAAATATCCTTCTGAATCTATATTTTTATTTCTTTTTTTTGAAAAATCCTTCTATTTCATTTAGTCAAGCTTCCATTACTCGTAATTTTAGCTCACTACATTTTGTATAAAAGAATTACTCTTTTTTATTTTTTTGTTTTTTTGTTTTTTTATATAAATTTATTTCTTTTTATACTTTTATAGTTAATAATTTGATCTTAATTTTTTTTATCAAATTTGATTTCATTAATTTATTTTAGAAAATAATTCATGTTTATACTATTCATATGATAGTTATTAATTAATTTTATTTAAACTCAGAATGGAAATTTGCTCATCTAAACTTAATTGGCTTATTCATATAAAGAAATTATTCCAGAAAAATAGCATTCTAAACATTTCAGATCTAATTAATTAATTAAAAGATGAAATAATTATAGAATGCTCTAATCCATAAGATGAATTATTCTCTTTAGATGAAGTTATTGAAGAAGTTTATAAATTTAATAAAAAGAGATTAACTTATGATGATTTCTTTTAAATTATTGGTAATCTACATTAATAGGATCATTAATTATCCACTTGTGTAAACTCATTAGCTGATTCTATTAATGATTTAACTTTGAGTGACACTAAAGTGTAATAAGCAATCAGAGTATCTTATAATGATCCTACTAAACTAATAAAAACATAATAAAGCTATAAAGTTACAAGACTATCAAAAAGTCCTAGATTGAAAATAGAGAATTTATAAGAAGCTCAGAAAAGATTATTAGCTAAAATCACTGATATAGAAAATGAAATAGAACATGTATTTATACTATATATATCTCAAAGCAGAAATAATAGCATTAATTAAAGAAACATCATTAATTATTAATTAGAGAATTGACCAGATAACTTACATAAAATTCAGATGAAATTGTTTTAAATGGAATAACAAATTTTACTTTATAAGACTTTTATCTTGTCTTCCATAATATTAATAAAACAATTTTCAATATTTCAATAATGACATTCAAAGAAAGATGCTTAGAAATAAGAGAAGTCTCTATGATATTTAAAAATTTATAAGCATTAAGCATAAATTGTCTTTTAATTAAAGAACTCAAATTAGAAGAGTTAATAGAATTAAAAGTATTATCTGTAGCTGGGAATCAATTAAGAAATTTAGAAGGATTGCCTCCTAATTTAAATGAACTTTATGCTTAAAATAATCAAATTTCATCACTTTAAAATACATAATCACTAAAAATCTTTAATATAAGTGGAAATAACCTAAGTTTTTATTTATTTATTTATTTAATTATAATTTATAAAGATTAAGCTAAATATCATCATTTATTAAAATTATTTATAATATTTCAGTTAGTTAATTCCTTAAATTCAGCTTCAAGATCCGAAACTTGATTTCTTTATTGCTATTATTAAATTCCTTATCCTTACTATTAATTAGATATAGTGGATATAGTTTAAGTTTAATTAACTAAGTATTAAACCTATATTGTTGGAAATTTGACTTATGAGAATGTATTTGGAAGATTTGGTTGTTGTACATAATTGATACTCATACAATTAGTACAGTTAATTAGATTTGAAACTTAAATAATATAATATATATACTTCCTTATTGATACATAACAGTCAATCTACAAGTACCACAAATAAAATAGGCAAATATCAATTTATTAATCTATTTGCAATTGTAACATATAAAAACATTTTTATTTTTTGGAATCATTTATGGAATCTAACAAAACATGCATGTTGATTATGTTTAACTAAATTTTAACTTAAATTCTCACTTAGTTGTATTAACATTTTCATTTTGAATTTAAGAAATTTAATTGGAATTACTTTGTTCTCTTTCTTCTTTAGAAAAAGTCCCAAAACAATTTTAATTTGTTTAATTATTAGAATTTTACATTTGATACTATAAACATATAACCAAATAATAAATACTTATGGAACTTATTACTTAATAGGATAGGATGCTTAAAATTAGCTTTTCTAATTAACTTATTAACTTTAATTTGACCTATTATTAGATGTAACCATTGTTATTGGTTCTTAATCAAGATTAGCCAATACAATAGCCTTATTTTAGCATACTAGTTAATTATTTAAGTATTTACTTGTATCGTCAAATTGAATTTGATCTGAATCATCTCCAAAATCTTACAATTCAAATACATCATTCTCTTATTAAGTATCTGTGTATTTCTAATTAGATTAATTTGAAATCAACCCAAGTTTAGGATTATTGGACTGCATATTGATAATAATGATTAGAATAATTATAATTTATTGAATTTTTGGAAGAATTCTTAAATAATCCTAAGAGAGCTATTACTTTTAAAAATAGTTGAATAATAAGATATTGTATTTACAAGAGTATAAAACAAAATTAATTAAAAATTATATCATTTTTAGAGTCTGTATCTAATGAAAGAGAGTCCAGTTTAATTATACTTTTAATATATAAGTAAATCTTCATGTCTCTAAGTATTGATATTAACATATATTATACTTGAATGCTTATTTTATCTTGAAATGTATCACTATATTTAAAATCTAACATTATAAATTTAGAAGCATATTTAATTATTTCAATTAGATCTACAAGATTGAATCCAAAACTAATTTATGCAAATTCTGTAAATAATTTGTTAAATGATTTCTAAGCTAGTGATTATAAAAGATATTTACAATCAGCAAGAATAAATTTAGTTGTTTTTGGAATTTCATAATAAATATATTCTTTTGTGAATTATTCATATTCTAAAGCCAACACAAGATACATAAAAGATGCTACAACCTTTCTAGTCTAATAACTAAGAGTTTCAAAATCAAGATAACAACAATCGATATATCCTTATAATTTTAATATCACTTAGATATCAAATAAATCTATTACTTTTAAATGAACAATTATTATTCTATCTAAATTTCTTATGAACATCTGAAATATAATTATCCCATTAATTTGTATAAAATTCTATCCATAAATTTATTGTTGGTATATTTAAATGCCATTAAAGAATTTTACAAATTTCTTTCTCCATTTCATATATTTTATNAAGAATTATAATTATAATTTATAAAGATTAAGCTAAATATCATCATTTATTAAAATTATTTATAATATTTCAGTTAGTTAATTCCTTAAATTCAGCTTCAAGATCCGAAACTTGATTTCTTTATTGCTATTATTAAATTCCTTATCCTTACTATTAATTAGATATAGTGGATATAGTTTAAGTTTAATTAACTAAGTATTAAACCTATATTGTTGGAAATTTGACTTATGAGAATGTATTTGGAAGATTTGGTTGTTGTACATAATTGATACTCATACAATTAGTACAGTTAATTAGATTTGAAACTTAAATAATATAATATATATACTTCCTTATTGATACATAACAGTCAATCTACAAGTACCACAAATAAAATAGGCAAATATCAATTTATTAATCTATTTGCAATTGTAACATATAAAAACATTTTTATTTTTTGGAATCATTTATGGAATCTAACAAAACATGCATGTTGATTATGTTTAACTAAATTTTAACTTAAATTCTCACTTAGTTGTATTAACATTTTCATTTTGAATTTAAGAAATTTAATTGGAATTACTTTGTTCTCTTTCTTCTTTAGAAAAAGTCCCAAAACAATTTTAATTTGTTTAATTATTAGAATTTTACATTTGATACTATAAACATATAACCAAATAATAAATACTTATGGAACTTATTACTTAATAGGATAGGATGCTTAAAATTAGCTTTTCTAATTAACTTATTAACTTTAATTTGACCTATTATTAGATGTAACCATTGTTATTGGTTCTTAATCAAGATTAGCCAATACAATAGCCTTATTTTAGCATACTAGTTAATTATTTAAGTATTTACTTGTATCGTCAAATTGAATTTGATCTGAATCATCTCCAAAATCTTACAATTCAAATACATCATTCTCTTATTAAGTATCTGTGTATTTCTAATTAGATTAATTTGAAATCAACCCAAGTTTAGGATTATTGGACTGCATATTGATAATAATGATTAGAATAATTATAATTTATTGAATTTTTGGAAGAATTCTTAAATAATCCTAAGAGAGCTATTACTTTTAAAAATAGTTGAATAATAAGATATTGTATTTACAAGAGTATAAAACAAAATTAATTAAAAATTATATCATTTTTAGAGTCTGTATCTAATGAAAGAGAGTCCAGTTTAATTATACTTTTAATATATAAGTAAATCTTCATGTCTCTAAGTATTGATATTAACATATATTATACTTGAATGCTTATTTTATCTTGAAATGTATCACTATATTTAAAATCTAACATTATAAATTTAGAAGCATATTTAATTATTTCAATTAGATCTACAAGATTGAATCCAAAACTAATTTATGCAAATTCTGTAAATAATTTGTTAAATGATTTCTAAGCTAGTGATTATAAAAGATATTTACAATCAGCAAGAATAAATTTAGTTGTTTTTGGAATTTCATAATAAATATATTCTTTTGTGAATTATTCATATTCTAAAGCCAACACAAGATACATAAAAGATGCTACAACCTTTCTAGTCTAATAACTAAGAGTTTCAAAATCAAGATAACAACAATCGATATATCCTTATAATTTTAATATCACTTAGATATCAAATAAATCTATTACTTTTAAATGAACAATTATTATTCTATCTAAATTTCTTATGAACATCTGAAATATAATTATCCCATTAATTTGTATAAAATTCTATCCATAAATTTATTGTTGGTATATTTAAATGCCATTAAAGAATTTTACAAATTTCTTTCTCCATTTCATATATTTTATCTAAAGAATAACCATAATTGCTAGCTTTTTCAAAATCTTTTGGATTTTTAGCCTCAACTTCCTTAAAAACAAATTATGATATAATTTACCTCCATTTTAGATGCAATAAGCATTGAAGCAGTTCCTAATAATTATAATTCATATTTTGTTATTGTTTTTTTTGATAAATAACTATCAACATAAGCAACTGCTAAATAATAAGTGTCTCTCTTCATCAGATAAACAGAACAAACTTCTATCATCCAATCCATCAAAATTGCTCTCATTAAAGGAGTGATTTAGGTTTATATTGATTATAGATAGTCACAATTAGGAGCATATTCAATCTCTTATAGCATTAGAACTTATAAAGTTTCTTATGAAAATCCACCTATTTAACAATTTTGATTATTGTTTTCATTAATTAATGTATTATTATTCTTAAAATTTGTAGGATTAGGTATTACAGTATTAATATTATCACTAATAATTGTGATGCTTGATTCATCACATTCTAATGTAAGTCCTATCTGCTTTTATTCTCCCATAGATATACACCTATTATTTTTTTTATATTTTATTAGGTTATTAGGACTTTATTTTTTAATTGTTCTTTCACTAAATTAATTAGAATTATCCTCTGGAATATAAAATTTAGGAACATTTATTGTTTCAATTTTTCTATCTTCTCTTTGTGAATTACAACTATATATGTTTTTCAATATATTATTACTTTTCACAATTAGAATAATATGAATTAGTAGTATTAGTGTTATTATTTTATTGTATATTAGAAATCATAAAATAAGCACCTGAATTTCCTTAAACAACATGACTATATTAACGATGATTCTTTTTAAAATGAGATTTATTGCTATTATGTTCTATTGAATTATTTCTAGATAGATTTTGTTCCTTTAAGAAAGACTCAAAAGTAATTTATTAATTTTGAAAATCCTTTCTCTCCCAAATAGCTGATCCTTTAAGATTTTCATTCTATATATTTTATTAGATGCTTTTAGGTTTGCTGAATATTGGTTTTAAACTTAATTGTGCTACTTTTGTTAAAGTTTGATTAGAAGTTTATTGAGGAACATTCATTTAAAATGGTACACAACTTTATTATTTTTTATTTCTTTTATATTTTATACAGTCAGGTTAGAATGTAGGCTAAATATTAATTAAGTATTTACTTAAATCTATATTTTTTTATGCTATTGAATTTATTTATTGTATAATGGTTATTGTGAATTTTCATCAAATCTCATAAATGATATATTCTTAATTAATAAGGATAGATACATTGAGTTAAGAAATATTTTCTTTTGGAATGAAATAAGGATTCCACTATAAGTTCATTATTTCAAATTTAAATATAATTATTGATAAACATATAAATTAATATATCTCATAGTTTAAAACTTAGAGTTCTTAAAAAAGAATTAACCGCCTATAAAAATTGTTTTGATATTAGGGTTGTTAAAAGATTTTCAATACAATCTTAATTTAACTCTTATAAATCAATTATATTTTGAAACTTAAAAGTCCACTTTTTATAAAATTGTAATTTAGTGATTATTATNATTATTCTTAAAATTTGTAGGATTAGGTATTACAGTATTAATATTATCACTAATAATTGTGATGCTTGATTCATCACATTCTAATGTAAGTCCTATCTGCTTTTATTCTCCCATAGATATACACCTATTATTTTTTTTATATTTTATTAGGTTATTAGGACTTTATTTTTTAATTGTTCTTTCACTAAATTAATTAGAATTATCCTCTGGAATATAAAATTTAGGAACATTTATTGTTTCAATTTTTCTATCTTCTCTTTGTGAATTACAACTATATATGTTTTTCAATATATTATTACTTTTCACAATTAGAATAATATGAATTAGTAGTATTAGTGTTATTATTTTATTGTATATTAGAAATCATAAAATAAGCACCTGAATTTCCTTAAACAACATGACTATATTAACGATGATTCTTTTTAAAATGAGATTTATTGCTATTATGTTCTATTGAATTATTTCTAGATAGATTTTGTTCCTTTAAGAAAGACTCAAAAGTAATTTATTAATTTTGAAAATCCTTTCTCTCCCAAATAGCTGATCCTTTAAGATTTTCATTCTATATATTTTATTAGATGCTTTTAGGTTTGCTGAATATTGGTTTTAAACTTAATTGTGCTACTTTTGTTAAAGTTTGATTAGAAGTTTATTGAGGAACATTCATTTAAAATGGTACACAACTTTATTATTTTTTATTTCTTTTATATTTTATACAGTCAGGTTAGAATGTAGGCTAAATATTAATTAAGTATTTACTTAAATCTATATTTTTTTATGCTATTGAATTTATTTATTGTATAATGGTTATTGTGAATTTTCATCAAATCTCATAAATGATATATTCTTAATTAATAAGGATAGATACATTGAGTTAAGAAATATTTTCTTTTGGAATGAAATAAGGATTCCACTATAAGTTCATTATTTCAAATTTAAATATAATTATTGATAAACATATAAATTAATATATCTCATAGTTTAAAACTTAGAGTTCTTAAAAAAGAATTAACCGCCTATAAAAATTGTTTTGATATTAGGGTTGTTAAAAGATTTTCAATACAATCTTAATTTAACTCTTATAAATCAATTATATTTTGAAACTTAAAAGTCCACTTTTTATAAAATTGTAATTTAGTGATTATTATAATTATTCATTTTATTTTTGTGTAAATAAATTAAAAATACTTATTTTATGTATAAACAATAATTTTATTATTTTTATGATTTTCAAAAGAATTTTATAAAATTTAGTTTGTACATTTTATCAAAACAAATAGATACATATTCTATATAATAATAACAAATAATACTTATAAAACAAATAGATTTGTATTAAGTTTATTGTTGAAATTAAATATATTATTTTATTAGATAAACAATACACCGCCAAATGTAAAATATTGTAGATCTAAGGAGCTATACAAATAATTTCAATAATAAATTATATATTTAAGATTGATTTGAATTGGCTTAAATTTTTTGATATTCTATTGTTCATTATTTGTCTAATATTAATTATTTAATTTATATGAATAAAACATCTGAACTTTAATAGACAATACATAATTATTGTTTACAATCATATTCTGCTGGAGATTTTGCGGTATTGAATATATTTGACATTTATTAGAAGAATCAATAAATTTTAGAGCTATTGAGAAAATTCATATTGGATTGGAATAATTTGCCTATATTGAAAAGCCTTATTGAAGTAGATTGTAAGTAAGAGACTACCTTTGTAATTTACTAATTACTTCAGAAAGCAATTGCTTCAGGTTGTAAATTTGTTAATGTTCTTCAAAATTCATAGAGAAAATCATAAAGTTATGAAGAATATGAAAGGTAAATAAATTATAATTATTTTAGCAATGAAAGATAACATTTTACAACAATTGTGACAACTCACTTGGATATTGTGATAAATTATTTTACAAAAGGTTTGTAGCATTAAATTTATGTTTAAAACACAGTTTTATTTGCTCTTGCCTTTATGTTAAGAAAATATTGGTCTGAAATAATTGGAACAGAGTAATTAGTTGAAAAATTAATAAACACATTTTTTTATACTTAAAATGTTTAAATTTTAACTTTAGGATGCAAATTATTTGAAAATCTATTGAGTTGTGTTCGATAATATTATTATGCAACTGGATATTTAGAATTTAGAAAAATCATGATGGGATTTCAAAGGTTGTTATTTATTATTTTCTTTTAGATAATCTTTATCTACATTACTTGAATAGACTCATAAACTTGTTTAAAATTAATTGAAAATTGGAACATTTTTATAAATTTATCAATTAGATAAATCATATGCTGATTCATTAATATAATTACTTAACTCATTCTTGACATTTAACTTCAATCTAAGTTTTTATGAAATTGATGTTGATCATGATTCAAAAGAAAACTTTATAATTAATGTAATAACATAATTTAATACTTTATTTAGTTCCCTGATTCTTATTTTAAAATTATTAATGATGAAAAGTTGAATCAGGAATATTTTAGAGCTATTATTGATTTTTATCCTTTAGATTAAGCAATATCAATTAGAATTTTAAATATTATCTAAAGAATTTCATCAGCAAGATTGTCCTTATTTTTTTAAAAGCACAATTTTAAAAAGATATTAAGAAGAACATTATGGGAAGGATTACTATTTTTGTTAAATAATTATGAATTATATTTGAACAATACTGATTTTTCAAATGAAGTTTGCTCTTTTGCAATAAGATTAGTAGTAAATTACTTTTTGTTATTTATTAGTCTAATTTTACATTAAAAAAATTACGAAAATTTTAAGATTTGTTTGATTAATGTGTAAATTAATTAAATAAAATAAATCAAATAATCTTAAATAATCAAGGAATAAAATTATCATCTAACAGTGTTTTCATCAAATTATAAGAAGTATGGCATCAATTTTTATTTTAAATAAACATATACAGTTCTTAATATCTTTAATAATTTAAACTACTTTAAAATTCTGTAAATTTAAGTTTTAAGTTATTAATTCATGCATTTTATAATGGAAATCCTTTTTCTGAAATACCACCCAATTATCCTATTAAGAAAATTAAGAAATTCTTAGATAAAGGATTTCATTTATGCATATAAGTTTATTAATAAAATACAGTTGAATGTATAAATGTGATTTCAGACTTATTAAACAATCTACCCATTATTGTATATAATATTAATTATTTTAGCAAGTTTAAACATTACAACCTTAAGAACAACTCATTACTTTATGTAAGAATTTATTGAAATTAAGAAAAATTTAGTTCTTTGTTGTGTCTAATATCTGCATTAGTATTAAGTCCAGCCTAGATTGAATATCTAAGTGGAGGTGAATCTTAATTTTAATAGGGTAAAATTGAAGGACATCCTTAAGCTCGTATATTATTATAAGCAATACTTGATTTGATTGCATTTACAAATAAAATAAATATTCCTGCTGATGTAATAATTACAATTAAGTTAAAAATAGAATTATGTTTGCAAGTTGTACCACACTAGTATTCTAATATTTATTTAAACATATATATCTTAGACTATAGAAAATTTATATTTTGATGAAATTTAAAAAACAGTCATATCATAATCATAATTGTAATTCATTATTTATATTAATAGATCAATGAATTTAGGAAATGATAACTAAGGACAATAAAACTATTTAATAGTTATTGAAAGTTGCTTAGAAAAATGGTAATTTTTAAGTATAATTATAGTTTTTAAATATTTACATTTCATGATCCAGATTTAGTAGAATTTAGCTTTATTATTTTATAATATACATATGAAAAGTATTTATTGATTTAAATATTTAGATTAAAGAGATAATTGGATAGAAGGTTCTTTAGATAGAGTTCTATCAGTAGTATGTTGAAGTAATTCTTTTTATAGATGGATTTAACATGTTTTAATGAAGTTTAGTATATAAAGAAAAGAAAATAAGTTTATAAATTGGTTTCTTTAGTTTGGGTTGATGATTAATTAGATGATTATGTTCCTGCATTAGTTGATATTTACAAATAAATAAAAAAATCTATTATTAATGAAACTAATAAAATAAATATGCTTAAATATTTATGGGATATGATTGGAGTAGTAGATGAATTAGAAGTAGATAGTATATATAGAGTATTCTTAAGAATTGTGTAATATATATATTATATAAAATTAGATTTCCTGATTTATCATCTCTATTATCTACTGATAACACTTAAATATTTGTATAAGATTATGATTCTTCTTTAGGATTAACAGCACTCTTATGTTCAATATTCAAAAATAAGTAATTAAATAAAAATACAATTAGAAATACAAGATTATCAAATGAAAACATTTAAATTCTACTCTATTAAATATATGGCAAAGCTACAACATTTTTTATTACATCTATTGATTATTTAATATTGCAAGCTTAAACTAGTATATAATAAGGTTAGCAAGTGAAAGATGGAATTTTGAAAATGGCAGCTAAATTGTTAAAAGTAATGGGTTAGATTTCAAGTTCTAAATAAATAAATTAAGGGTTTTTTGTAATATATTAAGATTCATCATATTTAAATTTGTTCAAAAAGTAATTGTAGCTTATAATTGCATATAAACCATTATTCCTAAACTTAATAAAATATAAAAAGTATTTGTTTGAATGTTTGGAAGGGATCTGTTCTGAACATAGTGAGACATTAGCATATAGATGTGGATCAGATGTTTATTTAGATTTATTAATTATATCAGATAGTACTTTAAAAGAGATATTGAATTTTAAATAACTTAAAGGTGAAGAATAAATTAATGAAGAAGCACTATAAATATCTTAAATTGCTAGTATTCTATGCAATGTTATGCAATTCTTAATATAAGAAGGAGTTATTGGTGAATAAATGGATACAGAAATGATTAAGAAGAAAACATTAGAAGTTTATACAACAGGCAAATAAGTTTTAATTTCCCTTTTTTCATCAGCCTTTACAATTATTGTTGCATTTCCTAAGATTTTAAAATTTTCAACACCAAATTGTGAGATTTTGTTTGCCATTTCTTTATTTAATCCAAATGAAGTAAAATATTAAATTTATAATAGTTTTAATAATTACTTATTTAATTGATTTAAGAATATAAAAATACAATTCAATTGCATCAATAAACTTTGGAGTTTATAACATTAGGATATCAAGGTAAGCAAATTAAATATAATAGTTTTGAACAACTATTTGAATAGTACTACCAAAGAGTTATTTACTAAATAAATTAAATAAGCTTTAGAATAAGTTTGTGTTTAAGAAGAATTCTGAATTATAGTATTTATCAATTATAATTGTTTGATTATGTTAACAAGTTTAGAATATATTATTAAAAATATAGTAATAAGTCATAAATCCAATTTTATTGAATTAACATTCAATAATTTAATCATTTTTATACTTTTCCTTAATATAAAATAAGTTATATACAAACATCTAAAAGTTAATAAGATGATTTAGTATTTAAGAATAAGAATTGAATATTATGAAACCTATTTTTTAAATACATTTATTTTGTTAACAATCATAAAATTATATTAATCATATGAGGTAATAGCCATACTTCATTAAACCTGTGAATCATTTATCATATAGAAATCAATCAAGTAAACAAAGCTTTAGTCAATAATAAAGTGAGGAATCAAAATCAAAAAGTTAAAATCGATTATCCAATATTAAAAGGCCTGCTCCCATAATTACTCAACCTATTACATCTCCTTAATTAAAAAGGATGAACAATTAGTATTAATTATAAATTTGATATAGATTGAGAATTTTAAAAAGTAATAAAGTAGATTTACCATCCTTACCTTCACCTCAAATACAATAATAATGTGATTAATCTTTGTCAAAATTTAAAAGCTTTGAAAATCTTAATATCTAAATGAGGTAGCCAACACCAAGAAGATTTAAATCTGATGAACCTAATATCAATGAACTTACAACTTAACCAAAAAAAACTATTCGCTTCAGTTAGCATAGTAATATTAGATTGAGAAATGATTCAGCAAAAGCTAGAAATAGATCAAATCATGTACCTTTTCAAAAAACTAATACTGAACCAAGTGAAATAGTTCATTCTCCAATTAAGCATAAAGCAAAGAGAGATTTTGATGATTCAAGAGAAATTCTATATTAATTGTAAAGAGGTTACTCAAAAGAAAAGAAATCTATATTAAAGACAGAACCAGATGATCCTTATAGAATAGGTAGTATATGTGAGAATAGGAATTCAACAAGTCTAAAAAGACAGTTTGGCCATCAATATATTAATGAATCACAAAGATTCACAACTAAACATCTTATAGATATGCCTTGTGATGATGAATTTTCTTAGTTTTTTAAAGAAGATGATAATTAAAGTAATTTTAAGAATACCTAAAAAAATGCTAATCATTAAAATTAAATTAGTCAATAAACAAAAGAAAAAATCTTAGATTTGCTCTTTCTTTCAACTGGAGAATTGAAAAAAAAATTTAATGAATAAAGTAGAATTTAATATTCAAAAATTACTAATAAAATATAGCAAAATAAACCAATAGTACCTAAAAGTAGATTTCCCAATGACTTTTTTAATGTTTTGCATTCTAATGAATCTCAATTATTTTGATTTATAATCTCTATTATTCTATCTTTTAAATTATCATATTTATTGTTTATTTTCAATTTTATAATATCTATACATCTTAATAATATTCTCTAAAATTGAGTATATAATTAATGATCTAAATTATGTTAGACATATGTTTAATTCAATAATTATGACCTCTAATATATTATAATAAAAATTAGTCAATTCATTATATTTAAAATAAAATAAGACGTCATTTATTGAGGAATAAAAACGACTAGCTTTTTTTTTTGTTTCATTATTATTACAAATGAAGACAATAATCCTTGCCTTAGCACTCATCGTGTTAGCCTCATCAACATAAGCTGATGTCATTGCAACAATCAAGAAGATTGATTAATCACCATTCGGAAGAACATTGTTCGACACCATCTGGCTCGAACTCTAAACAGGAGATCCATTGGACAGATTACTCTAAACCTTGACAGATTTGGAAGACAGATATGTTGCTGAATAAAAGGAAGACGATGCCAGAAACCACGAATACTAAGATGCATGCACAGTTGTAAGACACATACACTTATACAATTCTAGGACATCTCAGCTTTCGATAAGGATTTGGCTGAATCTAACAGAAAGAAGATTGAATTAGAAGCTAGATTAGAAGGATAATTATACCCATAAAGAGGAATCTTATAAGGATTAGTTGCCTAAAAATAAGCTGAAGTCAAGGGATACTAAAAGGATTTAGATGAACTCGATGCTTAAAGAGCTGAAGAAAATGCTGACTTTGAAGAGAAAGTCTTAGAACACTAAGAAGCCACAGCTATCATTGCTGAAGCTAGAAGACTCTTCGCTGATAACATTGAACACGAATCCTTCATCTAAAAAGGAAAAGCCACAAGATAACCAGCTCACAAATTCACCAAGGAAGTTGCTAGCATGATCTAAAAGCATTTCACCTAATCTGCTAAGAAGGCTGCAAAATTCTAACACAGAAAGGGATATAGCAAATTATTCAAAGCTTTCGCCACAATTGCCTCAAAAGTTGAATAATTAGCTGATGCTGGAGCTGTCTCAAAGATCATCGATTTAGCTGATGAATTATTAGCCAAGATTGCTGATTCATTGTCCTTATTGAGATTCGCTGAAGATAAGAGAGTTGAAGCATACAAGAAATCCAGAAACTTTGTTGTCATCTCCCTCACTGTTGCCGGAACTGCTCTTGCTAACGCTCAATCAGATTTGGCTGCTTTGAATGATGTCATTGCTTAAGTTGAAGCCTCACTTGACACCACCAACTAAAGAATTGAAAACGTTTCTGCTGACAGAACTGACAGATTCACCTAATGTGAAGAAGCCGTCTAAGATTACTAAGATGCCAGATCTGCCAGAACCTCTGACAGAGATGTTGTTTCATAAACCATCGGATTAGTCAACAAGGAATTAAGAACCTTAAGAGAATAATTAGCCTTAAGATAATCAGCTGGAGAAGAAATCTGATAATGATTCATTTATCATAAAAATTATTCTAAATCAACACCAAATTCTTTTCAATATTATAGATTATTTTAAATATATAAAGTTATTAATATTAATGTAATTTAATTTAGTAGAGAATTCAATTAAAGTCCTCATCTGTTAACTTTATATGTATAATTGGTCTAACTAAGTTTGGATATTCAGTAAATATCTAATTAAGAAGATCTAATTTTAATGCTCCAGGTTGCTTCTTTACCTTATTTACACTTTTATCTTTTCTTTATAAAACTCTATCCACTGATGATTTACTCTTAAATTATTTAATATAATTTACAATAGCTTCAGTAAACTCTTGTCCAACTGAATTAATTTATATATCATTTAACTATTGTTATAATTATGTTTTTTATTATTTAAGATTTGAGATCTCTTGATTTGCTACACCAAGTTAAGATTCTAATTGATATATATGTTTCTCCATTTATTGCAATTTTTAAATCATATATTCTTCATGTTACTATGTGGTTGTATGTTGCTGGTGCATCTAAATTCGTTAATTATTTATTTATTATTTAATAAATAGAAAATTCATTTAAATTATACAGAATCCATAGAATAATCTCTTTTAGCATATCGACAATACTCTAATGACTTTACTCTCTAAGGTCTTTTTCTCTTTATTGTCTTATTTATTTCTTTGAAAGGATTGTCTTTCAAAATTGGAATAAATGAATAAGCATCATATCCAATAACTTTTCTTAAATAATCTAATTTAATTGGACTTTAATTATTTTTGATTTTAAGTTTTTATGAATAGCTTTCATCTAATGTAATTGTTGGTTTACGAGCTCTTTCAAAATGTACTTTATTTAAGAGATATTATCTTTCAAATCCATCAAGTTCTTTAGGTAGTTTTGAAGGATCAAAGTCTTAATTTAATTATTTTACTTTACGAATAATATCTCTAAATAAATTAATAAATTTACATTATTGGTGCACCTCCATAATTAGAAATATTACATTAATTATAAAGGTAATCTAATAGATTATCTTTTTTTTATTTTTCTAATATGAGATATTTTTAAAGATCTTTTTCTAAATTTACCTTCTTTTAGATATTAATTTAATTTTCTATTTTGATTAGATAACGTTCTCTTTTCTTTTGATTAATTAATTTCCATAATTCAGTATATTATTCATTATATTCTTTCATATATTAATCAACAAATGTTTATAGTTAGTTTTTTTGTATACATTCATTTCGATATTTCTTTTAAATTTTTTATGATTGAATTACATTTTCTTGAGAATTAGTGAGATAGTGAGCTATCTAACTCATTTCTCTTGCTAAATTAGTTGATTTTTCTTCCAATTATTCTATCTAAATTAAAATGTATTAATACTTCATCCTCCTTTTTTTATAATTTATATGATAAATTCTCCATTGTAGTTTTTTATTTAGACAATTTCTATTTGATTTAAATAATTTCATCTTTTATGTTTTATAATTAAGTATTCATTTCATCCTCAAAATCTCCAATTTAATTCTGTTTCTTAACAATACAAGTATTTTATATGGATATTTCAGTTCTAACTCTTGATTTTTTTGTTAATTGACTATTCCAATTATCTAATTTACTAGGTGATGTTCCAAAGTCATCTTATTATCCTTCTGACTCTATAGTTTGAAAAGTTAATCTTTTCATTATTCTATATACTTTAATTGAAATAAAAAATATAGTTAACTTGCTTAATTATTATATTTTATTAATAATTATAATCTACTTAGTATTCTTAAAGATTAGAGTATCAAGTTTAATAATCAAATAATCATTAACGAAATCACAAAATAAATATTAATAATATGAGTAAATAAAATATGTATATTTATTTATTATTTTAGTCATAATTTGGATCATGGACTATTAAAAGTAAATGATTCAATAACTTAATCAATTTCGAAGGTAATACCAATAGGAAATGAAACTTCTATTTATAAACTAAATTTTAATGAATTATAAACAGGAACTGATAGAAAGATTAGTAAATCATGCAGAGATAATCTAAGTTACACTCCTCATCAAAATAAATTCTATGGATATTGTCAATTTCCAAAATAAAAGTTAAATAGTGGAAAACTAACCGAAAGTAGAATGACAACGTTGTAGTAATAATCTACCATTTCAGTTGAAAAATCATAAGTAAAACCTCAAACACCAAATACTCAACCTCATACAGCATCTATTATGAATGGAAAACGTCTCAAAGTAAAAAATAGTGAAATTCTTTTCTAAGATAATCCCTATCATTTAAGTGGTAATATGTAAGATGTAATATAAAATTATCAGAAAAGCACTATTCAAAGCTTTGTATTTAGAAAAGGTAGTTCTTCTATTAATCGAAATAAATCATAAACTAGCCAAAATTAATAAAGATTTGTATGCAAGTATATTAATCATAGACAGATCAATTCCCCTCCAATTAATTTAATTAACAAATTTATAATAAATCTAGATTAATAGAAATTATAAAATGAGCAAAGTAATTAAACAGAGAATCTTAAAATAACTCTTGGAACTGATAGAGGAAGATTAACAATTGAAAATGAAACTCCTGATGAAAAATAAAATAGATCTTTATCTAAATCTTTATATTAAACGTTGGATCTCTCACTACAAGCAGATACAATATAAGCAACACATATGAGATCTTTAAATACTGATATTAATTCAAGTGCTATTTTATGTGATTAAAATAATCGCAAGGTTAGTGAAATCTATTAATCATTTATTTTTAAATCAAATTTGTAAATGAATCAGAACAAATTGATTACAACTAAATAATAATTAGAAAATTCTTAAAGGTTAGAAAAAGAATTAGAATTATATCCTGAAATTAAATAACCAAAAGAACAGAGAAAAACTAAATAATATAGAGCAAAAATTTATACAGAATCCGAATTATCAAAGAAAGAGAAGGATCTAAATACCAATTATCTTATTTGAAATATAATAATATACTTATTGAAATGTGTTATTTTCTTATAAACTTAACAAATATTTTCTAAAGTCTGGTATATCATTCCTAAATATAATAAAGTTATCATTTTAATTAACAGTTTTCTGTTTTTATTTATATATAATAAATTAAAGTTGTTCTATTTGAATTTAATTAACATATATAATAAAATGGAAGAACACTTTTTGTAATTTTTTAGATAGATTAATATTAAACTTAAAGTCTTTACATTTTATAAAATACAAATCATTTTAATTGAATGAAGTGACTTTATTTATGGTTTTATAATAATAATAAGAATCATGTTATTTATAAAATTATGTAATTAAAATGAATTGTTTACAATGCATTAAAAGATGCTTTAAAAACATCAGATAAAATTTTGATGGATAAGATGCTTCTTTTCAACTCTCTACTCAAAATAGTCAAATCCGAAAGAAAAAAACACTAGTTTTAGATTTGGATGAAACTTTAGTACACTGTGAATTTAAAGAAAATCCAAATTTTCATTATGAAACTATTTTAGATGTTTGGCATAGAGGAGTTTTATATACGGTTTATTTATGTAAAAGACCTTACCTAAGAGAATTTCTCTAATAAATGAGTGCTTATTATGAAATTATTGTATTTACTGCTGGTTATGAGTCTTATTGTGATAAAGTCTTATAACATATAGATGTTGATAGACATATTTCTGATTATTTTGCTAGATCGAATTGCAGATTTGTAAATGGAATTTGCTTAAAAGACTTATCTATTTTAGACAGACCCTTAGATTAATTAATATTCATTGATGTATGTATAAAAGATCATCTTAATCTTAGAATAATCCTAATGCATTTGAGATGTAACCAGATAATGGATTATTAATTCCTTCATTTTTAGATTCTGATGAAGATGAATGTCTTTTAAAATTAATTCCATTTTTGAAATAAATGGCTAATAAATCTAAACTAATTCCTGTTTCTTCTTTCTTATCTGATTATGAATCAATTCATGGAGTACTCTTTAATGATAATTAAGTAACCTTATAATGTTAGGCTGATGGAGATGAAGTTAGTTTAAGTGAAGAAAGTTTTATTGTTCTAGAATATATTTAAAAACATAGAAAGACATAAACTTCTTAATAATAATAAAAATAATTTATCAAGACCATAGCATAGAGAAGTTAAACTCTCTTTTCAGGTTGATGTTATTTTTAATTATTTATAATAATTTCAATATTCTGAAAGAACTTAAATATTACAAAGCCAAAAATAATAAATCTAATTATATTATTAAATACAAATAATAAATATCATTGTATATTACCATTTATTTATTAATATATAATTTAAAAGAGGATAAATGATGGATTGACAGTCTATAATTAATTTACTCTAATAATTTATCAATTCAAATAAATTTATTATTTAATTAAAATCACAATAAAGATTTAAATTATTTTTCAAAACTCTCAAGTACAAAATAATCTCATCAATTCAATTAATTATTCATTATTCACCAATGTTTTAGAGATTGTTTTTGGAAATTACTTAAACTTCAAATTTAAAGATAATATCAGAGCTATTTATATCTCAATTTATAATTGTACACACAATTAAAAAAAACACAATATTATAAATATCTTAAATTTCCTCATCATGAAATATTTACTTTTCTTAGCAATCATCTTGGTAGCTTTAGCTAAAAGACACCATTAGCCAGACGCTGTTTTATCATGTCTTTAAGGAGTATGTAAAGAAGAATTTGATATTTGTGATAACTCAACAGGTTGTTTGAAATAACTGAAAAAATGTATGAAAGTATAAGAAAGAGACCCATTAAATTACTCTGCTGTATATTTATATTAAGTATCATAGGGATATGAATGTTTAGAATAAGAAAAAACAGCATTAGATGCCTTTGAATGTATTTTTGGAAAATGCCTTGGAGTACATGGAGAATGAGATTATATTAAATCAAAATATCAATCATTTTATAAATCATATCTTAATTAGACTAACTTATTTTTAGATTTTGTATCTCTTAAACATATCCTGTTTATTATATTCAGAATTAAAAAGTTATATTTTTAGTCTGATAAACTTTAATCCAAAATGACTGGTTGTCAATCTAATGACAATATATCTTAGTCCAAGCTTATTGATACTTGAATGACTTAAGTTAGAACTAATCACACATAATAAATATATTAAATTTGATTAATTTTGAATAGTCAGTACAATTTTATTATAATTATTTATAGATTAATGAGAATAATCATAAATATTTCTTTTAGTATAAGTAAAATTATACAATATAATTAATATATTAATATTCTCAAAAGGAAACAAAATTATTTAATAGAGCATTAAATATATTTTATTTTTTTAAATCATTTTATTTAATCAAAAGTATCATGAAAAACAAACTATAAAACCAAATTTTGTTGTTTTATTAGAAAATTCTAAACCCATTTAATTTTTAAATTTGAACAATTGGTATATATATAGTGTTCATATACTGAACTTTCTAATAATGTATAAGAGTAGTTATTGATTTTTACCTATTTTATGAAATTGAATTATTTCCTAAACTTAAAAACTAAGGTCTTAATCCAGCAACTTACAAATTAATTATCATAATTCAATAGATTCCTTTTTTATGTATTATTTATTCAATAGGATTGAGTTAATTTACTTTTAAGATAATTATTCGTATAACCTCACCTCTTACTATCAGTATTTCATTTAATTGAATTCTTAAAACATTAACATCACTTTTAATTTAGTCATTATTATTCGAGTTAATCTACTATTTTAATCTGATTATGTAATTTTGGAATGAACAAAGCTTAAGAAAATATTAATACATGAGAATTTTTTTAATACAAAGAACATACTAAATTTATTAATAATTAAATTTACATTTGTAAAATCAATATTTGATTAAAATATCTTCATCTATACTAATATGAATATATTTTTGATAATATATTTTAAGTAAAATATAATAAAATAAATAATTATATATATATAAGATTCTAATAATTTATAAATCAAATAGAAATGATATACATTTATTTCAAGAAATTCAACCATTTTTTTTCTAAGAATGATGATTTATTTTTTCATTCTTCTCTATTAATTTTTAAAATTTATTCCTATTTTTATTTTAGATCTTATCTTTATTAGAATTAGAATTATATTTGTAATGTTGATTACTTTATTTCTAATTTTTTTTATATTTATCAGAATTATGATTATGATTATGATTATGATTATTATTATTATTATTATTTTTATTATTATTATTATTATTATTATTATTATTATTATGATTATTATTATTATTATTATTATGATTATTATTATTATTATTATTAATGTGATTATGAAATTAGCTTAATGATGGTGATTGAATTAGATTTTTTTCAGTTTTATTATTCTATTATTCTTGTTTATCTTTGAAAATTTCTTAATCTTTATTTTATTCAATAGTTTTTAATTCTTCCTAAAGATTAAGTTCTTTATCATTCAAAAGATTTAATAGTTAGTCATGAATTTTTCTTTATCTATCAAACCAAATATCTTCTGCTAAAATTTTAAATGAAAAATAATCATTTTTTCCAACATATCTGTAAAGCTTCCTATTGTGCAAATTTAATAATAGGTTCTTCCATAATTAACATTATGCCAACTAATATAATAATAATATTTTTTACTGTAATTGCATTTCCAAAAATAAATAAAGCATTTCTTGCTCTTGTTAAGGCAACATTAACTCTTCTTCCATCTTAAAGAAATCCAATATTTCCAGAAGATGAAGATCGAACACAAGAAAACAATATAACATCTCTTTCCTAACCTTAAAATGAATCTACTGTATTAATTTAAATGTCATCCATTAGATCTCCTATTTATCTCTTAATTTCAGATTTAATCAATCTAACCTAAGCCTTATATGCACAAATAACACCTAAACTTTAAGTAGGATATGCATTTTTAATATTCTTCAAAACTTCTACAATCATATTACATTCAGTTTAATTTTAAAATGATTTTTCATCTTTAGTTTCTTCACTTTCAATATCTATAAATAATACTCTTTAATTAAAAAAATTAGTAGGTATCAATCTTTCATAAACAGAAAAATGATCAATTAATTTATTATCATAAAAGTTTAATGATGGAAATTCTCTAATTTGAGGATGCATTCTATATTACATGTCTAAAAAGAATGGTTTAAAATCATTATCTAAAATTCTTTCAAATAAACTTCTATTATAATGAGTAATTTATGAAATTGATGAAAATGTTGTAGCTGGTAATTATTTAGGATCACCTATCAATATCATCTTTCTCATTCCTAATCTTAATGGAATATTATTAGAAGGTTCAGTACATTATGCTGCTTCATCAACNGATTATTATTATTATTATTATTAATGTGATTATGAAATTAGCTTAATGATGGTGATTGAATTAGATTTTTTTCAGTTTTATTATTCTATTATTCTTGTTTATCTTTGAAAATTTCTTAATCTTTATTTTATTCAATAGTTTTTAATTCTTCCTAAAGATTAAGTTCTTTATCATTCAAAAGATTTAATAGTTAGTCATGAATTTTTCTTTATCTATCAAACCAAATATCTTCTGCTAAAATTTTAAATGAAAAATAATCATTTTTTCCAACATATCTGTAAAGCTTCCTATTGTGCAAATTTAATAATAGGTTCTTCCATAATTAACATTATGCCAACTAATATAATAATAATATTTTTTACTGTAATTGCATTTCCAAAAATAAATAAAGCATTTCTTGCTCTTGTTAAGGCAACATTAACTCTTCTTCCATCTTAAAGAAATCCAATATTTCCAGAAGATGAAGATCGAACACAAGAAAACAATATAACATCTCTTTCCTAACCTTAAAATGAATCTACTGTATTAATTTAAATGTCATCCATTAGATCTCCTATTTATCTCTTAATTTCAGATTTAATCAATCTAACCTAAGCCTTATATGCACAAATAACACCTAAACTTTAAGTAGGATATGCATTTTTAATATTCTTCAAAACTTCTACAATCATATTACATTCAGTTTAATTTTAAAATGATTTTTCATCTTTAGTTTCTTCACTTTCAATATCTATAAATAATACTCTTTAATTAAAAAAATTAGTAGGTATCAATCTTTCATAAACAGAAAAATGATCAATTAATTTATTATCATAAAAGTTTAATGATGGAAATTCTCTAATTTGAGGATGCATTCTATATTACATGTCTAAAAAGAATGGTTTAAAATCATTATCTAAAATTCTTTCAAATAAACTTCTATTATAATGAGTAATTTATGAAATTGATGAAAATGTTGTAGCTGGTAATTATTTAGGATCACCTATCAATATCATCTTTCTCATTCCTAATCTTAATGGAATATTATTAGAAGGTTCAGTACATTATGCTGCTTCATCAACAATCAATAATTCAAATGCATCAATAAATTTACTTAATTTATCAGTCCCAGCAGTACTTAAAGTTGAACAAAGTATTTCAGCTTCACTTATAATCTTTTCACAAAAAAGAACATAATTTTCTTTTTAATTTCTTTTATTAGTTCTTACTTATTCTAAATACTACATTAATTAATTTCTTTTATTCCATAATTCATTTAATTATTTCTTTTGTTATTCATCATATTTTTCATTTTCTTTTATTTTTTTTATAGCCTATGTTGTTTTACTCAATTCAATTCTTAATTCTCCTGTTGTCTTTTAATCTGAATTTGCTTTAAAAGAACTTTTATTGAATAATTAATATTAAGCTACATCTTCTAAAGAAACCTATTTGATTATAACACTTTTATCATTTTCTTCATCTAAAACACCTAATCTCACTAATTTCACTGTTCTAGATCTACCTTCACTATCAAATAATCCTCCTTATAAAATTCTAAATATAATTTCATCTATGGCTGCATTTGAAGGAGCACAAATCAAAATCTTTTTCTTTGGAAATTTATTCATTATTTTCATATATTCATAGACCCCTGATAATAAACCAATTAAAGTATGTGTTTTACCTGTACCAGGAGGTCCTTATAATAAACAAATACCTCTATCTTATAATATTAATTATTAAATTGCTGTGGCCTATGAAAGGTTAAAATTTTAATTAATATAATTAAAAAATGGATCCATTACTCTTCCATTTGGAATTATATTCTAAGAATTTATATTCCAAATTTTATCTTTATCAGCACCAATTAAATTTTATTATGATTTTGGATCCAAAATTAATGGATATAAAGGTGTTTATGTTATTTTATTGATCATTAAATATTCTCTAAAATTAAAAATATATATTACCTAATTTAAGTTGTAATTTTTACAAAAGGAAATAAATATACTGAAATCCAATTTTAATATAATGGATCTCTAGGAATAAAAGTTTAAATTTTAATTTGATTTAAATATTGATGTGTTTAAGGTTCTATTAACATACCAAAAAATAATTGACGTTTTTCTTTAATTCTAAATTTAATTAAATATATATATTTACTTATTTATTTTTGCTGGATTAAATGAAAATTTATTGCTTATTATGACAATGTAATTTTTTAAAGATGTTAAGTCACATATACTTTCTTCTTTATGTACACTTTCATCACTATCATCCTACTATTTTTTTTCAGTTTCATTATTTCTATCCTTATTCTTCTCTTTTGGATTTTATTAATATTATCTCATTTAAAAGATTAATCCATCTTTATCTATTTCAACATCATCTTATTTTATTTAAATTCTTCTAAATTTTTATTTATTAATTCTTTATAATTCTTATTTTATTTAATGAAATGCTTCATTTAAAAATAAGTATTCAAATATTTTACAATAATCTGTATCTGATTTAAATTTTTTAGGTATCTTATTATATATTTCATTTTCAGAATCCTTACTGTAATCTTTTAAAAATAAATATTTTATTAAAGAATTGAACTCAAATATTGGTTTACCTGTTACTGTAAAAATCCCGCTTTTTTCTTAAAACATTCCTTAAAATGTCTTTTTATCTTAAGTTATTTAGGAATTAGTTTTTTTTAAAATAGGACATTGTTATTTAGCTTTTTCAATATGTAATGATTTTTTAGATTCCTTAATAGTTTCTTATTTAACAATATTTTTAGTTGGATTAATAGATAATTATCTAATCTTATCAATCTTTGGTTTTGAAGAACTTACTGTGTAGCTATTAATCTACAATAATTTAGGATTCATAATTTGTTTTTGTTGAGGCTATAAAAGTTATTATTTTTTCTTATCTAAAGTTTTACTTAAATTTAATTTAGGAGGATTCTCTTTTTATAATTTGAATTGTCTATTAATCTCTTCTAATGATTTAGATTTAGTTTTCTACTATTCTTTTATTTTATGATTTACTTCATATATATTTTATTATTTTAATTCGATTAGTTCTGGTTGAAAGGTTAGTTTTTTCTCCTTACTATATGTAGTTATCTCTTATATAGAAATACATGAATTATCAGTTTATTCAGGAGTACCCTTTGATTTTTGACTAGATGAATCTGATTCATATGAATCTTGATCAATGTTAATCTTCAAATCGATTCCTTTTAATACATTCTTATTATTATCATATTTTTCAAACAATGATTCTAATGAGTCTCTTGAATTTTCATTAATTTTATCGTTCATGATTACTATTATAAATTATCCATCTTTTATTGTACAAAATTAGACTTAGAAAAAACCATCTTTTATTTTGAATTAATTATAAAAATATAATAGAAATTCAAATTAATAAATATTCAATACTAATTCCAAGGTGATTAACTTCTTTAATACTTATACTTATTAGCTAATTATCTAGATTTTGCATTAATACAAGGTGAAAAACTATAATTTTCTTTTTCAAAACTAAAACTTTGCCGTATTGGCATAGCTAATCTATCTGCTTAATCTATTAAATGAAGTCCACTTTTTTTCATTTTTTTATCAGCTATTTCAGCAGATTTAGGATTTATTAAGGGTCTAAATGATTATTCATTTTGGTTCTATATCTCATCTGCTAATTATTATTTCTTAAATTCTTTATATTAAACCCAATCTTCAGAATCTTTTATAAATTGAGAATGTGATCTTGATGGTAATACTTTATATGATTCAACTTCTTCTTATTCTTAAGTAGCTAAAATCTTCTATAATTCAGCTCTCATCTTTTTCTCTTAGACTAATTCATTTTATCTTTCTAAAAATGGTTTAAGATTTTTATTCTCAAGAATCTATTAAGACTTTTTACTAATAAAGGATATTTTTGTTGGAGTCTATGATCTTTCCTTCTCTTATTTTAATTTTTAGATTTTATTTCTTTTCTTTTCTTCTTATTAATATAATCTATCTACAACATTTAAACTTTTCTAATTAGAAGCTTTTAAATCATGAGTTTATAAGAATTGATTATTTGTATCGATTTTAACAGCAGGTTTACTTGGGTTATACATGGTTTTTTGTTTTGGGTATTAAAGAACAAGAGTTTTCATTAAATTACGTTAAAATTATATTTATATAGTACTCATAATAAAAATATATAAAAATATAATTGAATTACTTATATACATATATGGGATGTGGTACGTCATCTGCAAGTTAATTAGAAACAAGAGGTCTAATTTATATTTATTATGGTACAACAACTGGAAATTCAAGTAGATTAGCCTTTTAATTTGCCAGTGAAGTTAGAAATCTTAAATTTATTCCTAAAAGTATAAAAATTAGTTAAAACTTAGTTATCAATCTTAGTGAATACAATCCTAAAGAATTGATATCCTAAAAATTAAATGTTTTTTTTGTATCAACATATGGAATGGGATCATGTACAGCTGATACTGAAAACTTTGATTAATGGTTATTTTCTGAAGAAAGAAATAAAAATGAATTTTAAGGAATGAATTACATGATTTTTGCATTAGGTAGTACAAATCATGAACATTATTGTGAATTTGGAATAAGATTAGATAAAAGACTAGAATAATTAGGTGCTAAAAGAATATGTAATTTGGGTAAAGGTGATGCTGCAAATGATTAAACAGAAAATGACTATTAATAATGGATTCATAATGAAGTTTAATAAACATTACAATTATAATATCCTTTATATACATGTGAATAAGGTTAATTAGATTTTTCAATCATTAAAATTAAAATCACTAAAGAACCAGAAAATTTATTAAGTGACAATCTTGATTTTATGGCTCAAAAATATATTAACAGTATCACATTTTCAATAAATGAAATCAAAGAACTAAAATTGTAACCTAGTAGAGGCAATTCTACATTATTTTTAGATCTATTTAATTAAAACATTAAGTATAAAACAGCTTATAATATTGCTATATATCCTTAGAATTCTGAGTATATTATTTAAAATATATTAGTTCTGATATAGATGAATTATGTACTTTACTTAAATTTGATAAAAATATGAGATTTAAAATAATCACTAATTAGAAATAGCCATTTCCTAATCCAATTTCAATATACACATATTTAAAAAAGTAATTAAATAGTATATAAGAGATTTTGTGATTTTTCTGGATTAGTCTCAAAAAAATAGTTAATAGAACTTTCAAATATGATTAATCAAAAAGAATTATAAGATGAACTTCTTCATCTTGCCTCATTTGAAGGAAGAGATCAATATCAAAATAGATTCTAAAATTCAAAAGAGAATTTACTTAATCTAATTAAAAAATATTAAATCAAAACATTAACCTTAGAGAAAATAATAGAAATATGCCCTTAAATATAACCAAGATACTTTACAATAGCATCAAGTAATTAGAAACATCCATAAAATATTCATATAATGGCTAGTCAATTTGTATTGAATCATGAAAGATTAGGACTTTCAAGTTCATATTTCAGAACTTTAAAAAAGGGAGATATTATAAGAGGATACTTACAACCATCTAAATTTAAGTTACCTAAGAATTCTAAAGCACCTACATTCTTAATTGGAATTGGAGCTGGATTAGCACCACTTAGAGCTCTTATTCAAGAAAGAGATTATTATTTAGAAAATAATCAATTTGAAAAATGTCCATTTTAAGGAGAAATGAAATTATATTATGGATGTAAAACAGAAGCTGAATTTTTATTTAAAGATGAACTTAAAGAATATTTAAATTCAGGAACTTTAAGTGAATTACAAGTAGCTTTTTCTAGAAAGGATCCTAAATAGTATGTCACAGAATTAATTGCAATAGATCAATTATATTAACATTTCTAAATGGATGGTATATTATATATATGTGGATCTATTGAATTGGGAAGAGATATTCAAGTTAAAATTGCTGATATGTTTGAATATTTTGAAAATACTGATCCTTATTTAACTGATTAAAAAATAAGAGAACTCGAGGAAAATTCATAAATATTAACGGAATATTGGGGATGATCTATATTATCATTTAATTTTTTTAGAACAAAAGGTTTTTACAGGATTATAAATAGGCCCAGGGGATTAAGAATCTTCATTTTTGATTTTTTCATCTATCCAACTTATCTTTGGAGCTCTTCCTATTGTTGCATTAGGTGAAGACTCTCTTATCACTAAATATTATATATATATATTGTTAATTACATTTCAAACTCTAATCTAATTTATACTTTCCTACTCCTGGAGAACTTGTAGTTAGACTATTATCTAATTGTCTTCTAGCTTTTGGGAATGTTGTGGGTGAGCCATTTGATTAATATGACATTTCACTTAATGGAATGACTTTTGATGACATTTTACTAGGTGATCGACTACAAATTGATTGATTAGATGCAAATTTTTTAAAATCAGAAACAGATTATTTTGTTAAATCATTTACTCTTTTAACAGTTTAAGATGTATCTATATTAAAAATCTATGACTATTGATCTTAACCTAAAACATTTAGTTCATTTAAGAGTCTATTCCAAATTTAATTCATAGTAGCTGTAACTATTACATCAAAGTTAGATTTAAATATTTGCAGATTTCTTGATAATTACAAATTGTATTCAATTTTTTATCCTTATTTTTCCATAACACTAATCACTTCCCTCAATCCTTAAAATTGATATTAAATTTACTTTGTTATGCAAAATTGATTTCATTCATAAAAATGTTCTCAAATTCTTTAGAAATCTGACTTAAGTATCCTTTCTTTTATACTGTTTCATAGATATGATTTATATCTGCAAATCTAGCAACTTCTTACTATATATTTAACTATAAATTCATAATAAAAATAAATTTTCATTTAAACCATTCGTGATCTAATATTTCTTATATTGTTGGTCTATCTTATGGTTTTTTAGCACAACAACTATTTATTAAATTGATAAGTAAATCATCCTAAACTTCAAATTATAATGGTTAATCTCTAGCTAATAAATCTGTTTCTAAATCTCCTTCACCCCAAAATGGTAGCTATTAATATAAGTTAATTGATTACTTTTTCATGTGTATAAATATATAAACAGATTCCAAATGACCAAACATCTAATTTAAATGGAGAATAACCATCATTTAAACAAAATTATACTTCAGGTGCTCTAAATCCTGGAGTTCCAGCACAATCATAAAATATACTATCTTTTTCAGCTATTCTTGAAGTTGAAAAGTCAATTAATTTACAACATTAATCTAATGGATATAAAGTAGTGCATATAATATTATCAATTTTAATATCTCTATTAACTATATTATGTTCATGAAGATACTATATTGCTTAAGCAATCTATTTAAATAATAGTTTAGCTGCTTGCATATAATTCATTTTTAGATAATCAAGAATAGCCTAATTTCTAATATATTTAAATGTAATTTCACAGAAGTTCATAATACAACCTAAATCACCCAATTACATAATTAAATATATTTTTTGTTATGGATCATCTTCATCATCTATTATTTCATATAATTTGCAGATATTTGGATGATTAAGATATTTATGAATATTGATCTCATTATCTGCAAACTCTAATAAATTAGTCATTTTTGGATCATTTGAATTACTTTCATAAAAACAAGTTCTTTAATGAGCTAAAACTGTTTTATGAAATATTTTCATTGCATAATCACTTTTACTAAGTTCTTCTTATTCTTCTGTTTCTTTAAAATATCTAGTAACACGTCTAACCTTTCCAAATGATCCTTCTCCTAGTTCATCTAACAATTCATATTCATTTATGAATTTCTTTCCATTTTCTTTTCTATGTTCTACTTTATCCCTGAAATTTGCTTCATATATTTCAATATCCATCTTAATAATTATATAAAAAATTGATATTTTAACAAATTGTTAAGGCTTTAAAGTTATAAAATTATTTAAAGGTTTGTTACATATTCTTTTTTTAATATACTTAATTCACTAAATATGTATCAATTTTATTAATCTTCAAATATTTTTATTTTTAATCTAATCGTTATGAAAAAAACAAATTTGAAGCTAAATGCTACTGCAACATTAAAAAGATAAAATAAAGAAAATACAATAAAATCTCCACGAAAAGCTATTTCCCCAAAAAACTTTAGATAAAAATTAACTTGTCCTGATTTATGGGATAACATTGAAAAATAATAAATTACTTCTGAAACAATATTTTAACAAATATTTCCTAATCCTAATAGAAAGAGATTAACTTACTTTTAGTTTGATTAAATTAAACTTTTAAGTGTAGAAAAAAATGAAATTTTTGATTTATTGTAATAGGATGACTGGATTGAATATAATAGAGCAGGTAAAATTCTAGGAGAAAAATATGGCTTTGAATAAAGTCATTTAAAACAATGGTTTGATGAGAATCAAGTTAATTAAACTATTAAAAAAGTAGATCTACTCAAAAAATTTAAAGACAAAAGTAATTTTATAACCAAGTATATATTTATTTAAATTATAAGATTATTTGAAGAAATTGATTTTAATAATACATAAGAATTATCGTATTGGGATATCTATCTTCATAAAGATATTTATGTACTTAAGTAAATAATTCCACAATGATTATAAAACTAATGTTATGATATTTTATTTCAAATAATAGAACACACTCTTAGAGAACTCTATATTCCAATTAAAGTCAAATACTTATATGTCTAATCAAAACTTGTTAATCATTCTGAATATTAAATTTTCACTATAATTTAATATTTAGAATCATTCTAAAATATGTTAACTTAAAATCATATATTTATATTCTCTATTAAATATCTATTGAAATTAAAATTTTCAAATATGGATTAATTTCTTAAGCAGAAAATGATGAAATTCATAATCACTCTATTTATTTTAGATTTATTATTTAGTGTTTTCGTATTTATATATAAATTGAATAAGAATATAATCCCTTTTTTCTATAAAGTATTTTCAATTTCTATTTCTACAATAAAAATAACTTTTTGTTTTAATAAATAAATGAAAATAATTATGTAATATTTAATATGTGTGGGTATATATCAATTTACATATCTGGATGATTCATATCTTCCTACTTGTAAATATCCACTCCCACTCAATTATTAGCTTTATTCATATTTATAAGGAATTTAAGCTTAATATTGATAAGATCTTATTGAACCATTATCACCTTATTGAGATAATATTTTATCTTAATTAAAAACTTCATTCTACTTTGATTCATATTAAGTCTTAGCTCTAAATTAAGTTGAAGTTACTATTTAAGTATTATTATTTTATAAATCTTGATACGAATTTCTTGTTAATCCTTTATTTGATTCTCTTTAAGAGTAATTTTCATAATTATTTAATTATTCATTACCATAAACTTTTTATTATATTTTCGTTTGACTTTCATATCCACTTGTTGTTAATAAACCTTTTATAACCTCTTTATCTTGTTATTGTAAGAGTAATGTACAATTTTGATCCCTCAAATTTTATAATTCTGCTCCCATTAATACTATTAAACTCAATAAATCCTCTTCTCTTTTAGGTTATATTTAAGGAGTTAAAAGAGAATCACCATTATTTAAACTATTTGGTCTTGGTTATAATTTATGAGTAATAGGTATTGATTAATAGGAACTAGAAGTTTATTATTTTCTCAATCTACTCAATTCCATAGTTAACATTACTATTTTATTTTCATAATATTCTTTTAATTTTTCTATTTCATTATTTTATGTCATTTAAGATTACAAAATTAATTATTGTTATAATTATTAATTGATTTGTTCATTTTTTAATTTGTAAGTTTTTACTTAATTTTATAATGATTCATTTTCACTATAATATTTATCAATAATTATGCCTAATCTCTCAATTTCAGCTGATTATAATAGAAAATTCAATAATAAATTAGATGGTTATATATTAGAGAATAATATACTTTCTTTAATATTTTTACCATTAAGTTTTCTTTTTTTTGGATCCAAATCATCATCTGTTAATCCATATTCATTTTTAATCCATTCAATTTTTTCATTAGCTTCTTTTAATTTGTTACCTAAATCTTTCAATTCTGAATTCTTCTTATTTAAATCTTATTATAAATCCTTTAATTTATTATCTTTATCTTATAATTGTCTCATTAAATCATTCATTCTATTTCTTAAATCATCATTTTCATTTGATAATCTATTTTTATCTTCATTTAATTAATCTACTTCTTAATTTAATTTATCATTTTCATCTTTTAATTAAGTTGCTACTTCTTTTTATCCATCTGCTGAATCTAATTCATCTAAACAATTATTTAATTCTGACTATAATTATAATTTATCTTATTCAGCCTATCTAATCTTATATTACAAATCTCCTAATTATCTTAATTAATCTTGTAATTATCTTTAATTATCTTATAATTATCTTTGAATATCTTATAATTATCTTTATTAATCAACTAATTAATTTTTTAATTAAGCTATTTCTTAATCTTTTTTTTTTAATAATTCTTTCATTTATTCACTTTCAATTCTTAATTGATCTGCATCTCTTAATTTATTTTTCATATCATTTAATTATTAATTTAAGAATCCATTTTCCATTTATAAATCTTATGCATTTTACTTAAATAATTATAAAATTTACTTTTAAATTATCAAGAATATCTAAATCATTTTTCTATTTATCATTCTCTCTTTATTATCTATCTAATTCTTTTTTTAAATCATCTGCTTCTTTAGCCTTTTTTTTTAATCTTTCTAACTCCTAAAAAAATAATTTTTAATTAATTTTACTTTTAATAAATCTTCTGGACTTCCTCCAAATGATTTCTATAATTTATCTAATTCTTTAAGTTTCTTTGCTAATGTGTCAGGATCCATACCTCCAATTTTATTTTATAGATCATCAAATTATTTCGCTTTTCTTTATAAATCATCTAACATTCTTTATAATTCTTCCGGACTCTTCCCACCAAACTGTTTTTCATAATCACCTAACTTCTTTTTCAATTTGTTTAATTGAGATCTCAAATCATCTATTATTAATAATATTCTCTTTTACCAACATCATCATCACCTATCTTTTTTTACAATTATACTAGCTGTTTTTTCTATTATTCTAATTCTTTTTTCCAATTTGGATCATAATCACGTAATTAAGTTTCATATCGTTATAATGAACCTTCAAGCTCTTTTATTAGTTTTCTTAACCTTTCATTATCACTGCCTATCAAATAATTCTCCCTATTCTTGATTATATTATATACTGCTATATTTATTGTAGCTTTTCCATTAGATCTCTTATTTACATTTCATAATTGATTCTATCTAATCCACAATCAGTCTGCTACTTTATAGAAATTTTAAGTTCTGTGTTTTCAGCAATCAGTCGCTATATTTCTACAGCCATTAAAAAACATGTCACATCAAGTTATCCATTAAGATTTCGTTAGATACCTGTATCCCTTTTATTAGCATTAATACTTACTAATATCTCACTCTTGTACGATATTGAGGATGATTAATTTCCTCCTCATATTAACTATAATTGAACATTTATTAATAACACATTCATATTGTATCAAAATATGGTTAAATTCTCCTTGTAATTGCATCAGGTGTATTGCAACTATATTATGGTTACTTTTGTTTCATCTTCTCCAAAACTCTATTTTAATATTGAATCTCCTATAATTTTTATATGATAACTATTTAATTTTACCTAATCTTTTAATGTATCAAATACATCAATTAACTTTAATGAATCTACATTAAGATTCTTTAAAAAATAGTTAAGTTCCTTTAAATTGATTCCACTATTTTTTGAATATATCTAAAAAATAATATTCAAATTTACTCCATATAAAAAACCATGTTTTTAATAGAATTCTCTTTTCTATTCCTTAGTTAAGGTCACTTAACACTCAGTAAGACAACGTATAATAAATTTCTTAGTAACTCCCATTGGTAATTGATCATCAAATTGTATAAATTTCTATATTAATTGTTATGGTAACTCAAATATTATTTGATTTTGATACTTCATTATTAAAAACCTATTCTACTATTGGTTTAGGATAGACACTTTCTAATCCTAAGAAAAAGGATTTAAATTTTTTGAATAATATTCTTCTGTAAGGAATTCTTGCAAGATAAACTAAGACTCTTTTAAAATTATCTACTTTCATAAGCAAACTTTAATTAACAAAGAAATATTAATCCACAAAATAAATAGATTCTATTTTTATTATCCTCTACTTTTTATTTCATTTTAGCCCATAAAGGTTTTTAATATTTGTGATATGTTCTCTAAATATCAACATTTTCTTTTCTAATATTTTGATTTATTTCCTAATTTAGTATAGCAAATCTATTACCATATGTTATTTTAATCTTTAATAGTATCGAAATTTAGGTATCATAGCAGACAGCATAATTATATTTTAATAATTATTATTATAAAAATAAAATACATTCTTAAAATAATAATCATTATTCATTTTAAATGACAGCATAAGCTTCTTAAGATAGTTTTATTTTCTTGCTAATTTTCTCTTATTATTTGTCTTTGATCTACTTTTTCTTGGATTCAAAATATTCAATGTCCTATTAAGCAGCTTCACAAATAACACCTTTACAAGCTTTTCTATGAACTAAATTAAAAGATTAATACTGCCATGCTTAATCACCATATCAGCATTTGTACTAACTGCTTAAGTAGCCTAATCTTTCTTTAAACCAATAGTCATTCCTAATGCTACTAAATCATAAGGACTTCTGTGATAGAGCCAATAATTAGTATCAGAAGACAGGATAATATTTCTACCTTTAGTTGCATTAATAATAATTTATGCATTTGAAATAAATTATCTTCTTTTATTAGGATCTTAAACTGCATCACCATAGTTAATTTCAAACATAACATTTTTATCTAAAAGTTATGAACTTATTTTTGCTTTTGGAATAAATGGAAGCTTTTCAAAACAATCAAAAGTGATAACATCAAAATACTACAATATTAAAATGATATTGTACTGTTAAAGTTGTACATAGATAAATAAATACAGCTTCACTCTTTGGTTTGATAGCAATAATATCATAACCTTATAAAAATTGATTATCTTATTTAATCGAACCTAAGAATTTGGTATCGCTAGCTTCAAGAGTGAGTCTTGAATATTATTTAATTTTTCCTGTGAATTATGATATGTTTGGACTTTGCTATTATTTCTATAGTAAGAATTCCTCAGTGTAAGGTTTAAAAGTGGAAGCATTTTACTTTGTTATTTATTAATCTTTCACATAATTTGAAATAGCAACATTATGATAATTTTCTAATTGTAAATCACATTTTAATTACCTTCAATACAAGTGATCAATAATTATATCAATTGATTATCTTTTTAAGAATCTCCTGCATAGAATGACCGTAAATTTAAATCACTATGCATATAAATTTAATGTATTTAATACTAATATTTTAAATAGTGATATATTAAATAAATCAATTCTTATTAGCTAAGATGTATTCAATTGATTTCGTAATTATTTAATTATATTCATTTGGCTGATCTAATAAAATTAATATAGTGATAGATTAATATAAACATCATATGTAAAATTTTTGATATTTTGTTGACTATAAATATTATAATGTTAGAATAACAATATGAGATTTTACTTAATAATAATTACTGAAGTTTTTATTTGGTTTATGCAATTCATTTTTAATATATATATATATACTTAAAAATTTAGCTATACAGTAAGAGAAGGAAAATAAAAAGATATTATTACAATAGAAAAAGTTAAATAGAAGAATATTTTAATTTATTTTAACTTTTAATATTGAATTATAGTAGAAACTAATATTGAATTATAGTAGAAACTAATATTGAATTATAGTAGAAACTAATATTGAATTATAGTAGAAACTAATATTGAATTATAGTAGAAACTAATATTGAATTATAGTAGAAACTAATATTGAATTATAGTAGAAACTAATATTGAATTATAGTAGAAACTAATATTGAATTATAGTAGAAACTAATATTGAATTATAGTAGAAACTAATATTGAATTATAGTAGAAACTAATATTGAATTATAGTAGAAACTAATATTGAATTATAGTAGAAACTAATATTGAATTATAGTAGAAACTAATATTGAATTATAGTAGAAACTAATATTGAATTATAGTAGAAACTAATATTGAATTATAGTAGAAACTAATATTGAATTATAGTAGAAACTAATATTGAATTATAGTAGAAACTAATATTGAATTATAGTAGAAACTAATATTGAATTATAGTAGAAACTAATATTGAATTATAGTAGAAACTAATATTGAATTATAGTAGAAACTAATATTGAATTATAGTAGAAACTAATATTGAATTATAGTAGAAACTAATATTGAATTATAGTAGAAACTAATATTGAATTATAGTAGAAACTAATATTGAATTATAGTAGAAACTAATATTGAATTATAGTAGAAACTAATATTGAATTATAGTAGAAACTAATATTGAATTATAGTAGAAACTAATATTGAATTATAGTAGAAACTAATATTGAATTATAGTAGAAACTAATATTGAATTATAGTAGAAACTAATATTGAATTATAGTAGAAACTAATATTGAATTATAGTAGAAACTAATATTGAATTATAGTAGAAACTAATATTGAATTATAGTAGAAACTAATATTGAATTATAGTAGAAACTAATATTGAATTATAGTAGAAACTAATATTGAATTATAGTAGAAACTAATATTGAATTATAGTAGAAACTAATATTGAATTATAGTAGAAACTAATATTGAATTATAGTAGAAACTAATATTGAATTATAGTAGAAACTAATATTGAATTATAGTAGAAACTAATATTGAATTATAGTAGAAACTAATATTGAATTATAGTAGAAACTAATATTGAATTATAGTAGAAACTAATATTGAATTATAGTAGAAACTAATATTGAATTATAGTAGAAACTAATATTGAATTATAGTAGAAACTAATATTGAATTATAGTAGAAACTAATATTGAATTATAGTAGAAACTAATATTGAATTATAGTAGAAACTAATATTGAATTATAGTAGAAACTAATATTGAAAACTAACAATAGATCAATTTATAATTTAAAGCATTTAAATATAGTTTTAATATAGTTTTAATACCAGAGAATATATTAATTATATTGTTCCTCTCCTTATATATATCCTTGGGATTATTATATTTTTATGGAGCAACCAAAAACACTAATAAATATATATTAAGTCAGTTTATTGTTACAATAAAATGGAATAAAGAACACAGTATAATAATTCATTTTTTTATTTTTATAATATATCTTTTAGCCATGATTGATATTTGTGTGATATAATTTTTACTTGTAAGTTTAAAATTATTAAATTGATAATTTCAATTATTTAAAAAATTCAAATAATTTGCAATAAAGTGTCCTTTTGAGTTTCAACCTTTTTTATTAATTTTTCTAATTTTTAACATTCATTATGGAATCCAATTTATTTTGATATATGTAAAAGAGCTTTATATCTTTTTAATTCTTCGACTTCTTTTTTGCTAGATAATTTTTACAAATGTTTTTAACAAAGTTACATACTTGTACTAATATTAGCATACATGAGACAGTCTTAATCTTTACAATGACCAAATCCTAATGTATGTAATAATTCATGAACTATAGTACTATAAAAATCATTAAGTTCTGTTTACACTTAAACAACACATACTTTTTGATTTCCTGCTCTTCCTAAAATATTTGCTTCTGGTTAATATGGATCATAAATATCTTAATCAACAATTACAATAAAAGATTAAATATTTTTTGGTTTTACACGAATCATAACTTTGAAAATACTCAACACATTTATAATATCTTTATCATCTTTTTCTAATTTATAGGTTTGATTATGGTCTATATCATAAATGTAAAAATCATTCTTTTCATAATATAATGCTAATTATAAATTAAGTATTTTGACTTCTAATCCCAAATAAATCTCTATCCAAGATTTAATAGTTTAAATATTTATTGATTTTTCTAAACTTAAATTATATAATCCAATTGGTTCTAATTCAGATTTAATTAATTTATTCTTTTATGGCATCAATCCTTCGTTATTTTAAGAAATTATTTTTAATGTTTATAATTACTCTTCTTTCATTGAATTCTCTATCTAATTATCAATTTCAATCTTAAGAGATTTTGAATATATTTTTTGTTCAAATTTTATGAGTTTTTATTTGTTTTTCATAAATTTGTAGGAAAATTAATTATTAATTGATTTAAATTAAATGAATTTTGAATTACAAAATTAAGTTATTATAAAACATTTGTATATATTCTAATTCTAAATTTTCGTCATTATTTACTTATAAAAGGATCATTTTATTGCATATTATTGTTTGCAATATTCATATTACTCTATTGATCAAAGTTTATCAAAACAGGTTCAAATGTTTAAGGATTCCAATCAGATGGTTAAGGAAGTGGCTAAATGTAATTAGGTGGAATCTTATATAACATAACTATCTAGAATGATATGACAGGCTTTTCTGAACAACAGATACAACCTTATAAATATTAATGAAATTTACCTTCAAATTTTGGAATAACTTTTAGATAATATTATTGATTAACAAGTTTACCATTTGTTGTAGGAGTCAATTCAATCTAAGGATTGTTTTGATTCAATAGAGTTATTTAAATATTTCTACTTTAGGAACCAACTTGTTGAGATCTAGCTTAAACTCCTGGAATTCTTTAAGTTAATATCTTTTAGGTATATTTATGTGTTGAAGTATTGGCTCTTAATATCAATACCTTTTGTAATTCAATTTCTATATAATCAATATTCAAATTGCAATTGGAATTATCTATTTCAATAGTCATTTAAGCAGTATCTCCTGGTAGATAATGATTCTTATCACAGAAACTCTTTACTCTTGAACTCTATTAAATTATACTCTATTAAATACCCCTTTATTAATACAACAACAAATAGATAGATTAGCAGTCCTTTCCTACTGCTAACTAATCACCATTTACTTTATTGGTTCTCTAACAATGAATTCTTATTTATTTCTAATATTTGGTTTGTTTGGTTATGTTGTTGTAAATTTTGCTTTAACTTTGTAATATATATAGCCATAATCACCATGATTTTTTTAGTAGAATGAACCAGGAAGATGAGGATGTAATTAAAATTAAAAAGGAAAAACATATTATCCAATTTATGCTACTTAATTTTAGAATGTGTAAATGGGTACTGTTTAGGAATAGAATTTGTTTTTCCCTCTATAAGTTCTCTAATCCTCACCAGTCCCCTCATCCCATTCAGTTTTTTCTTTTCCTACAATTGTGAATTGAATAATATTTCCTTAATAACCTGCTTTGCAAATGTTCAAAAAGATATTACCTAAAATTACAATAAAATCTTAACCTCTAACCAAGTCACCTGCAAAGTAAAATGGTTTTTCTGTTCTTATTGCAATAGCTCCGTGTTCAGATATTTGATTATGAGAGTTACCCATTTATATAAAATTATATTATTATTTATCCCATAACCACAACCATTATATTTAAATATACCAATTACATTAATAATCTTTTTAGATAATTAAAATATAATTATAATCATATCAATATAGACATAAATGAATCAGAATCATCTACTAATAAAAATATTATACAAAAATATTATACAAAAATATTATTCTATATTAAAAGTTTGAATTTATAAATATTTCTTATTTAACTAAAGAATGTTGTTTTAAATACATTAGGATTGCAATTTTTATAGAAATTAAACTTTTTTAATTGAAAATTATTAAACTTAATCTATAGATGGAGAATCTTAATATAAATAATAGAATTCTATCTAATGGATTGTAATAAAAATATTTATATATTTATTTACATATATAATCATATATATTGTATTAGAAAGATATTAATAATTATATATTTCATGCTCCAATATACTTTATTCAAATTTCAGTCGTAATATGTTTAAAATGTGATCTCCTTTTAGGAATTGATTTTCTAATTGTAGGCAAATCTTAAACAACCTATGAATTATCATATTTATCAACAATAACATGAGAAGTTTAAAAAGTTACCTATCTCTTATTACTATTGAGGATTGACTTTATTTTTCGATTTATTAACTCAAGTTCTGTAGATTATCTTTAAGTTTAAACTTCTTATATTTATAATATTTCATCCAAATTTGATTTTAACATACTTGTATTTTTAGAGAGATTAGGTAAATTTGGTAATACCTAATCTAATTTTTAGGAAAACATTTAATTTCCAAGTGCATACCTTCTTCGAACTGTTTTAGGAATAACTAGTTCAAGAGGGTTTTATAATTCAAATGGTTGTTGATTCTTGAAATCTCCATCAAATTATTGTGGAAAACTATCAATTTCATTTAAAAAAGTTGATGGACAAAAAGATTTATTCTTTGCTTAATTTTTAGATTTAAGAATAGATATTGGAGTTAAATTAAGTAAAGAGGGCTTTTTGTACATCTATTAAATTAATTTTGTTTTATTGAAAAAGATAATTACTGAAATTTATAATGTTGTGTATTACATAATAAAAATCATTAATAAATATATTATGAATTTAAGTATAAATAAATAAGAACTTATATTCTGATAAATAAATTTATACAAATTGTAAAGATAACAATAAAGAAATTTTGTTTAAACACTATTTTAAATACTTATTTAAATATATTTAAAAAGTGATCAAAATATAACAATAAATAAATTTTGTAACCTCATTCTAAAACTAACTCTCACATTATTAAAGTCTCTACTATATATTTTTTAATTTATTTTTTTTTGATTTTTAAATTTGATAATATTTTTTTTTCTGAATTATTAAAATTGATGAATTCAATAATTGTTCTGTCTTTTGAATATTCATTATCTTCAACTTCCAATTTTTTACCTTCAATTATTTTTACAAAATCATTCAATTCCTCCTAAAATTAATGGAAGGTTTATTCATAAATTTAAACATCTTTGTTTTCCATTAAATAGAATTTATAATATAAAAATCTAATAGTATATAAGATATAGTACGATTTCGATGTTTTCAAAAGCTATATGATCTTCTCTGATTATTCTATAAGTGGATCTAATTTAACCTTTTTAATTTTCTATTTCAATTCCTATATGGACTATTCAATAATTTTAATATTATTATTAATACTCTATAATTCATTTTTTAATTATAAAGCATATTTAGATGGATTTTTATTAGTATTCATATAGGGACATGTATAAAAACTACTTTGATGATCTTTTTCCCAAGGTCCAGAACATTTAAAACAGAAATGCTATCCACATAAACATTTTAAATGAAAACAACCTTCAGTACGTTAAATTAATCTTCCACATTAAGGACACTTAGAAGCATGTAAAATTGCCCAATATTCATTTGACTATTAATATTCTAAAACCTTTTTTAAAATGTCACATGGAATTGGATGATGTTTCTCTTCTCTGCATTTGGAACAAAATTTGACTCCACAAGGACATTTTATTGAATTAGTAAAAGTCAAACACTTAAATACATTTTCACAATTTAATCCTATAATTTTAATATTAAAATTTACCTGGACACCAAGTAATTATATCATCATGTTACATAAATCTCTTTATTATTATTTACTTATATTTAGGATACTATTCTAAAAATGAATGAGGCAATCTTTCATAACATTAATCCTATAAACATCTTACTAAAGGTATTTAACTTATGAATTAGACTTCTATCATTTAATTCCAACAATTCTTACAAAATTTATGATTACAATCCAAACTAAATCCTTAAGTCTCATTCTCTAGACATATTGAGCAAATCATATTTTAATGAAAGTGTACATTAGATACATTATAAATACCTTATTCCTTAAGTTAAACTTTTAATTTTTCTGAATCATTGCTAAGCAACAATTACTCATAAATGTTTTAAACTTCAAAATTGAAAAAGATTAATATCTTAATTTAATTATTTAATTACATTCAAAACAACCTAAGATTATTCTCCAATCTTATCTTTGATTTTTTCAAGCCTATCTAAAAATTCTTAATAAAGTTCATTCTAACTTAATAAAGTTTCATTTTTTTAGAAATCATCATTATCATATTCATCTATTCCTGAATAATATTCATCATCACAATAATCATCCATAATTAGAAGTCAATAAAAAACTTAAATTTAAAAATATAATATTTATACATATAATCAGTTTTAATAATTAAAATATTTAAGTATTGATTATACTTAAAATAATATTATTATAGAAAAAGAGATGACTTTAGATAGAATATAACAATAAATTACTATAAAGAGTTTAATTGATATTTTATTTATGTAAAAACTAAGTTAATTAATCTGAATTGATAATTAAAAAAAGTATAAATAAGATAATCGCATGATGAATATCTAATACGACATAGAAACTTAATTCAATATCTTCTGCTCCCTAAAGTTTTTATTAATTGTTATATTTGAACTTATTAGGCGTTGAAATAAAAGTTGTCTTTATTTCTAGATGTATAATCATTTTAAGTTTTTAAATAATTTCTATTTGTAGGTTATTGAATTAAGTTTTCTAAAGATTCATATCTTCTTATTTATTACAATTCATTTAATCTCAAATTAGTAAGTTCCCTTTTCTTTCTATTTTACATTTAACCCAAATAAGTTTAAGAAAATGGCAAATTAGAATGCAAGTCAGCTAAAGATCCTCTTTTAGAGCAAATCTATTATTATTATAAAGATTATGATTATGTTGATATTAATAAAGTTTGATTTTTTGTATTTTTTTATCTTAATTATTAAAGTTCTACATTTCTAAGTTTAAGATTATTTTAATATTCAACTTAATTTTCCTTAAAACTAGAATCTTCAACTATGATAAGAGAGTCTATTAAATCTGAATCTTAAGTTTTTTATCGTTTTGGTGTATTATTCACAATTATCATCAAAGTAAACTTATCTATTTTGAAATTAAATATAACAATCCAAAAATTATCAATTAAATATTCTAGATAATTGATTTCTAATTTTATGTTACTATAATTATCATATAAAAATGATAAATTTTATTGTGTCTAGAAGAAATCAATCAAGTAAGTAGCTCAATTTATAAATAAATTCTTGTCTATTTAAACATGATGATTATTTATATATATATATTGTAATTATTAAATAGATAATACTTTTTATTTATTAAACATTAATTAAATGTTACTTAATGATAAAATACCTATATAATTAATATAAGTCTACAAATTGATCTTTACATATCGATTAAGAAAATAATTAATAATAAAATTTTATCATTTATGATTTATCATAAATTTATGATAAATCGTAAATGAGATGTTTAAATAGATTAAAATAATCATAATATTTTATTTAATATTATTCAATATAGATTTTAAGTATATGTTTAATATTACTTATTATCTTTTATATAAATATATATATTAAAAAATTAAATAAAAATAAATGTGTTCAAGAGGCATATTTTAATTAAAATTCCTTCAAATATTTTATTGTGATTATGGAGGTAGCTCATCAAAAATTAGACATTTCCTACCAACTCTAATTTAGCACCCTTTATTAAATCAACCTAAAATAAACTTTCAAATTTTTATGAAAAAAAATAGTCACCCATATTTAAATGGAATTTATGTGAATGGATATTAAAAATAAATATCTTTAAAAGGATTGGAAGATGATCAAGAAATTTTGGATAGAATTGCATTGTTAAGAAATTCATGTATAATATATTAATATTTCACAGTTGGCTCATAAAGTGTAAGACATGCTGGAAGAAAAGTGACAACACTTACACCATCAATCTAAGGTGGTTGGAATGAGAATTTATTTAAGACTAATATATATCCTAGACATTAAATGGAGATATCCAGATCATTTCCACCAGTTGAAGTCCCAGAACCAAGGATTGTACCAGTCGATAAGCCAATAGATTTCAATAAAAGATAAGTAGATCCATACTAATAGATCTAAAAGCCTAGATTGGGAGTTAAGAAAGCAACTCATATTTGATAATAATATTAAAATGTTAAATTTATTGCAAATAAACTAGCAATTCTAAACAAAATTATAATCACCTATTAAAAAATAAAAAATAGAATAGATAGTATAGAAGCTAAAGGAAGAAAACATAATTATTGAAAACTAATGTGTTTCTTAATTATTGACATGCTTGAATTAATTATAATTAATTTTAAGCTTATAAACGTAAATTATATATACTAATGATAGTAATCAATTTATAAAGCTTATTATCAGAATAGGAAGTGTGATAAAATTTGATTGTAATATTTCTATATTTGAAGATATTCTTGAAAACAATTGTGATAAGGAATTATTTTTAGATAAGCTATAATATTTAGAAAACTTAGAAGTTAAAATTTTAAGTAATGGTAATAAATAACTCATATTGAATCCTAATTATGGAATTATTGAAAAATTAACAACCCCTTTTCACACACCAAATTTAGATGAATTATTAGCCTAGTTTCTTAGAAGTCAGGATCTATAAATTTAGTTGCTTATAAAATTATATTGCATCATTAGCATTCTTTAAAGTTAATTTAGTGAAATTATTACAAATCTAATTAATCTAGCAATATAAAATTAAGATAAAGATGAACCAATAAAAAATAGAGTTTTTATGACTAATTTAGATCTTATATTTTAAACTTAAAAGTAAGAAAAAGTTCAAATGGAAGTTAAGCCAATTAACTATTAATACTAATATAATAAATTGCTAATTTATTAATAAGCAGAAAATAATCTAATAACAAAAGCCTTTGATCTTCTAGACAATACTATGTATCCTAAAAGAAAGAGAAGTTTTGAAAAGGATAAAGAATCAGCATATTAAAATTTCTCTTAAAAAAACCAATTTGAGATGTCTATGGATATCTTTAGAGTTGATCCTTATATGTCTTATTAAGCATTATTTTCATAAGTAGCACCTCCTTAATAATCTCCAGTTTTAACTCATGTTTCAACATTTCCAAAACCTAATAGTTTGTGTTTATCTCCTACAAACTCAGATAGTCATAGTTTTACATCTTAAAAGAATAAAGGACTTAATTATTAATTTAATTCTGTCTATTAACATTTAATTGATTAAAATCAATATGCTTAAATAAGTCAATAAAACATTGACGCTTAAATAAGATAAAGAAAAATGCTTATAAATTAATAATAAAACTAAAGAGTTTCGAGAAGTAAATCAAATTCAACTGTGATAATGCCTGATATATTCAAATAGATTTGTTTAGATAGTGGTAAAAGTGATGAAAAAAACGATGAAAAATCCAAATAGAAGGGTACTAAGAAAACTTTAAATATTAATTAGAATCAAAAAAAAGCATTGTAAAATAAATAATTAATAAATAAATGATATTTATTTTTAAAAATGTCTAACCGAAATAATCTAAATTAATATAACCTATAATTCTCTAATTATTTCAATACATAGGATTAAGATATCTATACAGTATTAGATTTAATAATAATATAATGATAATCATTCTTATCTGACTCTCTTTCCTTCCACCCATTCAGCTTCAACTTCTCTTTAGTCTTTATCAACCAGAATTCCCTTACCATGCTATTTCCCATCTTTCCAATAACCTTTATATTATTTTCCATCAGACCATTTAAAGATCCCATAACCTTCTTTTTTGTCCTCCACATAATCACCTAATAATTTAAAATAGGAGTATACCACTATATTATTTTCCATCTGGCCAATTGAAATCTCCTTTTCCATGCATTTTATTATTTTACCATTATCCTTTATATTTTCTTCCATCAGCCCAAATATATTCTCCGTGTCCTAGAAATTATAAATATAAAAATACCTTCAATATTGTTATCTCTAAAATCTCCCTCATAAGTTGCCCCATCACTCCATTTAAATTATCCGTTTCCATCCTTCTTACCATTAACATAACATCCTATATAGTGAGCACCATCTGGCCACATTTCAGATCCTTTACCATGTTATTAATCTTCTAACCAATCTCCTTCATATTTAGCTCCATCAACATGATAATATGTTCCATAACCTTAAGCTCTATCATCTACCCAATCACCATCCTTAATTTTAATAATATGATACATAAGCATCGCCATCTGCATGAATTAATCTCCCTTTTCCATTAGCAGTGTGAGCACTCCAAAATCCTTCATATATAGATCCATCAGGCCAGAACTATTTTCCTTTTCCCCATCTTTGATGATTTTTCCATTACCCAACATATATAGCTCCATTCTCAAATTACTATAAGTTAACAATTAGTTAATACATAAGGTTCTAGTTCAATGCAATCTGCAAACATCTTAAGTTATTCAGGATCATAACTATATTCTCCAAGTTTATCTAGAGTTTTACGTACCATATCATTTTCTATTGTTGCTATTTTATCATACGGTTTAGCATCATCTGGAGAGGGACCATGCATAGCTATTAATTGTCTATGTTTTTCTCTAGAAGCCTTAAAGATAATCATATCAAATACATCATCTGGTGGATTTCCTGGAGCTGGTTCTTAAACTGGAATGTGAGGAGGTTCTTAAACTATTTTCTCTTGATCTAGTTCTATGTTTTAATTATTTGCTTCAAAAGGTTTTTCATTATCAACTTGATGATTGAAATCTTCAGGAGCAGCATGAATTATTTCAGTATTTCCAATTTATTTAGCAGCACAACAAGTAGCTCCCATAACTTGAATATATTTAAATTAATATTAATTTATCATAAGAATTTAAATGACACCCTTAAATTATAATAATTACAAACATTTATCAGATCTTATTACTTTTTTTACCTTGTAAATACAAGCTATAAAAGATGGAAGATTTATCCTCTAAGAGTTTTTAAGGATCATCGAACTCTTTGGCCTCTCCTTAATCAATTACTAATATTCTGATTAATATTAAATTAAAATTATTACTTATCACAATGCATTATAGTATTGATTCTATGAGCAATCGTTATTACTGTACATTTTTTAAAGGCTGTTTAAATTGTTTGTTAGATTTTTGATTCTGTATCAATATCAATGTTAGCAGTTGCTTCATCAATCAAAATTATCTAAGATTATTTAAGAACTGCTCTGGCTATTGATATAAGTTATTTTTCTCCAGCACTTAAGTTATCTCCATTTTCTGATATTTCAGTATCCAAACCCTTCTTTTACAATAGCAAATCTCCCAAACAACATTATAAGGCTACATCATTAAGTTCTTAATCTGAATGCTGATGTAATGGGTCAAGATTCTCTCTTAAGGTTCCTTCAAAAAGAGTGGAATCTTATAAAATCATGGTTATAGATTCTCTGAGTTATTTCAAATTTAAGGTTGATATATCAACTCCATCAATTATAATTGAACCACTTGATGCTTCAAGAATCCTTAACAAAGATAAAGTAATAGTTGATTTTCCAGCTCCAGTTCTACCTACTACTCCAATCTTCTCTTAACGTTTAATTACAACATTTAGACCTCTTAAGGCTGGAGATAAATTTTCTCTATATTTGACAATTAATGAATCTATTCGAATATCTCCTACTTAAGGCCAATTTAATATATAATCCTTCTTTTCTTTATAGCCATTTTCATGTTCAACCTTAGCAAATGCCAAACATCTTTCAAAAGAAATGAATTGTGTTTCTGCTTAAGTAATTGAATTTATTGCTGATTACAAACTATTATCAATTACAGTTGCAACTGTCATTAATAAACCAGCTAATGCAGGATTTTCACTCCCATAAAATAATACAAAAGCAATAGCTGATATATTTACTATAAAACTAGTAAATGTTAAATTCATTGAAAACCATGTAGTCGTTTATAATTGAGCTATTTGTATTTTCCTATTCAAATCAATGTTTTTAGTGTGTCTATCTAAAAATTACTCTTATTTTGTAAAAGCCCTAATAATATTTAAACCATTGACTGTTTCTGAAAAGAAACTCAAAATGGGGCTTTTACTTAATGATTCCAATCTATAAAGTTCCCTATTTGCAGCCATATAAAATCTTTAGACTTTCCATACTGCATATAAAAATACTAAAACTGGGATAATAATATAATAGGAACTACTAAAAACATTGATTAGAGTACTTGCTATAAGATATTGACAAAATAAATTACCTATAAAATTTAAGCAACTAATATATAGAATGGATATAGTCCATAGAATTTCTGTATCTAGAACTGATTAATCTTTAGTTAATCGATTCATTAATACACCTAAAGGAATCCTTTCAAAAAATTAACATAGTGGTGCATAAAGTAATGATCTAATAAATAATATATGATTAGAATTACTCAATCATTCTTGTATGTATTTTATTAGCAGTATTTACACTTTCTCTTGAGAGTGTTAGAATACGAATTAAGGCAAAAAAACCAAAACTTAAAGAAAAAAATGAGAAAATCATTAGATTATGTAAATTTTCATCATACGTTAAGTCTTCTTATCCTGACCATTATGCCAACCATATTTGTGATCCAAATCTAGCTATAACTTAAATAATAACAACAATAAGATTAAAAATAAAGAATAGAAATCCTCCACTCATTTTAAAATATTCTTTGTATACATCTAATTATACACTACCAACTTTTCTATCTTCTAATAACATTAAATCATCTATTAAATCCTTATTATTATTATTTATTTATTGTGTAGATGATTTTTTTTTAATTAATTTAAGAACTTCTAATTCTTCAACTTAATCTTCTTTCTCTTCATTTTTTTATTCTTTAAAATATTTCTAATAAATTAAATCAAATTTATCACACTCTTTAATATCATCAAGAGTTCCTTCCTTAATTATTTAACCATTATCCATTAATATGATTCTATCAGCATATTAACAAGAATAAAGAGCATGAGTAATTAATACTATAGTTTTACCATTCAAATGTTCACATAAACATTTTTCTATAATAAATTTACCCACATGCATATCAACTGCACTAATAAGATCATCTAATAAATAAATATCACAATCACTATATAATGCTCTGGCTAGACTTATCCTAGCCTTTTATCCTCCACTTAAATTAACACCTTTTTCTCCAATCATTGTAGCTTCTCCTTTGTCTAGAATTTTAATATCTTATTCTAAACAAGAATAAGTTATAGCATCTTTATATCTCTTTTCATCATAAGGTAGACCAAATAAAATATTATCTTTCAAAGTTGCATTTTATATCCAACTCTTTTAACTTACATATGCTATTCTTCCATTAATTTTAATCATTGGAGGCAATCTTGAAACATTGTAAACCATTTCTCCTAAAATTGCACTTATTAAAGAACTTTTGCCACTTGCAACACTAAATAATAATAATAATTAATAATATACTCTCCAATTATTGTAACAAATTCACCAATATCAATTTTTAATTTAATATTTTTTAAAATTGGATCAATCTATTGATTAATAGGCACAACATCAGTAGATTTAATTTAATTTTAATTATTATTTTTTACTTTATCCCAATAAAAAGTTCCTTCAATTTCTATTGAATTTCCAAGAATATCATTTACATTTTAGATACAATCATTCATAAGTTCATCTGTCAATAAAAAATTCTATATTCTTTTTATACTTATATTTGCTTCAATGATTTAATTAATAAAACTTGGTAAAGCACTTGCTGATTATTATAATATACTAAATAAACTGATTATGGAAAATGTTTCTGCAGGTGATAAATTATATTATAGTAAAATGTATACAGCTAAAGTAATATTTAATGTTAATTATGGTGTCATTAAAAATGCTAATATAAATAAACCACTAACAATATTCTTTTTATGAATTAATGAGATCTCTTTCTCTCTTAATAATAATAGTTTATTTTTAAAATATTCTTCAAAAGCATTTGCTTTAATAAATTTAATCTAAGAAAATATTTCATGTGCTTATTTTGTTCTATTATCCTTTGCAACCATAACTTTTTTCTATAGTCTCCAACCCCATCTTCCAAGTAAAAAATTAGTAAGTAATCCCAAAATCATGACTCCCAAACCTGCTAAACATGAGACACCAATAAAATCAAATAATAAATAAAAGGATATCCCAATTTAAAATGGTAAAAATATTACAGAAGCCACTGCTATATTTAATTACAATATTCTTTATAAATCAACTTACATTATATTCATTATTTCACCTGTTTTGTATTACTTATTGCTTTAAAAAGACACATTCAAAGTTTTCTTCATTATAGATACACTAACTGCTGTATGCTAATCATAACCTAGTTTTCTCTAATATTATAATCAAAGTAATTACCAACATAAAGAAACTATTTTAATAAGAAATTGCATTAAAGACTCTTACAACTATTATAATTCCCAACCATTAAAATCCTTTTCCAATAGTATGTTCTGAATAGTCAATATAAGATAGTGTTTACCGAATCATTATAGGACCATACATTAAAGAAATGTTCCAAATTAAGATTATGATATACACTATAACAAATTGTTCTATATTTACTATTAAGAAAATACTTTTAAATGTAATAAAGAGAGATTTGTAGAGTGCAAATCTGTCATGTTTGTAAATTTAAAACGTTTAATTCATTCTTTTAAATAAAGATTCACCTTAATCATCTATTTCTAAATCTTTTATCATTTCGAATTCCAAAGGAGTTTTATTTGCTAATTGAAGTAAAGGAAACACATATAAAAATAAAGTTCTAGATATCAATCCTGGAGGTCGAGAATTTCTATTTTATAGAAGAGGTTCTTCTTGTGACATTTTTAATATATATTGATTTAAATATATTAAATTTAGAATTATGCTTTCCAATTAATATATAATTTAATCAATAATATACTAAAAACATCATTTGAGCAAATAATTAATAAATGTTTTAAATAATGTTAATTTCTTAGCAATTAATGTTAAAATATATGCTATATTTTCTAGACTATCAAATAATTTATTGTTGATCTAAATATCATTCATGATATTGAGTCTAAATGTATAAAAATTATTCTATACATATCTATTTATTCTTATTTAGGGTTCTCATATATAAATATAATATACTTAGTAAACCAATAAATAGAATTGAGTACTCTTATTCTAGGTTTATCATTCTTCAATTTCTTTATTAATATAAATTTGAAAATATTGATCTTCTTATTCACTTAATTCAGGATATTCTTAAAGTAATTGTAAAAATGTCAATATTCTAAATAATATAAGGAAATAACCTAAGTATTTAGGTCTTTTTTTCGTTAGATTCAAAATATTTAGTAAATGATGATTAAGAAATTAATTCATTTTATTAAAATGGACTTAATTCAGTAAATTAATCAAATACTATTTGAGTAATTAAAGTATTATTGAATTTAAAATCAATTAATAATTGTAAAATAGATCTTAATGAATCCCCTAAATAATTAATTATTTTTTAGCATATTTGGCAAATAAATAAGTTAAACTTAGTAAATTTAGTCAAAAAACTTAATAAATGAATCAAATATTTAAATTTTATTGAAAGCTCAGGATTCTCTGTTTCTATAAATTCAATAATCTTTTTAATCAATATTAAGAATTAAAACTTATCATCTACATTAATATCCAACAAATCATTAATAATTATAGACATTTTGTAAAAATAATTAGATCTAAGATTGACAAATTATTGATTCTCATATTTATTTGATAAATCATCATTTGCATCTTGGATTAATTTAATTAATTTAAAAATATTAGATTTTTATGTTAAATACTTTATTATATTAATAATATATCTTTTACTAAATTTTTTTATATCAAAATCCATATCATCGCAATTTAAGACATAATATTTTGATTTCTATACATATGGTTTATTGATTTTAAAATTAATAAATTTTATCATTTTAGGATAATTTCAGAATGTATAGTCATAACCTTACAAAATAATTCAGCTCTAATATTAATCTATAGATTTTCATTAAATTTAGAAATATCTGTACTTTATGGTATGTTTTAACATGTTGCCCATTTAAATAATTTGGTATTTGTATGTAAAATTCGTTTAGCCACTTAATTAAGAGTTTCCAAAGCTAAAACCCAATTTTCATTTTGATATTTGAAAAATGCATGAATATTCTCCAACTCTATAAGGTCTTAATGAATTTAGATACATTTTTTTTCATCTGTTAAGAAATTATGAACTAGATTAAAGTTATTTTAAATTATATTAAACCAGGTTTTATATTACTCTCTCATATTTTATTTTTTTTAATTTTGGTGAACCCAATTATAAATTAAAAAAAGTCTATCATGTTCTGTTATCAAATCTGATATAAATTATGCATCTGTATATTATTTGATTACTACATAATATTAATATCATAGTCATGATTAAACATGCAATAATAATAAATCCTATATTGATTTTTTTAAGAGAGAAAATATGATCAAGATCATTGGATAATATATTGATTTGATATGTGAATTTATCATTTTGTGAATTTTTTTCATATTTCATTTGTAAATTGTTATATTTATTAATTTAAATATCAAATTACTAAGGGATGTTTTCATTTTTAGTCAAGAAATTAGGATTGCTCAATTAAGGAAAAGTGCATTGTATAGCTTGGAATTAAGAGGAAGGTTGGATAGCAATTGGAGGAGAGTAAATAAAGTTGATAAATTAGACATGCGCCATAAGGATAAAAAAAAGGTTTGTTGAAAATAATAAAGTTGGATGATTAAAAGGCAGGTATTCAAGGATAAGTAAGAATAATATATAAATATTATTAAGTAAGCCAAATTACCATATGAGGCAATCTTAGAATAACATATGGGTAAGGTGAATATAATAATTTGGAATGAGAGATATTAGAAATTGACTACTAGTGATGATCAAGGATAGATAATTGTATGGATAAATTTGGGAGTAAATAATAAGTGTATTAACATAATAGAATGAATGGGTAGAAGAAATGGTTAACAATAGATAGAAATCAAATGTAACCGATATGAAATGGTCACCTGATGGATTCAAAGTTGGAATAATCTATGAAGATGGAGCAGTAATTATTGGATCGGTTGAAGGTAATAGACTATGGGGCAGAGATTATCAATACAGGTTAGGATTAATAGAATGGTCGCCAGATTCAAAACTAATGATTTTAGGAACAGCTGATGGTTAAGTTATTATACATGATTAGAATGGCAATTAATTGAATTCATTAAAAATGAGTTGTTTAATGGGATTAGTTGATCCCAAAAATTACTTTGCTCCTAATTAATAAATTGCAGCTGTTCAATGGTATGAATATGGTAAAATGTATACTGATGAAACTCTTCCAGGATTATTAGTTGCATATACATGTGGTAGAGTTTAATTAATGAAAAATGATAAGGATGAGTCACCTATATTAATTAATACAGATATGACTGTATCATCTGTCAGATGGAGTCCTAATGGTTCTATGTTTGCTGTTGCTGGTAGTCTAAAGGAAAAAGATGATCAAAGGGCAGTTGTGCAATTCTATTCCAATATGGGTGATCATCTTAAGACACTGAGAGTTGCAAATACTGACAAAGTTAATAGTTTGAGTTTTGAAGGTGATGGTTTGAGATTAGTGATGGGAGTTGGTCAAACTGTTTATGTTGCTAATCTAAAATTAGATTATAAATGGAGTTATCTATCATAATCTGAAACTCTTATTTTTGCTTATCAAAGATAAGATAGAATGGAATTCACTATTATCTTTTGGGATACAAGAAGAGAATAAAAATCCATTAGATATATGAAAGGTTTACTTGATATCAAAGGTTCTAATGATTGTTGTGTTTTAATAAGTCTTGTTGAATAAGACACATGGAAGGTTGAACTTTGTAATTCAATTGGTAGTCCTTTGGATACTAAATTTATATCTATTGATCCTAAATATAGTTGTATGACTAAAACTCATATTATTATTGCCAATAATGATTACGTCTATTTATGGTAATATAGAAATTAAGTCTAAAGATTAACCACCTTTGAATCCAATTAGAATACAGGAATCAGAAAAATTGGTAAAGAAATGGCTTGGTTTATAGATGAAAACCCAGATAGTTAAGTAATCTATGATAAGGATACATTTAATTTAGAAAAATAAACTGATGAAATTATTTGTGCAATATAAGCTAATGAAAATTATTTGTTTATTGGAAGAATCAATGGTAATATATTAAAATTTACATTACCTTATGTAAGTGTTGAACCTAAATATTTCTTTGAAAATAGGCCAAATATTATTAATATAAATTGTAATTCCACTCGATTATCTATTATTGATATTATGGGAACTATATAGTTATTGGATATTTCTGTAGCAAGTGGAAAATTATTAGATTTTGATAAGAAGGATTGTTGGCAAGTTGTTTGGTCTGATAATGATCCACTTTAATTTGCTGTAATGGAAAAAGGTAGAATCCATCTTGTAAGAGATGTAACTGCTGAGGATCCTTTTCCTTGTGAGGCTTTCTTATGTTCGTAAATCTTAGAATTATCATTAGATTCTCTGAACTTACTGTTAGAGGAGCATTATTAGATGATATAATGATGAGTCCAGATGGCTAATTAAGAGCTGATGAATTACTTGTTTATTATGAAAGTAGATTATTTAAAGAAATCAAGGAGTCAATTCAAAAAACTCTACCTAAAGAAATGTTTGGTATAATTGAAAAATAACCAGTAATATATTATGATTTATTATAAAATAGTCTAATACTTTATGGTAATTATTGGCTTAGAAGGCTTTAGAAGAATTAGATTTTTCAGTAGCAGAAAAATGTTATTTGAAATTAGAAGATTATGCTGGATTGCAATTTATAAAAAGAATCTTAGATTATGATGAAAAAGAAAAATAAAAAGCAGAAGTTTATGTATTTTTGAAAAGATTTGATGAAGCTGAGAAAATATTAAGAGAAATTGAAAGAAAAGATTTAGCTGTATAAATGAGAATGAAAACTGGTGATTATTAAAGAGTGTTATTTTTATCTAAAGATCTTGTAGGTGCAGATGAAGTTACAGTTTAAACTTAAAATAAATTGGGAAATTATTATTGTGATCAAGGAGAATGGGAAAAAGCATAATAATAATTTAAATTATCTAATAATATTGAAAAATTAATAGAAACTTCATTTATGATTGAAGATTATTAAACACTTGAAGAATTAGCAAATTCAATGTAAGAAGGAAATGCATTATTATGTGATTTGGGCGAAAGATTCTAATTATTAGGAATGGCAAAAAGTGCAATCAAATGTTTTGAAAAAGCAGGAGATATTAAAAAAGCTATAGATTGTGCTGTTTTATTGAATGCTTGGAATTTTGCAGTTGAGTTAGCTGAAAGACACAATTTTGTATAAATTGAAGGTTTATTACAATAATATGCTGCTTAATTATTAGAATAAAGAATGAAATTAGAAGCAGCAGAATTATATCGAAAAGCCAATCATAATTCAGATGCTGCTCGTCTTTTATCATAAATTGGTGAAGATCTTATTAAAAGTGATTAAAGTCCACTTGTTGTAAAGAAACTATTTGTTATGGCTGCATTAGAAGTTGATCTATATAAAAAGAAGTTATATGATGTTACTATGACTGCTTAAAATAATACAATTGCTCATACATTAGATTAATTAGTTACAAATGATTTAAATCATTCTGCTGATAAAGTACTCAATAATCCTTGGAGATAAGCAGAAGCTTGGCATTTCTATATTTTAACACAAAAATTTCTCTATTCTGGTAATTACAAATATGCATTGTAATTTATCTAATATTATTATAAATAGAAAATCTGCCATTAGATTATGTGAATTTGAATTAGATATGGATCCTAAAAGGATATATTCTTTACTAGCTCTTGCTGCTTATTATAATAAATCATATAAAGAATGTGCCAGAGCTTTTGTAAAACTAGAAAACTTGGACAATATTAGCGAAGAAGAGAGGGAGAGATATCAATAAGTTGCTGCATAAATTTTTGTAAAGTATGATAAGATAATAATCAAATCATAGAAATGCACCAGAAGATTAAGTTTGTGATGCTATTCAATGTCCAAAACCTTCTTGTGGTAATAAAAAAATTACTGAATAGTAATAATAAAGTTTATTATATAATAGTTAATTATTCTGTAAAGAATGTGGAACCATTTTCGGTGTTTGTGTGGCTTCTGGAAAATCTATATATGGATAGAAGTTTTACACTTGTAAAGCCTGCAAACATAAGATGATTGATCAGGAAGTCTAAAGCCAAGCATTAAAATTTTGTTCACTTTGTCATACACCAATAGATTTTAATAGATTTGGAAAACATGGAGACAAATAATTATGAAATTAATAATAAAAATATCATTTTAATAGTTATTAAACTGGATGTATCTTTCAATTCAAAATAAACTACAACAATAATGAGAATGTCGAATTTCTTATTTAAATTGAGACAATTTATCAAAAGGAAGTAATTAGAATTCTTGTGATTAATAAAAAATTCTAATCAGAAATTTCTTAAAATGATGAAGAAATTTATAAGAATAATTATGAAATGTAAGAAGAACTAAATAAATTATCATAAGAAATTATGTCTCTTATCAATAAATTTCCTTAATAATTTAGTGAGTTTTATGATAAATATTGCCTAATCAAACTTTGTGATTATAAAATTCAATTTCCCATAGGATCTGCCATTAATATGGGATGATCAATCAATATATTTAAAAAAAATAGATTTTAACATTAAATTAGGATAAAGGTATATTTTAAAAGATGATGATTTTTTATGAAGGCTATTTTAGAATAATGAAAGAAAGTGGTGAATTAAATTTTGATTAGTTATTTGTAGAATGGAAGAATATAATGAGATATGGAATTAATCTAAAACAATTTTTAATATAAAGGTTTAATGAAAAAAATTATGTTCCTCATAGATAGAGATTTGATGATTTAAAAACAATATAATTTATTTATAAAAGGGTATTTTTGTAAAGGCAAAAAAATGAAGAGGAGGATTGAAACAAAAAATTAAAGAAATGAAGGTGAATTTTTATAATGATAAATTTCAATAGGTAGGGAATATTATATTTTGAAAATAGTAAAACATACAAAGGAAATTTGAAGAATGATAAATTAGATACGAAGATAGTATTATTTTATTGATATATAAGGAGGTTTTATGAATACTTAATGAAAAGGATATTTTAGAGATACAAATAATTTGGTATATGAAGGAGAATGGAAATATAATAGAAAAATGGTTTAGATAAAATGGAAAAGAAATATATGTTAAATGGAATGATGGTAATTTATAGGAAGATATATAATAATGATTAAGAAATTAATGAAATTATAATCAGTATTATTTTTCATTTAAAATTTTACATTTTCTAACTGATCAGTTGTTCATTCATTATTATAAAATGTATTATTATTAGTTTTACATAAATGAAATCCTAATTATTCCAATTAAAATAATATGACATATTTATTATTATTTAAAGAATGTCTGGTATTCAAATACTTCAAATGCTATTAAATTTTCAATTAATATGTTTGAATGTTAACTAAAAATTATAGAAAAAGAATTTCACAATATAAATCTTGAAAGTAAATTGCAATAATGAGTATTTTAAATTAACTATTTAATCTTCTTCACTTTGGAACGTACTTATGGGTTTATGCACTTCCTCAAGGCAGAGAACAAATAATAATGATATTCCAATCATTCAAAAATCTAAAATGGATTAAAGAACTTCAAATGTTAAACTTTTACTTGATTAATATCACAAACTCAATGTTCTCCTAGATTTAGTAGGAAACACAGATAATTTAGAAAAAAAAACAAGAGATCATATCAACCTACTGTTTGTAACTAAATCCAATATTACAATTCTCATCCAACATAGTCTTAAAAAAATAATGAAAGAGAAGAACATTTCAAGACTAATCACTAAAGAAGACGAAGCATGGTTATATGATGATTTGATCTTTTTAAGCAAGATAGGACCTTAATTTTAAGTTTTTCTAAAGGTAATAGACATTTTGTTTGAAAATGAAGACTTTGAGAACTCTTTTCCAATATTAAGTCACGGATTTCAGTAAATGAGTGAAGATATTAAAAAAATGCCTTTTTTAAATACATATACATAAACAAAGAATACTTCTATTTGAAATGATATTTGTATTAGATTATTTACTTACGATATGATTCTTAAATCTTAAATAGTTAAACCAAATTATTATAATATCTTCTTTGTAGTATCAATCCAAAAAAACTTCAAATCTCTTGATAAATAAGGGAACTTAAATGAATTTTGAGATGATTGTATTTTTTACCATTCTAAAAGATAATAAAATCTAGTAAAAAAAAACAAAAATAATTTTGTTAAATCTTCATTAGTAACATATATAATTCTTTTGAATTTAGATATTATTTGAATTCATTGTGTTAAGGTATAATTATTTATTTATATTAATAATGCAAAGTACTTAAAATTAAGAAGAATAGATATAAATCGACTAAATTCCAGAGCCCAAAAAATATGAATTTAAGTATTTTTCTATCTTAGAAAAAGAGGTTTGGTGTCCATAAGAATTAAGTGGGTTTAAAGTTATAACAATAATTAAATGTAAATGGTGGAGACGTATTTTCTTTAAGATACGATTAAGATGATCAATATCTTGCTGTTGGGATGTCAGAAGGATTAATTCATCTTTATAATTAGAGTATATAGATGATTTAAAAATAATAGATAAACATACACATACATTGGAGTAATTCTAAACACCAGTAACTGCTTTACGATGGAGGCCAAATTATGGTCTTAAGGCTAAAGGAATATTGGTATCAGCAAATGCAGAAGGACATATTATACATTGGCATGCACATTCAGGAAAATAATTACACAAAATTGTAGAAGAGAATAACAGTGTTTTATGTTTGGACTTTAATTTTGATGGTAGTTTATTTGCCACAGGAGGAAAAGATTTCTGTATTAGAATTTATGATGATGATATAAAAAGTGTATAGCATCAATATTAATAAGCTGATTGGTATCTTTTATTAAAATAATTAGGGGATAGAGAGGCCATGCCAATAGAGTATTTGTAGTAAAGTTTATACCAGATTAACCAAATATACTAATATCTGGGGGTTGGGATGCCAATGTTTTAATTTGGGATATAAGAGAGAAGTAATGTGTAGGTCAATTTTATGGGCCATCTCTATCAGGAGACTCACTTGATTTTTCAGTGAAAAGATAATAGATTTTAACTGGGTCACATAGAACAGAAAATTAAGTATAATTATGGGATTGGAGAACAAGAAAACTTTATTAAGAAATATTTTGGACCGGATCTTAATCTGATGAAAATAGATCATATTATATATATGCAACTTAGTTTAAGTAATTGTTTAATTTAAATTTAGCAAAGCAAATGAGGACTATATTTATGCTGGCAGTTCAGGGGTTCATGAAATAAAACTTTTTAGTTTGAAAGATGGTCAAGCCAAGGCTTCTATTTTGGGATTACCAAAAGGTATACTTAGTATTGATTAAATGAATACAACTGATTCAATCATATTTAGTGGTATGGAAGGTGTTGTTAACATATTTAAGGCATGAATTAAAATAAATAATTATTATGTTAAGGCATTTAATCAAAAACAATTTTTCAAAACTTTCAAAAGGTCTTATATTCGAAAATAAAAAAGGGAGCAAGTTAATATTCTCCAAAACTATTCCTGAAAAAGACATGCTGAAAAAAGCAAAGAATCCGGAATAGTTTTTAAAAATTGAAACGAGATTATAGCTCTTATTTGATTAATATAAAACAGAAAAAGTATTGTAATACGATTTATTAATATTAAAGCAATCAAGTAAATTTCGATAATTTTCTTTAAATTAAAGAAGAATTTCTTAAGTAAGAATTTGAAAAAAATATATTTTTCTCCTTTGTCAACACAAAATTCTAAAAAGAAAATCACCCTAAATATTTTTATTTTTAATGTTAAATGATTAATGAATTTTTAGAACGTTATGATAAAGAAATAACAGAAAAAGAGATTTATGCACTATTAAATGCTATATAAAATGGGTTATTTTATGTTGAGGATTAATATTTTTTAAAAATAAAAAAAGTAATTTTTACAGAAGAAGAGGAATAATTTATATTAGATATCTATAATAAATTATGTGGGAAATTAAGCATAAATTTATCAAATGATAAATAAATTAAAGCTCTTTGTTAATTAATGAAATATATCAAGAGATATAGTACTTCTATATTAGATTAGATAAATTAACAATTATTAGCTTCCATAGATAAATAAATTAGTTTAGAATAAAAATTATATTACACTTTATTTTTAGTAAAAGCAGGAATCAATTATTTTCCTTAGATAATTTATTAAGTAAATTTTTTAATTAATTTAGTTAAGAGATGAGGTTCTTGAAAATGAGAAAATTTTAAAATTACCAGGTTCAACTTTATTTGAATTATTTGAAATTTTTGGCAGATGTAGTAGAGTAACACTATGTTCATCTGCAACTTATAAATTATTTACAACAATAATCTAAACAAAAAATTATTCATAATTAACTATAACTTAATAAGTACTTTTACTTTATTATGGATCTAAAACATTAACTATCTAACATAGCACATTAAAACCTCTAATTGAATAAAAATTATCTGAATTAGATTCATTAAAAGGAATAAATTTTAAAATATTTCTATTGACTTTATACAATACTAATTACAAAAGTTTGGGTTCTCTAAAAAATTTAGAGAAAATAAAAATAAGATTCTCAGAGATTGAATAAACTGCTCGTTTTTCAAAAGAGGAATTAAAATTTTTTAATGATTTAATGTATTGTTTATGATTTAATATTTATCAATATATATATCATTATTCAATCAAATTTTATAATTATTAACTTAATTCTACCATATTTGGATATTCATCTAAAAGACCGCTTAAATAATCTAATGCTATAACTGTTTTTTGATTCAAATACTATTCATAAGTCTCATTATTAATTGTTTATTAGATTTCATTTATATTCTAATTTATCTATTAACAAAATCCTTATTTACAGTATCTTTAAGAAAAGTGTGTTAAAATTAATGTTTTAGCATTGGCTAAAATAGCTGATTCAACAGCTTCTCTAATAGTTGAATGCTTTCTATTTATGGCATTTTATTAAAGATTATCTGTAAAAGTGGCTTCATGAATCATTAAATCAACATTTTATGATAATTAAATAAATTATTAGCAAGGTCTGGTATCCCCAGAATAACTTATGCTACTTCCATCTTTGAAGTTTATTCTTAAACCATAAGCCTATGGACAATGATCAACATTAACATATTTTAATTAAATATCAAACAGGTCTTGGAGTTATTCTAAATTTATTTCATTAAATTTCTATAATTTTGCATTCTAATTTATAAACTCTTATTCTAAGTTATAATTTTGATAGGGAATATAACAAATATGGATTTAATTTTTAATTTAATAAAATTCTATTATTTAAACAAGCCAAGGAATCATAATTTAGGGGACTAAAAGATAAACATTGTTACAGTTTTATAATAATGAAGCTATCCCTAAATTGTGATCGCAATGCACATGACTAATCCAAATAAGAATTTTTTATGTAAAATCAAAATTATTTTAAACTTATAGTTAATGATAAGTTCCTTCACCACAATCTAATAAAATTGCTGAATTTAATTGTTTAACTATAATTCCAGAAACATTTCTATATTTATTTGGCCGCATAGAGGCTGTTCCTAAAAATTATAGTAGAATCTTAGATTAATAATTTCTTATAGGAGATTACTAAAAATTGATTTCTTTTATTTAAGAAGTTTAACCAATCATCGAGGGATTCATCATCTGGTATCCTTTCTTATTTTGAGGAATTAAGATATAATGATAATTTGTTTATAATTAAATTTATTTCTTATTCTCGATTGAATGATTATTATGATAATTTGGGAAGTTGAAAGGATATTTAGAATTTAAATAATTACAAATCATCTTTGTCTTTGGAATGCTATCAGAGTATTCATTCTTTACTTCTTAATTGCATAAAATATGATCTACATTAATGTTATTTAGAAAATTTATATAGTTTTCTGTTTTAGGATCATTTATATGTAAAATGCATCTTAAATTATATGGAAAAATGATTTGTGTTAAATCTGAATCCTCAACTATATCTAATATTAAGATTCCTTATTCTTCCAAATCAGGTTCTCTAAAATAAGCCTCTGAATAAATTTAATCTCCTAATTATATTTAATGATTTTGAAATAATTCTTTCTTTTAAATATTAGATAATTTTAAAAGTTTAAGCTTATCTATAGAAACATTACCTCTAATCTTTCTGGTTTTTATTATATACGAAATATTATTATTTTTGTGTAATATTGGTAAAATTTCCACATTTTCATCTGTAAACTATTTCAAAGATTCTTTTTCATCATATTTAACAAGTTTGAGTCCATTTAAAACTGGATAAATATTCCCTTCTAAAATATTTTTGAATTATTCATCAATTTTTTGGTATATAAGATTCTTTCCCCAAAATTCATGGCAAGATAAACTTATTATGTTTTTTCCTCCAATTTCACTATATCTAAAAGCTGAAATCAATTAACTTAATCCAGGAGGTCCATAAACCTTAGTACCATCAATTTATTTATCAAAATTAAGTGTAAGTAATAGTCCTATTAAACCATTTATGTAGGAAGCATTTAAATTAGTAAAAAATATCTATGATGCAGCTTTAGTCTTTATGCTAAAATCAGAAATATATCTTTGAAAACCTTCTGGTATATTAAAAATATAAGACTTTTAATCAAAGTTAAGTATTATAGATGTTTTGGCTAACTTTATAAATTGTATATGGCACTTAGCCATTTTAATTATTTTAATAAATAGTAAAAAAAGAAAGAATTTAATAAAATACTCTAATCTCTTTTACAATAGAAATCAAAATCATCCCATTTTATTTTAGATATTAATTTTTGCAAATATTATATAATTTTTGACATAATTTGCAACTTATTAATACTTGTATATAAATTTTTTAAGAATTTATTTATATTTGAAGTATTAATTGAAAACAAATTTTTAGAATATATTACTTGCATTAAAATTTTTTTTCAATTTATGCTTCATCTAATTATATATAGCTTATATATCATATTTTTAAGTAAATAAATGAATTTATGATTTTAGTTAAAGATTTTTGCTAACATAAATTCGATAATAATATCAATTCATTTCTTCTTTTCTTTTCCATCTACTATTTTGTAAATTTAATCTCTATAAAAATAATATAGGACTGGTGCTGCTGATAATGTTACCAAACTAATTAAACCCTTAATATCCCTTTTGAATTTCATTTTTTAATTAATAATTATATTTTTTATTGTGATTTCTATTCTTATTTTTGATGAAATTATTTATAATTGTCACTACAATTATAACATCAATGATGATAAATTAGCTTTTCTTATTTGGATTATTTAAAAAGCCAAAAAGTGATCATGGAAAAATAATTAGATGTTCTATAATAAATATTACACCTATTGACATTCAATTGTTCTAAGATAATTTGCTTTTTCTTTCTGATAATGGGATATATGATGAAAAATAATCACTTCTTTACTCCTAGAATAATAGCTAGGCAATCTTTGCAAGTGAAAACCATATATATATAGCTCATGATAATATAATTGATATATTAAGTAGTTGGAATATTGTTAAAACCATTTAATTACCTAAAGGATTAATCATTTATGATTTTATAGTAGTTCATGATGAGATTTACATTACTTTAGATTATTAAATTTCTGATTTGCTAGGCTTTTATTTTTAGACCAAGAGTTTTTCATTATTGAAATGTGATTTTGAAGGTAATTGTGAATTTTAGTATGAAATAAGTGGTGTTCATTTAAGTGGAATTGAATTGTTAAATGATAAAATTTATATTGCAGATACATTTTAAAAAACTCTAAATGTTTACGATTTAAATTATAATTAACTTTAAACTATTTAATTAGAAGATGGACCAAAACGATTAATAAAAATTGTAGATAAATTATATTTTACAGCAATCCCAAAACTAATTGAATTGTTAACTCTACCAAAATTCACTAGTTTATACTAATATGATGATTTAGAGGGATTATAAAAATTAGTAACTTTTGAAAATTTTTATTATGTTGGAGTGCAGTACAAATAAGAAATAATAATGGGTAATCATAAATGTTTTTGAATTTAATATATAATTAACAAAAATCTAATAATCATATAAGAGATACTCCTTCTTTTTAAAGCCTGTCTGAGTCCATAAATTAATGTTTCCAATAGAAAAAAATATATCTATATCATTAAATTAGTTTTTATCAAATAATATTCATTATTGTATGAATAAATAGCTTGAATAATTGTTTCTTTTCCAATAAAATTTTAATTAACATAACTTAATTTATTTTCAGTAATAATAAATGGTTTTATTAACTGAAATTAATATCTTTATCTTAATCAATAGAAATGTTGGACATAGAAATATAAAGAAAAAAAGAGTTTTTGTTTGTTTTCAGAGTTCTGTTTAATAAGTGTCACGATAAGCTACATCATTTCATGAGTCCGGTATCCTTCCGCCGCTCATAGCGATCCCTATTGCTTGCTCTGTTTCCAGCCTAAGCCATTGCGAGATTCTTTAACACAAGTGAAATTCTCATTACTGATGAATCCCACAAGTGACTACGAGCTCGGTTAGGGCGGTGACTCTTAACGAAATGACTCACCGAGCTCTCAGATGACAGCTTATCAAACATCCTCTTACAACCCACATAAAGTGACAGCCAAGTTACCCTAGCCTGGGTTAATCAATTCAATATTATACTATATTTATTATGTGTCTAATTAAATTTCTTAATTTATGGGTTTAAATTTATTAATGTAAATCAACATTTATTATTCTAAAACCACATAAATATAAAATTATTAAATAAAAAGTTATTTTTATTCTAAACTATAAACAACTTAGAAATACTCTAATCATATTTATATATATATGAGTTTGAATTATAAGAAATATATTTCAATTCTAGAATTTTAAGGATAAAATGATGAATTATAATTAGAGATAATGATAATTTTTATCATATATTTATATATTATATATAATAACTCAATTAGCCAATTAGTTGGAATATTGATCAATTATATCATTTCTTTACTTTAACCAAAATTCTCTATATCTACGATCTAGCTTATTTTCACACACCCATCTACATCTATAAACATTAACTTTATTCTATAAATTAGTAAAAAATTTACACTAATTTTTTCTTAGTAAGTTTAATCTGCATTATAATTAATTATCTAATCACAATTAGAATGGCATGTTTAATTCTTAAAATAGACTAGTTTATCAACATTTTTTAAAAACTATTTAAGATCTTTTGTTTGTTTTTTACATTCGGTTAAGCATCTACTAAGTTTTTTTATTCCATCTTCTTAATTTTCGAAAATCACTTAATTATTATCATAACAATTAGAATAGCATTCATATTTAAGTTTTTGTTATTGATCGATATTAAATAATTTAATTTTGCTATAAGCTGTAATAGCTTATTTAATAGAGTATATATCTTGATATTCAGCAAGTTTTCGATCATAATATTCTTTTTCGTTTTCAGTAACATATAGCTCATCAGCTGATCTAATATTATCAAACATTAAATAGTGAAATAATATTAATTTAACTGAAATGACTGAGAGCAGAGCATTATCTTCTTATGATGGAACTTATAATAGTTTAAAAGATGTATAAAGGATTGGATAATATGATTATGGAAATAATTTAACAAACTTTAACAATCAAAAATATTCAAACTCAAAACCCAATCATTAAATGATGGACACAAAAACATATCTGGAATAATTAGAATAAAAATATTCAAAGAAAACTAATGGATATAATGATAGTGATTCTGATGACTTTTCAAATGATTGTTCTCCAAATAAAGCAGCTTCATAGGTTCCAACAAAATTTTAGAAAAGCAAAGTATCAGCAAATATTTAGAATTAACCTGAATTCAAGATTCCAGTTGATATCAATTTATCTAGAGGACCAAGTGAAATTGGATAAGATTATAAGATAATATAAGATATGAATGAAAAATATGGAAGCATAGCATAATCAAGAATTACAATAGTTGATTAAGATGCAAAAAGAAGATTCTTTGAACTTGCTTTAGAAATGAAGAAAGAATTACCACAAAATCATCCAGGTTAATCAATGTTAGTAGCCTAATTATATACAGAAAGTGTTCAAAAATAAATATCTGAAAAATATTGGAGATAATGGTTATAGACTAGATTAAAGAATTGAGTAGTTTATTAGTTTTTATTCAATATAATTACTTATTCCACATTTTATTTCATTCTTAAATAAAAAACAATATGCTATATTGATTTCAATATTAAACGTAATTATGGGAAATTAATAAGGATCAGATTATGGAGGTGTATATATTAGAACGGATAAACCCTTTTATTTTGCTGGAGAAATCATAACAGGTATGAAGAAATCTTAAAACTTAGGAAATATTTATTTGAATATTTTTAAAGATGGATATCCTGGAGGAGTCGTATTATTGAAGGTATCTGGAAAAGAAAAATGTCATTGGACTGAAAGTTATTCTCATACCACTACTGGAGCAGATGGAAAACAAGAACAACATACCGAGTATGTGACCTATTCAGGTTAAACCTAATTTTATTAACATCGAGTCGCAATATGGACATTTAATACTCCTTGTTTACCAGTTGGGTAATATACCTTCCCATTTTAATTTTAATTATTGTCTCATTTACCAGGATCTTATTTTGAAAAAGGATCAGATTTTTAAGCAAAAATTTCATATAGTGTCAAAGCAGAAATTGAATCATATAATAAATCGTATAAGAACATTAAACATTCATAACCTTTAGTTGTTAGAGAACCATTGAAGTAGAATATGACAGCTTTAATGGGTTAAATGGAAGTAAAAGCATCAACTTGGTGTTGCATTGACTAAGGAGTAATTATTAAAAATTATAAATAGACTTCTTATATAAAATGTGTATTTGATAAAAATCATTATCTTCCAGGAGATACTGCTTATCTATGGGCTGATTTGGATAATTCAAATTGCAAATTGGATGTTAAAAGAATTGATGCTAGATTAATAAATTATTTAACATTAAGAGACAAAACAGGAAGAGAAAAGGTTATAACAAGGACTATTGTTTCATAATAAATTCAAGGAATTGGAGCAGGTGTAAAAGCTGTTGAAAATGACAGAAAATAAATCTAACTAATTTTACACAATAAAAATTCACAAGATGGAATTCGTCCCTCATCTAATGGTTAATTAGTTAGATCAGTATATAGATTATAAGTTTAAGCACTTCTTTCTGGTAAATTAATAGTTTCTAAAATTTAGGCTGTACATGTTGTAACAAGCATCCAACTGTAGATGTTCCTATTGAAATAGTTGCTCCTGTGCCTTAAGTTTATAATTAACCTATGGCTCAACCTTCTAACTGGAATCCTTAAGTATTCCAACCTTAAATTGTACAATTTACTGATAGCACCATGTATTTGAAAGATCAGAATTAATAATCAAACTATAATTATCCTTAAGTTCCATTAGCTCCACCATAACCTCCTAATTAATTTGGATAAATGCAGTAGCCAATGAATTGATAATATATAAGTTAAATTAGTTCATTTTAATAATTTACTATTCTATAAATCAATTGATTTAGAAAAATCAATTAAATTTCATTTTTCTAATCAAAAGAATAAATAAGTTATAAGAATAATTATAAGAAAAATAATGTATAAATGATTTATTAAATAAATTTAATGAAAAATTGTTTTATTAAATATATTTTTAAACCCATAAATTAAGAAATTTAATTAGACACATAATAAATATAGTATAATATTGAATTGATTAACCCAGGCTAGGGTAACTTGGCTGTCACTTTATGTGGGTTGTAAGAGGATGTTTGATAAGCTGTCATCTGAGAGCTCGGTGAGTCATTTCGTTAAGAGTCACCGCCCTAACCGAGCTCGTAGTCACTTGTGGGATTCATCAGTAATGAGAATTTCACTTGTGTTAAAGAATCTCGCAATGGCTTAGGCTGGAAACAGAGCAAGCAATAGGGATCGCTATGAGCGGCGGAAGGATACCGGACTCATGAAATGATGTAGCTTATCGTGACACTTATTAAACAGAACTCTGAAAACAAACAAAAACTCTTTTTTTTTATGAAATAATAGGATAAAATACAACTTACTATAGATTTATCTAGTATTAATTAATAGTAAACAAAATACTATAAATTTCTTATTGATATATATATCATCTAAAATTTTAGTTTTTTATTGTAAATTTAAAAGTAAATATTCAACTTACGAATAGTTATTTGTTATTCAACTCACCTATTCCATCAATGACGATCATAATAATTAAATATTTATAAATTAATTTATTAATGCTTATCAGAAATGCAGTGAAGAGAATTTTTTAAACTATTTTCCAAAGTAGATCATTATTTCTTCCAACTAAATAATAGGTTTATATTCCAACCTTAACTATGGTACCTTAGTATGGATTTTTTTTTAATGGCAAACATGATAAGTATATTTTGATCCTAGATTATGAGGGATGAAAAATAAGCTGAAATTGATAAATTGTATGACTAAATGGAAGATTGTGAGAACGAGAATTAATAAATGGATATGTTGAGAAAAATAATAGAAATCAGAGAAGAAATGGATTAATCAGAAAAAAAAAAATGTGTGTCATTGTTGTTAGACAAAATAGAGTATGCACGATATTTAATTGAAAATTAATAAATGGAAGATAAATTAGTTTAAGAAGTACTTTCAGATGATTTTTTGAATGATGTTCATTACAATAATGTCGATTTGTCTAAATATCCTATGAATTTTAACTAATTTTTATGGCACAATTTGGCAATTGGAGTAATTCCTCTAAAATATGCTAAACAATATGATGATGTAGAGTTTAGAGAAATTGAATAATGGTTAAAGTAAAATAATAAAATATTTGACAAGATAATATAAAGAATCTGTGGTGTTTATAAAAAATTATCTTAATAATAATTTTGAGGAGATTGGTGAGAGTGAAGGATACTTAACTAAAGAGTAAGGATTATAATAATATTATTATAATTTGGCATTCTATTATGAAATGAAAGCCAAATTATTGATAGAATAAGATTAAATATAATAAGGAATTAAATATTATGAAACAGCTTTGAAGGAGACAGAGAAATTTATGGAAATAGTTAAATAATGTAAAATTGATAATTTAAGTAGTATGCAATCATGAAAATCCTGAAGTTGCTAATGAGGCAGAGAAATAAAAGGAAAAGGGAATTGCTAAATTTGCTTAGATATTTGAAGATTTAGGAAGTGTTTAAATTGAAATCTAAGAATTTACAGCTGCAAGACCTTATTTTGAAAAAGCAATAGAACTGTATTTATAAGTTTTTGGGAAACATTCAATTTAATATGCTTAGAGTTATTGTTAATTGGCTTCAACTTATTAGTTGACTGATTTATCAAAATGTGAAGAAATGTTAAAAGATTTTCATGAATATTTAGAAAGCTTCAATTAAGATACAATATATTTAGAAGTTACTATGAATTATTTTTGTATTTTAGAAGGTTAAGAGAGAGGAACGAAAGAATTATTTATTAAGATTTAAGAAATGAGAGAGAAATTTGATATAGAAAATGATTTATTAATTGTTGAATATGATATTTAAGCTATTAAATTCGTGATTAGAAATGGTTAATTTTAATAGACTTTATTTGATTTTTTTGAAGAATCTATTTAATTATTGGATTCATTTGGTAATTAAAATATAAAGGCTGAAAAATTGTTACTTTTAAATGAATTAGCTGATAAATTTGTATAACCTAATAATATAATGCATGAAACAATTTTGGAATCTTTATTGGATGAGTTTGATGAAGTAGGTTATATGTTTGAGAATGATTTATTGTAATATAAAGTAGATAGATAAAAAGCATTTCTTTAATTTAGAATAAGAGAAACACTTTTAATAAGTCCAGAGGAAAGTTTAGAAAATTTCTTTTCATTAGTATTAATTTATTATTATTATTATTAGTTTGCAAATTGGATTGAGAAATAAGAATTTCTTGAAATGCTATTTGATGATACGAATGAAATGATTTAATAAGTTTTAGATTAAAAAATGCTTACAGTAGCTCATAAATTAATAAAGAATATAATTGATATAATGGAAGAAGTTCAAGAGAATGAAAAGAATGAATATATTGAAGAAGCTTTGAATCATTATAAAGAGGAAGCATAAAATATATTTGATTAGATTACTGGGAAATGAAATATTGTTTTATGTGTATATTTATAATAAATTAATGCTTTTTTTATTACTAGTACAAATCGTATACAGTGGATTAATAGAAACACTTGATTACTCTATTAATTATCTGAACATTGGTTATACTACTTAAATGACATTTACTTTCAGACTTTAGAGTGGATTAGGAAAATCAGGGTATTTGAGTCTTAAAATACCATTCTAAATTGAAGCTTCTGTTGTGGGTACAGTTCCATAAGGAGTTGATGTAATTTATAATGAAGTCAGCACTACTGATTGTAGTCCAATATCTAAATTTCCTGGAGCTTTATATAAAGATAGTAATGGATGGTACCATGTGAAATTTCTCAATTTAGATGGATATTCAAGAGCTTTAGAAGCAAATACATATTATAGAGTCAGCATATCATCTTAAACAACATTTAGTAATTAAGTTGCTTAAATACTATCTCCAATAGAGGCATTAACAATTTAAGATTTCAGTGTAAATAATTGGATAAAATATGATTTCAATAGAGCCTTTGCATTAATAGAATTCACTCCTACTCCACCATCTACACTTGTATCTAGCTTCACACTTTAATCTACTACTCCTACTTTATTAGATTTTAGACACTCAATTTTAGTTTAGATAACCCCAACAATACCTATAGATAGAAAGGCAAGAATAGTGATTTTAATGACTGATAATGATTATTAATTTTAAGGTGAATAATGTACATCAGAATCATATAAAGATGCAAATAATACTGATATACCAGCATTAACAAGTTAATAATATTCATGCTAAATTGTTAATAATATATTAACTGTTAATTTATATTAGATATTCAATACAACTCTCAAATTTAGTTTCAGTATAAAGAATCCTAAATTTGTGAAATTATCAGGAGGTGGTTTTTAAATAATGTCTATGTTTTCATATGCAAATCATATAGTTGAATAAGTGAAAGTCTTAAATATTCTATCAACATCTGCTCTAACTTGGGGAATTAATAATTAAAATTTAGTAACTTATTTTTTATGGGGATTAAAATTATCAGATACAACATTACCATCATAATTAAAAATTATTAGAGATACTACATAAAATCCTTATTTTAATTCATTTAAATTTACATTTTTCCCTTCAAGTACTACACCATTAAATTTGAAATTAAGAGTAATCTTAAATTTAAATTCTGATATTGGTTCCATGATTTTAGAAGGAAGTTTATAAGAGAATCTACCACAATATGATAAGAATCCAGTTTCATGTAGTATCACTAAAGTTTAACCAATCAAAATTATTTGTTAAAATGTTGGTACTTTGAATTTTGAGAGTAGATATTTTATATCTATTAAAATGTCATTTCCTTCATAAGCTACTCCAGGAGATCTTCCAGCTGATTTTGGATTAATTTAATTAGAATCATCCTCAAATGGAGTGATATATGATGCACTACCATTAATTCCCTCAGGTAGAGATTAATTAGCTATTTATTCAACTTTGAATAGTTTTGCTATATTAAGTTAGAGTAGTGGGAATGGTTACACATTTGTACATTCCTAACGCTTTTCTGATACCTTTGCATGTCCAACAAGTTCAACTTTTGGTTTACAATATGCAGATTATGAACAAAGATTAATTTTTACAGCTCGACCATAAATTACAACTTTTGCTGCCACTGTTACCACTAGAACAGTAGGATACTATTTGTATACCAATCCCAAATTATAAAAGGGTGTTTCTAATGTAAAAGCCGAAACTCCTCTATAATTTACTCCACCTTTAGCATGCTCTCCAACTCCTGCAGTTTATACCCTTGCAGATTTTGTATTTGACTAAGGATAGGACTATTTTGATATAACAAATACAAATCAAAAATATACAGTAATATAATTGACTCGAAAGCCCTTAAACATAGCCAATATTTAAAATTTGTTTGGAGGCAATGCGGCAAACAATTTATATACTGTTTCAATAGGGCCAGTTTATATTAGACATAATGCATCTTAATTTTGCAATGAAGATCTAATAGATTTCATTGGTTTTACAGCTGAAATAGGAATTCCATCCCTATCACCAATAGTTCCAATTACAGGAATTATTGCTGCTAATTCATATACATTAAGTGGACCTAATTAAATGACTAATCTCTATTTATCTATTGCAAATTTCTGGACAGGAACTACTGTTAAATTAGATGGTTCATAATTTCCTGCTTTTATTAGAGTGACTGGTTTTTTGGAACAATCAATTGTAGATAAAGCTGCTAGATTAGCAATATTTTTTAATAATGTAAATTTTTTTAAATATTCAAGTTAACTCCATTCAATGAAGAGATATCTCCTGAAGGCAAATAATATGTATCTTGTTCTTCTACATTAAATAGAAAATAAAAATGTTATGGTTATGTTGGAAGTGATGATTCTACAAATGCTTTTCAATCAGTCTATAATTTACATAGAGTTGAATTCATATTAGATGATACATTTTCTAAAAGTGGACCTGCATCTCCATTTTAATTAGTTATACCTGTAAGCACAGTAAGAAATGTTAATTAATTAACTTTCTATTTGGCTACAATAGCATCAAATTAAGATGATAAAGTTTATAGTCATTTTATAGCATTCAAAAGTTCATTAATTTCTTAAACAATGAATGCTCCTGCTATAGCTTTAGTTGATCCAGTTAATGCTGCAATTACTAAAACAGGTCAAAGTTATAAATTAGATCTTATTAATTATACACCAAGTGTTGGATAATAAGACTCAGCTGCTCAAGTATATTATGGTCACACATAAGCTACACCTGTCATATCTCCTAATAGTGGAGTTCAATAAGGGGCAGCTTTCTTTTATCAAGGTAAATGGAATATGATTGGACCTAACTTTAGTACAAAAGGATTAATTTTGAATCCAGCATTAACTTATGAATAGAAATGTGTACCTTATCATTATAATGATTTTTATGGATTCTTATGTCCAATGATTGGAGATACAATAATCACTTCCATATCTTAATACATTAAAATTGAAGGATTTAATTATCCAGATAAAGGAGTCTAAACTCCTACAGGAGGTTTTTCTGGATGGAGTGATAAAAATGGTAATTTACAATCATACTCTCCTGAATCAGTGAGTACTATAACTGCTGGTCAAATACAAATACCATTAAATATATTCCCAACTATATAAAGAAGTTACCAAGATTAGATAGTCAAATGGATTTTCACTTCTATAAATAGTATTCCAAAAGATGGATATGTTTCTATTGCATTCACTTCAGGATCTTGGCCATTTACTGTATCAACAGCAAGTTTTTGTGAATTGAGATCAAGTTAAGTTGCAAAGTAAATAACACATACATGTACCATATCAAAGACTGATGGAGTAGAGATTAGGTTTAGTTTTGCAGCCTCTTAAGCATTTCCACCTGATACTTATACTATTGTATAATATGGAGTTAATATGCCAGATTCAAGTTCTAATGATTAAGCTTACAGTATATTGACTTATACAATTTTGAATATGATCATAGATTCCACTTCAGTTGGAGCAGGAACTTTGAAATTTAATAATACACCTCTTATTCCTAAAATTGAAGTTGGAGATGTTTAATTTGAGAGAATGAATAATGGAATGAGAGGAAAGTTTGAATTCAAATTCAAATTAATTAATCGTGGAGTCTTATATAATCAATAGATAAATTTTGATCTCACTATGATAGCTTCAAGTACAGTATCAAAATCACATTGTTCTATTCTAAATTAAGATGGTTCATAGAATTTTGATTGGAAATCTTTTGAAGGAAGTTCATTTACACTAATAACAATAAGGCCAGTTAGTGATTTGAATCCAGAAAATCAATACATTTTTAGATGCTTTAACATTTTGACACCTAATAATTATATTGCACCTCTTGTAAAAGTATTAAGTGGTTCAACTATTTTATCTCAAGGTACAGCTAGTAATCCTCCATTAACATTTGAAAATACACCTACTGTTCTATCTTCAACTGGTCTTACATTAACAAAAACTTATCCATAAGCTTATGCAATGATTGAACTAAAAATTAATTTAGTATTAAGTTAACCATTTGATTAAAAATCAACGATTTATGTTAACTTACCATATTATTATAATTCTTATGATAATAAGAAAAGTCTTAGTTGCTTAATGAATGATGCAGATGCATATTGTTAATATGATAATGAAAGGACAATTTCAATTAAATTATTCACTCTTACAATAGATTCTTTTACAATAATAAATTTAGTAATAGCTGGTATAATTCAACCTATTTATACTTATAATGATGATTAAATATTTATAATGGTTGATTATGATGAAGTAAAAACTACAATAAATGAATATGGAACATTAAGTGATGTAGCAGTATCTTCTACAGTTCCAATATCTCTAATCATAAGAGATTTCGAGATTTCTAATGTTGGAATCAGAACTGAATCACAATATACTTATTATTTAACAACTTTAGGTAATATTTAAGTTGGATAATATTTGGTTATTGATCTTCCATCTAAAGATTATGGTAAATTAGTGTAATTGAAACCTCCAACTGCATGTAGTGGAGTATTGGAAAGTGATGGAATAACATCTATTATCTCAAAATGTGAAACATTAGGAAATAGAATTCTATTATAATTTGAAGGAGTACTTCAAACAAATACAAAATATATAGTAAAAATATCAGGAATGACAAATATGGAAGCATCTTCTTGTTATATTGGATTACCAATCTTCAGTTTGATTACTTCAGATAAAACTTAAATCTAATAATTATCAACCTATGTTTATTCAAATATCTAATAATTTAAATTAATAGCTGATTCTACAAAGAAAACTATGTATTGGAAAGAAGAAACAGATAATGATATTAAATATACAATTGAATAAAAAGATGATATTTTGAGATTGAATTATAATGAATTATTGTTAAAACCAGGTTAATATAGTAAAATAATATCACTTGGATAAATAGATGGTGGATATGATAA